CATCCGTATCAACGTGGAATATTGTGGACAACACAGAATTGATTGAGGAAAGGAATTAACTTTTTCCGAAAGTCTTTGAATGCAACATCTGTGTCCTTGAGTTGCATCTCAATGTTGTGGATTGTTTCTGGGGGTTGTTTTGCTCCAATCTTCAGTTTACCGTTTTTATATGGATTGATATGTACTTCTTCCTCAGATTCTTCCTCCTGTGATGTCTTAGAGGTAGCATGTGAGGCATCATAGACATCAATGCGCTCTCGAATGCAAAGTGAAATGAGACGCCAATGATCAAAGGTTAGAATCTATAGATAAGTGAGATTGGTCATTTTTCATGAATTTAAAATGGTAAGACATCACCTGGGGAACAACATCCTTGAAATTGGTTTGACGGAGATAGATTTCTCGCAGTGGGCCATGCATTTTTTCATTTGGCTTGGTACTTGTATTTTTTGTGGCACCTTTTTCTTCAATATCATCAAAGATATGCTCAAGGGCATGTCGCTTGGGGAAACTCCAGTTCTTCAAACTTTTTCCACCCTTTGGTGGTGCTCTAGACTCTTCATATTCCTGAATAAATATTTGAATCAGTCCTATATTATTTGAGAGGTTGAAACTGACCTTCAATACTTTAGAAAAATATGCTACCTCTCTCCTCCCCGCAGCAATTGTTTCAGAGGTTTGAACTTCAAGAGCAGCATACATATCCACATTCAGATAAGCACGTGCACATTTCAGCAAACGAAATCCTTCTGGACTTGCAGATTCTGTTAGAATATTGTGTGCCACAAAGGGAAGCATCTTTCACAATCATAATGTTTATAAGAAGTCTTATTGAAAGTAGATATCAAAACAAACCTTCATGATATCCTCAAATTTCGTTGCATCTGTAAAATTTACAGATGTAAATTGGCTAAAATGGATCAAATTGCGCCAGCGAGGAAGTGCATTCATTCTGTATGATCAAATTAAGCATTTGATGAAGGGGTGAGTTATAACATACTGTGAGTCAGCTTGGCTAGCTAGTGAACGGTGTGATTGCAAGTAATCCTCTCTGATAACTTTGAGGATGTGCCTTCCCCCCAGTCCATGTGAATTGTTATGCATTCGATCAAATGAGAGTGCATGATGTGGGTCTGAATTCTCAATATCCCAGAAAGAATTCTATCCATCACATTAGTTGGAGGTAATAGAATCTGAAGGAAAGAGATAACTGACTTGTACACCTCGCAACCCTTTTTTCTTCAAGATTTCTTCAGCATCATCCTTTCTCCTACATTCATTTGCTTGATCAACTGTTGCTTTACTTTCCTCTGCTGTCCGAAGAGGATACTTTGTAGAAGCATCAGAAAGCTTGTCAAATGGCACAAGGCAAACAGGACAAGGGCATAAGCCCATCTTGCCCCGAATCAGAGCCATCACACACCTATGTGGTTGTAAAATGCTATCAATAAAGTATAAGTATTGAGGTACTCACTGTTCCTCATAGTCTGCTGAAAGAATCAAAATCAAGGCGAAAAGTCTGCGGATAATGTCGTCACCACACTTGAACCAGAATCCAAGTTTTGAATGGTCACGAATAGATTCAAGGAGTTTCCGGAAAGATTCATGCCAGACAACTGTTTTGAAATCAACATAGGCTTTTTTTCCTTTCTCAGTCTCATCTTCTAGGACCTAAAGAACTTGATATCAATTCCTGAATTAGCAATTGTTTTTGAGAAAGAAATCACAATTGGCTGCCACCCCACTACACGACCACCTCCAATACCTTCTCCATTTCGAATCCAGTCAGGTAGATTGGCACATCTCGCTATCACTGGATAAGCCTTTTCTGTACCAAATGATGATAGTTTTGCTTTATCTGCATAAAGGATGATGCAAAATGGTTTTCCATCTGGAGGAAGACGTGACTTTTGAGAAGTCAGATCGTAATTCAATGACAACCAGAAAAAAACTTACTTGAATCTTCCACCACCTGTCTGCTGTCCATGGTTCATGGTAGAATCGGATAAAATGCTGCCCATCAAACTTATATAGCCGCTGTGCATCCCACTCAAAGTGTGGAGCAAGCTGGGGGTTGCCTGCCAGATCCAATGCCCAATCCCAGAGGTTTCAGTGATAGAATTTGAAGTGGTTGTCAGTTGTCCGATACTTTGCTGTGATAATATCCTCTTGAAACTATATAGAATATTTTTAGCCCATCACAAAGTTGTTGTTAGTAAAAACCCACTGGAGTCATCATATGAGAAGCCTCTTTCCATATTTCTTTGATGTTTTGGTGGCTTTTCAGTGTAAATAGTGCATCAGGTGAACGGCAGTCTTGAAAAATTCGAAGCAATCCATTAACATCCTCCTCCTTCATCTGTGATTTGAGGATGATCTCTGCAAATTCAAAATCTTTTCTGGTTGTAAAAGGGTACCAGGGCTTTCCATATTTATGGAACGGAAGTGGTTCCTTGGGTGAAGAAAGGCCATACTCTTCAAAATGATCGATTTGGGTTGATCGGCCACTGTGAGGATGGTATTCAGTCTTGATATCATCAATTTCATAGCTAGGCTCATCATCCTGGTCTTTTGAAAATGAACTACATTAGTGATACCAAGATATAATAGAGTATGACATACAAGGCTCTGGGTTGCCAACTGTGCTAAATAAAGGAGGACTATCTTCAATTTCTATAGGAGCAGGTTCACTGTCAATGCCTGTGACCATGACTGATCTAGATCCTGAGCTTTCGTCTGGCTGATTCAGAGCTTCAATATCTGAAGGAAATTATAAATCAATAAAATGATGAGGATCAGAGAAATAACATTTGGTACCCAATAGTTGATGACTTGTTTGCATGATTGTCTCTCTCCCACGCAAAATAAGCCCATCTAGCAAGAAATACCTTCATAATGATATTTTTTGTGATAGGATTATCTACTCACCCCGTTCACTCCTCTTCTCTTGCTTCCTCAACTTCTTTTCATAAGCCTTGTCACTCAAGTCATTCTCATGCTTTCGTCGGCAAGAAGTTTGGTGTGCTCCGATACCGCGTGTGTTAAAGGGCAAGTTACAATACTGGCAATTAACCTTTTCTTTTGGCTTCTGACACGTCGATTTATGAGCCCCGAGGGCACGCTGGGAATTGAATGTAGACCCGCAAGTCGCACACTCGAGCATCTGAACAAGATGGTGGTGGTTCAGAACCAACAGTTTGTTATCTATTATCGCGATATCTGATGCGGTTGCAATCCGCGTTGAAATCGGTAGCAATAACTACGGACCGATCTCAACCGGCTTGGCAGGAGTCAACACCGTTGCAATGATCGTTTTGGGTTGAAACCCGGAAGAAACCGGCGTTCTGACGTGATTGCAACGCCGGCCGGTTGTAACCGAGAAAAAAAAAGTCCGACATACGACGGCTTACATAATTATGACCGTGGAAATAGACCTTGACAAGCAGGGTAACAGTCTAGAGCGGTCTCTAACGCTTCGGCTGAAATAAAAACGATATATGACCTTGGGGGACAGCACGACGGCTTACATAATTATGACCGTGGTAATAGACCTTGACAAGCAAGGTAACCGCCCTATTCTCCAGACCAACAACGACAGACTTTTTCGCCGCCGGAGATATTTATGCAACAGCCTTTGTCGCTGCTAATGGTTTCCATTACACGCTCTCCATTATGCAGGATACCCAAACCTGCACAAGGTATCACGCCTCAGAGCTGGCCAAGGGGCACTTCGTCTTTGAGGCTCGAGACGAGACACTGGTCCCCTCGCTGACACTCTGTGCAGCTGTCAAGATTGGTCGGTTTCCGAGTTTTTTTCCCATTCTTTTCCAAGACTTACGCTACATATCTTAAAGGTAACGTACAGAAAAACAGCGTGGAGCAGATAACAGCGTTATTGAAGCCCATCCCAATGACTCTCCCAGATTGCGACCTGACGACTGACGGGTACTTCCGCTGCCGCGTTTGGCTCAAGAAAGCCATCAGGGTCCTCGATAAGGATGGCGTCATCTCTTGCTCAAACGCCGAAGCTGTTGTCAACGGCGAGCTAAGGAAATATGCCGAGGAAAATAGTGAGGCGATTACAGGAGGTACCGGAGGCCCTAAAGTATATGTGTCTCAACACTCCTCCTGACCCCCTGCACCACATGTTACTGAGCTAATGGGTATACTTGCAAATAGCCTCAGGACTGCGACTCGTTTTTGTGGCCTTTCATCTAGTGATGCCGAAGTTCGGTTCTGCTATAAATGGTTCTGCTTCAAGTGCTTGAACCTCGCATTTTTCTGTATCGCTTTGTCATCTCTTGGCCACCTCACCAATCTCTCACCTTCAGGAAGACTCAACTGTGGAGTATTGGACGGGAATGAGGTCGAGCTTTGGGGTTACACGTTGCTTCCACGACCCAGATGTTGATCTATGCTGAACATCGATATCTTTGCTTGCCTCAAGGCATTGGTAGACCACGCTCATCATGGTTTTAAACTTTCTCAGCGTTTTGTTGGTGGGAGAGCAAATAACACTGATCGTATTCTAACTGGGATTGGCCAGATAACACCGATGACGCCGTTGAATGTTACTTTTAGAATCAATCTCACTCCTGATTCTGGGAGGTTTTGACGGAACGTTGGAACCACCAATCGACAGAGAGTTCAGTAACATCGGCCCGGGTTAGGTCAAGTGACTTGCAGGCGTGGCTTTGAGCAGCGCCGAAGGGACACGAAGGACCAACGCCCGTTTGATGAAGCGCCTGCACGAGTTTATAAAACACGCAACTTTGGATAACGACATTTCCCCGGAAAAGTCAATTCATTCATCTTCTCTCAAGATTGTGATTCCAAAATTCTAGCGCGACAATGGCTATCAAGGAAACAAAGCCAGCCGGTTTAATAGCGTATGTCGGACATCTTTACATCGAGCGCCTAATTGAAGTGCTACATATCATAGCGTCATGGGAGGGACGGGGACCGGGAAATCATCGGTATGGTAGTCTCTCACTACTCCTGCCTACCATCTTACATTACATATGCAAGTTCATCAACGCCATAGTCGGGAAGGACGTCACGGACGTTGGACATGGCTTGGAGTCACAAACAAGCGACATCAAGGAACATAATTTCTCGATGAAGAATGGCCTCCATGTGACACTTGTCGACACGCCGGGTTTCAACGACTACACCGCCGACGCTGGCGGCAAATCTGACCTCGTCATTCTGAAAGAAATCGGTGCTTTTCTCAAAGCAAAGTAAGCAGTTCGTTGTCATTATTTGTAACCCCGACCCTCAAGTGCCTAGGTACGATGAGGACCGCAAGTTCTCCGGCATCTTATACCTGCACAACATCTGTGATCCCAGAGTTGGCGGCTCTTTGCAACGCAACATGGCGATGTTCAAGAAATTATGCGGACCTGACCCTCTGAAGAATGTCGTCGTTGTCACAACCTTTTGGGACGAGATTGAACTGGACCATGGTATTGAACTCGAAACAGAATTGAAGACCAAGGATAGATTTTTCAAAGGGCTCGACGAAGGGAAATCGAAATTTGTCCGATCTGGCAAATTCCCTCCGGGCGAAATTCCGAAGGGTCCAGAGTTCTTGCCACCGATCTCTATCGTCAGTGAGCTTGTTGCTCTTGACCCTATGGAAAGCAAGACTGATCTGCTCGGAATTCTCGGTTGCCGATTGATGGCCGCATATTTGCTAAGTAATATAATTGATTCGTGGTATTTGTACCATAATTATGCAATCTGCAATGAAGAATTTCACGGAGCCATCGCCCAAGTCTTGCCGTCTAACATCCATCAAGTATTGGCACTGTCGGAACACATATCATTACTGGGTATCTTATTAATTTAAAGAATATCAGTAATTCTGCAATGTAATTACAGATTTAAATCAACTTACTTGATGTTCCCAAGATGTTTCAGGCTCAAATTGACAAAATACACCAACACTGAGGCACATTTGCACATACTTCCTTGAAGAAACATCACACAATGATCCTCCAACCAACCTCCAAGCATTAGCATCTTGAGTGCATGGCTATGTCAGTGCTAAAGTAGTTTTGCTGCATCCAATACACTACAATGCTTCCAGGTGCAACAAAGCCCACCCTATAGCCTCACACAGCTCTCAGATGACAGTAGACTAGCCTCCAATCATGGAATGGCATCTGGTGGCATCTCAGACCATGCAGGGATGGTTGTGCTTGTGAAAGCAGAGTAATTTTGTCACTGCCAAAGTCCCAAGATGAGTATGATTTTGTGCAAATTTTCATGCAGACTCATTGTGATCTTGCACCTTTTGAATCAATTTGTGGCTGACTCAGAAAGAGGTATTCAAGAAATATTCAGAAAAGGATGTGAGGCTTCTCCCCACATAATTTTGAATAGACACACTCACAATTTCACATACTTTCTATTAGCAATGCCATCTTGCACATGATGTTGTGGTAACTAGTTTATCAAACAAACTGGGTGGATGGCATTAGTGCCGTTCACAGTTACTGTTTTTGAATCATTTTTCATCTCATTTCTCATCTCGTTTTTCTGAAAAATAGAATCAAAAACGGGCAAAGAAACACATCAAAAATGATCCCAAAAATGCCATTTTTCAAAAACAGCCATCGTGTCCATTTTTGATGTGTTTCTGTTTTTCATCCATTTTTTATCCATTTTTTGTGTTCAGGTTTCAAGTTGCTGAAGGGTGTTTCAGTGTTGTCTGTTCTTTTTCTTTTTTCCCGATATGACAACCACTTTATTCTATTCACCGTTTGCACTGCAGAATGAGCAAAAAAATCAAAATAAATTACTCTTAATAGACTGAAAACCAATTAGTTGAGGCTCAGGGAAGAATTGCAGCTGACAGATACTATTGGAGAAATGATAAGATAAGGTGGGGTCTGCAACAAGGTGCAGAGTTCAAGGCTGCCAGGGTGCCGAAAAATGGGCTGTTCCATTTTTCACTCATTTTTTATCTCATTTTCGAAAATTTCAAGGAGGGCAGGTTCACAGTAGCCATTTTTCACTTCATTTTTCACTTCATTTTTGATGTTCTATGTCTACAAAAATGAACAAAAAATGAATCAAAAATGGCTACCATGAGCACCCCTATGCAAGAAATTGTGGGCATTGTTGTTGCAGCAAACAACTGCCTCCAAGTTATCATGAAACTCCCCAACACCCAGTGTTGTTTGTGATAATTTATTTGATGATAGGACACTGTGATGTGCCCCAGAAGACTTGATCACATTCTATATGTTGATTGGTCCACCTGATTGAGAAGTGAAAGAAGGAATTTTAAACCTCAAGATGAAATCAATTACCATTGGACTGGATGTAAACATGAGAGACATTGCTGAACTGGTGAGTCTTGTTCCTCAGTCACTTTTGATAAATAACCCACTCTCCTGCAGGATTTCCTGGGGTGGGGATCATACTTCCATTGAAGAGACCTTCAAGAAAATAATGCATATTTTTTACAGGCAGAATAGACCACAACAAGATAGTAAATTTCTTTAGTCTTTTCCAGTGAATGGCAAAATGGGTGATGGACTCATCATCCGCCACAGAAGAAAGATTATTTATATATAATTCATGTGACTAGATTCAATGCTGGCTGAAGAAAACAGTGCCGCATAGAAATGCAAGTTGTACCCTTAAATTAACTTGTCAGGAAAAATCACAAGGACACTCATATAACTGTCAAGCCCTGGGATGAATTGAAGTGGAATATCAGACGAGCAAGCAAGGCCATGATGTAATTTGCCTGTTACATGATGAAGGCATCGAGTAGACCATGAAGAAAGGCACTTGAACAACATAGCTGTATATTATGTAATTGTGGTGCAAATACCACAAATCAATTATATTACTTAGCAAATATGCGGCCATCAATCGGCAACCGAGAATTCCGAGCAGATCAGTCTTGCTTTCCATATGACCCCGTATTTGTCGAGATGCAGAAGGAGCTTGCTGAGGGAAAGACTGTCGAGGAGACGTCAGCTGGTGCGGAGCTGTACAAGGAGTTGCAAAATCTTAAGCTTCAGCAAAAGAGGGATGTCATCGATCTGAACCAGAAGATCGCAGAGATGAAAGCCCGAAGCGTTGAGGACAGATTAGCAAGGGAGGCATTGGAGGCTAGACAGCATGAACTCCAGAGCGCTATCAACCAGTTGAAACAAGAGAGGGAAACATCAGCAAAGGTGCGCCCACAATCTGTGAGAGTCGTGGAGGCATTTGTTAAAGTTAGTTAGCAGATGGATCTTGAGTTGGAGAAAAGGCGTCAAGCTGAACTGAGAAGCGAAATTGAACTCCTCAAAACTCTACATGCAAGGGAAATCCTGGAATGCCGATTTCAGATTCAATCTTTGCTCGACGGCCACTCTATAGATGCCTTCAGAAAGGCGCAGCTCGGAAAAACCTGCGAGGATCTTCAAGCCACCGTGTCTGAATTATCTCGGTCCCTGACCAGGCTACGGGATACGAATGACAGGGAAGCAGTGGAACGCATCAACGAGTGTAACCAGCTCCGTGCGAACGCGGTGACACATGAGAAGACGTTGGACGACCTTGCAGAAGCTAGATCGAATATAGCCCAGTTGAAATCACAGTTGCACGCATCCCAGGTAGCACAAGAAAGGATCGCCTCCGAGCTGGACGAAGTCAATTCGACTTTGGCGAGTGTCATGGATGGGGCGGAAATAGAGCTGAAGACGGTTCGTGCCGCCCTTGCCGAAGCGGAGAGAAATTTCGTCGCGTCCCAAAACGCACACGACAATACGGCTTTGATACTGCAGAGAGTGAGATCAGAGTTGAGTGCGGCGAAGGCGAGGAATCCGTTCGGTTTCTCCCGTATTTAACGGGTATGATCGCAAGCCTGACAGCACCACGGCCAGGAGAACGGCCTTCCTTCCTGATTCCTGCCAACAACCCATCACATCTCGCATACCTCTTGTACGTCCGGACTCTCGTGCCCAAAGGCTTAGGTCGACTGCTCTAGTCCTTCTCTTCCTCACCAATACTTGGCGGATACGCGCCCCAACAATCACCCTCTTTCCCAAACATCCACAATACCATTATGCTCTCAACTTTTTTTTGGCAGTGCCACTAATCCTGTAGCTCATGATTATAGCATCAAGTGATATATATTTTGTAATCGATATCGAGACGACGTGGGGTTCTGATGTACTGTGAATGTACTCTGCTTCGACAGCTCCCACTACACTCTGTTTAGTCTGTTTTTGTGTGAAAGAACAACTTTTTGCATGTCCGGGCATGCGATCTCGCCCTTCTCGACGCCTTCCTCTCCGACAAAGCAGACCAAGAACGGCGCTCTAACGAGCCAGCAACAGCACAAGCCGCAGCACACATCGCAGGTCTGGCTCTGGTTAACGAGCATTGCCATGACGGGGAACCACGAAGAAGCACCGACCAAACCATCACTTATCAACGTAGCAGAATTCCGCCTCGCGTTTGGTGAAGACTGGCAGCTGAGCCAATTCTGGTGAGTACACAGTGCTAGAAAGCCGATGAATAAAACGCGGGATACGCGGTATCCCTCTAGCCAAACGCATGATGGAGGTAAAATAGATCCCGTATCCGATTGAAGACATGAAGCATGTTTAACGGAAAGTTGGATGTCAACGACTCCAGAAATGTGTGCAAGGATACTGAGAGGCGGAACGGCGGCAGAAGTTCCCAGCAAAACTTCAGACACAAACCATTCTTGCAAAAGTCAAGGCACAATCGCGTACTGTTGCAACAAGTCGCTAATCAACAGAGCGATCAAAATGCCGGATTCTGGAAGCGGTCATTGCATGATGGCATGGGATGCGCCTAGGACGTGAACACATCGTCGAGGGATTGCAGGCGTATGACGTGAAATCAACAGCACCAGATGAGTCAATGGTGCGGAGCAATGTCCACCACAACAAGTTGCTGGACAGCCTGAAGGTCCGAATGCCGTGTTATAAATGCAGTCACCACATATTGGAAAGAGGCACACTGCATGAGTATGAATAGATCTTCGACCAGAGAGGTGTACCGGGAGATGTAGAGCCCCAAAAACTAGACGAAAGGGCGTTTCGGCTCGCTCTGCATGGATTCGAGTATAGCAGTCAATGATTCAAAGTCGTATCCTGGAGTTCCTGCCAACAAGCGATCACGTCCTCAGAAGGGGTTTTGAGATTCTAAGGGAGATACACAATAAGTAACGCCCTGTAAGCCAGCCGCTGAATGAACCACTAACTTGGAGCCAGTCAAGAACGACTTGAATATTGTTCTCCGTCGTAACTAAGGATCGGACAGAAGGTTTCGTCGCCACAATCGAGGGCAATGCACGGAGATAGTCCAGAAGCTCCACGGTGGGGAAGGCCAACGGGAGATGAGAAATCCAGGATGTCAACGGCAGAAAAGTATGGGGGAAGCCGCGTGGTGAGGCTTGTGAGATGATGTATTCTAGATAACGAATGATGACACGGGTATGAGTTGAAGAGTCAACAAGATGATTTCCGGCGCGAGCTGGATCAACCAGGAAAGCGCGAAACAAGGGATCACAATGTAGATAGTCTGAGGATATGATGGATATCAATGGGTTCAGTATGCCAGGCATATCTTCACCAGACAGCTCAAGAAAAACCCGAGCGTCATAAGGGGAAATCGAGCTGAAAACCAGAACGCCTAGTAACAGAGGAAGTTTATCTTGGCGAGCGCATTTGGCCAAAGAATCCGTAAAGTATGCATCCAGAGAAGTCGAATATGTCTGAAATATACGCTGTGTTGCTGAGGATGGCTGAAGAAAACATGAGTTAAGTTGGACAAATTCAAAGAACATCTGTCTTACGTTGGAGGATAGCCATTCCAATACCTTGGCCAACTCAACCAAAGGTTCGATTTCTTCATCAGGATCGGCTGTGCCAGGACACCATTCAACCCATTGAACAACACTAAAAGCTTCGAGGTCATCCATTAGTTCACGGTCCGGATTGGCGTTTATACAGTGAAGACACCAGGTCCTAGAGGCATAAACCCAGACTTCCGTCGATATACTTCCTTCAACTCCGAAATTGAAGCCTGGATGATAAACCTCCATGAGGGCACGAAGGCAGCAACGGGTAAGATCAGCGTGCGAAGTGCCCAAATCGACGCAAAGTTCCTTTGAGCGGAGATGGTCTACTAAGTAGTCGTTGAATGAGCGGTGGAAGGGTAGCACAGGTGCCGGTGCCATCTTCGGATCGAGAGGGTCTGGGACTTGAAATAAGGAGTGTAGGCCGCTCAAGGCAAGGTATATATCCCCACGCTGAATGAAGAGAAGATCTTCAACAAAGTTGGAAAAATGGTCCAGGTATTCATAAAACAGATCTTCCATATGAATAACGATCAGCGCCCCAAGTATACGAAACGTTTCGGGAGTATTGGATGACGATGAGAGGATTTGAGAATACAAAGCATCTAGATCTGCAAACGCAGTAGATGACTTTTGGGCCGGCGTCGTTCCAAGAATGACGTTGAGACGGTCAGTGGGCCTATAACGTCGATCATCAACAAATTTTAAGACTGTTGCGGCGTAGATGAATTGTCCTGATGATCGAAAAACCAACGTTCGAAGGTCCGCTTCGGAAGGCCAACATCGCACCGACTGCATCGTGCGTCGATGTTTCTCTAAAATGTCAGAAAACCCGGATTGCAGGAAGATTTTAATGTCATTGTCGGGGTGGAAATAATCATTCAGGACGAGGCACCGCGATGAACGCCGAACTACAAGAGAGTCAAACGCATCCCGAATATTGGGTTCGGGTCGGCTGGCGATAAAAAAGCAGATGGGAAGTTGTCGCCCACATGCTCGGCCAATAAGTTGAAGGATGCGCGTTTGGTCATCCCGCTCGCGACATTCGTCAAGGCCATCAATGATAATAACCTTGGGTGGAGAGATAGTCTCTTGCTTTGACTGTATTGGTTCGACAATCAGTTGCGAGAACTGGAGATCCATGGATTTGGTGGGTAGTAACGGATTGACATCCACGGCTTCCTCGATGATTGGTCTGAGGGAAGGGATGTTGACGGCCAGTTGGTAAGCGATTGTCGTAAAGAATTGCTTGGCGTGATTCCGACCATGCGCCCTGCGAGAGAAGAAAAAGCTGGCTACGAGGATGTCGTCGTCGGCGCAGAGCTCAGAGATAGTTTGCGCAATGGCTGATTTCCCAGCACCCGCTGGACCATTCAGCCACAATATTTTTGAGCTGTGGTTAGGATCTTTGATCCAGCCTAGAATATCGTTCATGATTGCGAGTCGAGTCCGAGGATGGCATTTAGGAGGTGGGAAGCGTTCTGCTGAGTCGTGCATCGCGCCAGCCGCAACGACTCGGTCAAGAATTTGTAGTCCTGAGAACAGTTTGAGGCAAGAGGCAAATGATATGAATGAACATACCAGACAATCCTCGTGCACCCTGATTCAAATCTCCATGAACCTCATTGAATGTGCTGTGTTGCACGAGAAATCCAGAAGCGTTCGCGAACATGAGGGTTGGTTATTGGAAACCCTGGATAGTGTTGGATGCTGACCAACCCCAGTGTGAATTCTTAGGAAGCATCGCACCTGTGCACAGTACACACTAGCGCAGAAGGCAGTGGAATTGCTGTCCACCAAGCTGTCCTCATGAGCGATGGCATCAAGCAGGCACGATCACGTGGTCCTAATTGCGTTTGACTCCTGTCTGAGTCTCTTTTCCAAGTGAAACTGCATCTTTACAGTAAGATGCCACCAAGAACGCGCTCAGGCCGGAGTGAGAAGCTGGCAAATGAGCGCCTTATGCTTGCAGGACCCGTCAACATCTCTGGATTTCCATCGCTCCCCGTCGAACTCCTTCTCGAGGTCACCTCTCACCTTCTTCGCGTCCCCATCCCCTCCTACAAGCAGTCTGTCTATCATGCGCGCTATCTCGCACATCATAACACCCTCCGTTCTCTTTCCCAGTCTTGTAGATCCCTTCGCAGCATTTTCTTGCCCCACGTCTGGCGGCGCATCGAAGTCTGCGCCAGCAAGTGGATCGACAACGAGAGGGATTTAGGCCGTAATATCCTCAAAATCATCTCCAAAGATATTGCAACGGAATTAGTGCGCCAGTTAGAGATTGTGACCATTCGAGATCCAACGTTGGCGCAATACGTTCAGTATGCTCAGCCTTTCAGATTCATGTCCTTATATCTATTGACGAAATGAAATGAATGGCAGGGTTGTAAACGTTATATTACAGAGCTACTGTTACGATACAGTTCTAGCCGAACTCGCCCGGTGTTTGGCGCTTTTCCCTAACCTTCACACTTTCCAAGCCCTTGGGCTCGGGATGCACAGGGCGGAAATAACCTATAAAGTGTTCAGAGGTCTAAAATTTCCTCAAATCCTTACTTTGGTGGTGCCTTCGACTGGTCATTATATCCTGCCAGCTTTCCCCAACGTGAAAGCTGTCACTTGCATTGGCGCATGCCCCGAGGTATTCTGGGGGACTCTCTTTGCGCATTGCCCCAACGTAGTTTCGCTTGGAACCTTCGAAGGCACAGATTGTACAAAAGTTATCAAAGGTGGCTCTACCTTTATCCCGAAATTCATACCTTATTCAATGACTTAGCACCCCTTCAGTCGTTGCAGAGCGACTCCCTAACCTTGAAAAGATAACATTCGACATTCGCAACCCAACTCTCACTCCGGTGCGTTTTAACCCTCAGATTCTTGACTACCTTCCTACTGTTCCGTTAGGAGGCAATCTCCAATCTGTCTGCGCTCAAGCGGCTCCACACAGTTTGTTTTGACGTCAACGAGGGATATCACCTCACACCGGGCAACACTGGCAACTGGTTCACAATCATAGATTTCATGCATAAGAGGAAGGCGGTTATGGTCGCTTTTCAAAATATCCCACAACGGGATGAGTTTCAGAAAAGATTGGTTGTTAAATATGAGCGCCAATCCGAAGTTTACATGTTCGATGCCACACCATCTTGAGATGTTACGGATGATTGTCTTTAGACTTCATATCCTCCGAATATCATGATGCATTGGCTTGAAAGACAGAGTAGCGTTGTCATAGAAGGTGATGTTCAGAATCGCTTTAAATTCACTAAGCCAGGTAACGGACAATGTCAAGACTAAGAAAGATTAGAGTCTCTTCGATTTCTTACAAAGATACCACGAAGAATGTGCTTTGGCTGGAGCGAGAGGCTGGCAAATGAACGCCTTATGCTCGCAGGGCCCGTCAACATTCACGGATTTGCCCCGACGAACTCCTCAAGGTCGTCTCCCACCTAGTAATATTTCACATCCCGTACTACCCTCTCACAAAGAGGCTGTCAATGGCGCAGCGACAGCGTGCACGTTCTCTTTCCCATACCTGCAGTGATTCCACAGCATTCTCTTGTCCCTCGTATGCCAGTGATTCGAAGCCTACGCCTCTACCAAGTCGACCGCTAAAACTCGCAAGTTCAGCGAAACTCGTCTGGCGTCTGGCGATTTCCGCTTGCTTTGACTGTTCCAAGCGGTTCTCGTTTTCATCAAAGACATAAGTACTACGTTCAGAGGAGACTGACTCCGCAGATTGACCAGAGCGTAAATCCAGTTGTATGATGGAACTGTTGAGGGCGACACATACATATGGTTGCTATACATTCGACGAATAGCTAATAAAAAATAAGCAAACCAGAGAGTTAACCAAGAATCCTCGAAATGGACGCCGACCATCTATGGACGATGAAGATAGTCATCAAACTGGAAAAACGAAAACGTCGGTGAGAATTGCATATTCAACGCAGGAAAGACGTGAGCTTACAGCCAGGTACGAAACACTCGCTTGTAGGCAGCCAGGGCCTTCTTCTCCAGGCCCAAAGCTACACTGTACATCAGGGTAAAACGTCAGTTGAAAAAGACTAAACCATATGCGATGAAGAGCTCACGAAAGTACGAATCAAGAACTTATCGTACATTCCGTTGAATTCTTTGTCACTGTAAATTGCACTTAGATTTTCGCACTAAACGGCTTTCCGATGATAAATGGCTCACCTTGGGGTCTTGGAGCCTTTGCTCTTCAAATAGCTGTCAAGCTCGCTCCGGACCGTTGCTAAAATCGCCCGTTAGTTCGGGGGGGGAGGGGGATATTATACATAAACGAACCTCTGGTGAATGTGGCCTTGTTCCCTTGGCCGCCGTTTAACGCTGCCATAACGGTAGCAGTGAGAGGCTTGTTATTCGCAGCAATCGAATAGATATTCGTGGCACAGTTCTTGATGATACCGTTGCAACAGAGAGCCCCAAGCACAACAGTGACCTAGAGTGAAAATTAAACATAATTCACATTAAGCGCGTGCATGGCATACGGTTCCACAAAGAGCGGCAATGGCGCAAGGTACGAGAGACCAGAGGGTGACGGGCGATGGCTGAATAACATCCTTCAGCAACATAATAAATTTGTCGGGGGAAGATACCTACGAGGTTTGCCACGGCAGCAATGCATGCTCCTGCGGGAATCTGGCAGTACCAGACAAATTAATCTAGGCAAGTGGCACGTTCTTGGTAGTAATGGTATGTCAGGCTGGTTTCCGTGGGGCTTGGGATGTATTCGGCATAATTGCTGGCGGGACTAGCAACGTCCAATTCCCCGCGTTTGAAGGCTCCATCCGCGGTAGGGTTCTCCCAGTTGCGCACATCGACGACAAGAGGATTCGCCTTGGCGAAGGAGATGGTGAGCGCTGCTGTGAGGATCTGCAGGACGAGCATCAGATTGAAGATTTTATTCTCGAGCTCGCTCTTCCTTTATAAACCCGTAGAAATGTCTGACAGAAGGTCACCAACTGGGCGACGGATTCGCCAAGAAAGATTGAGAATGTCGGCGAATGGTATTTTGCGTAAATCCGCTTGGCCGTCCAAAACCTTTCGGGACTGATGGATCGTTTCTAGCGGCTCGAAGGGAATAGGACGAAGTATGCTGCGATCTCGCCTGAACATCGAATGCAAGAAAGGCTTTGCAACATTGAAGGTACATCCTGTTCAAGATTGGTTTGTAACAATGTGCTAACTTGTTAATGAGCTGACAGATACCTCGAGACCACATGGCAGACTAGATGGTTATCCAGAGCACGGGAGGTTTGAGACTTCGTTGCAGCCGGATGTGCTGTGGTAAATGTCTGGAGCCATTATTGAACAATTTCCGCAGCGGCCTAGCGGTTCTTATTGGAAAAGATAAAGATCACGACGGGAGAACGCCAAGAGGATGTGAAAGCTAAGATCCGTTTCAAAACCTCGTAGAAAGTTGCTACTAGCCGCTGCACGTGCCACGAAGTAGTAGCAACGTCACACGTGATTCTACTAATTTTTGGGCCCGCTATTTTTGGACAAGAAATGGCGAGGACCACAAAACTCATGTCCAGCCTCCCCATTGTAGCCGACGTCAAGGTCGACCATGAAGGCAGAAGCATCTGGCCTTATATACTTGAAGCGGAACGAGCAGCTTTGAATATGGCTCCAACTAAACTCGGCCCAAACTACAACGAGCCGCTCATTGGCAGTCGCGTTCTGGGATTCTTGTTGCAAGATCTGTGGCTACACGACAAGCACTCCTTTGGCCTCATTCCGTACAAGAATCTCATCGAGCATATTACCTTAGCTCTATCAATTTCCGGATATGCCGTTGGTAGCAAAGAAGACTGTCAAGCACGGATTAAGAAGCTCCAGGACATGGGATTGTACTATCGCAACCACTTATTCCGCGTTTGTTCGTCATATATCTATTGATTACCTGGCTGTGATTCGACCTTCTTTCAGTTCGGTCCAATAGAGGTTCGATCCCCTCATGCTCCGATGAGTCCGATCCTCCTTCTCGCCCGTCCCTGGACGTTGTTCGAGACAGAATTCTCAGTGATACGAGGACCCCAACGACAGAAGGCAGCGCTCATGCGAATGTAAGCTTTACGCCGCTAATGTCAGGTTATATCTAACTTCTCCCAGGCACTCATGCGCGATGGGTATCGTTGTATGCTTACTGGGGAATACGATTACATTTCGCTCGAGGACCACCCTGAACTGGAAGAACATGCCCCTGCTGATCATGAAACTTGCTTTGCGGAATGTGCCCACATCTTCTCTGAGACTGCGCAGGAGGGCGAGCCGAAGGTGCGATTGTCTGCTCAGTCCCTGCGTGGCGCCAGTTCTGATGAGTTTTTAAGGCCGTGTACGCTGCTAGCGCTCTGGCAATTCTTGAAGTCTTTGGTCTCAACAGCAAAGTCGAAAACCTTGTGGGCCGCAATGTTCACGAATATTTCAACATCCTCACTATGCGGTACGATCTACACAAGCTTTTTGACCGGCTAGACATTTGGTTGGAAGAAGTGATCGGGGAGGCAAGCAAACTTACGCATTTATACACCAGATTTCTGACATACCTGTATCAGGAAAATACCTACGAGATCGTTGCTGTCAAGGACAGGCTGTTCAAGAAAATGATAGGACATATCGAGCGCGTTACGTTCCGGGTTGATCCTGACGTAGTGGCAGCCTGTAGAGCAAAAAACATTGATCCCCCTTCACTCCCTTCGCCGTCTCTCCTCGCCATACGCGCTGTGTGTTCACGTGTCGCGCACATATCTGGCGCTGCTGATCATTTTGACCAGATTCTGCGTGATTTAGAAGACACACCCGTGATGGCAGAGAATGGAGGTAGCGCTCATCTTCTGGCGTCGCGCTTGATGCAGTTGTCGCATCCTGTTGATGATACCAAGGCCTAGCATACACGAGGGAAGGCCTTCTTGTCCTTTCACCATGTCATCAAACAACCTTCAATGCAGAGTTTTGGAGCCCAGGAATGACCCTAGGTTAGGTCTGCTGTCCTGCGGTGACTTCTGGCAATAGCACATTCAGCACACGCTCATTGCTTGTGAGTTTAAACGGGTATTCTTCTTCTGAAGTATTGACAATGGCTCTGCTGAGCAGGTCAATATGTCCATCGCGATAGTATCGTCTCCTGTTAAACCTTCACGACTAAAGCTTCAACTTATCCGATTTCAAAACTCTACCTTCCGCTACGCGTTACCGAACGCGTATCCATTTTCCAGGCTGACCAGTGAGCCTCTTCGCGCCCATACGCATACTGCAAGTCCTGCGTCCTTCCCTACACCAGCGCGAGATGGACATACTCCCCCATCTTTAAGGTGGCCTCGTGTTCACAAGTGACCCTCATCCGACCACTTTCTCGTGAAATCCACTTTGTTCAGGCGCGATGATATGGAACGACGCCCCCATTTCCTCCTGAAGATCTAACTTATTTAGGTAGAATCGCCCCTCCTCGTCCCCCTTGTCGCTTTCAAGAAAGATTACAATGGTTGCGATTCACTGGAATAGTAGCCGTCGCTTTATCCGGTGAATCCTCCGAGGAGAAGATTCTTCTTCAAAATGTGTTCATGAATAAGTACGGAGGCCCGATTCCGGTTCATATGGGAATATGGGAGGATTATATTTTTAAGTATGCTTCCAACCCCCCCCTCGGGCCATCCCAAGAGCTAACGCGCATACATCCATAGCAACTGGTAGAACGTCGTTCTATTCGACGTCAAGCTGCAAGCAGACTCATTGAACGCGCTCTTGATCATCCCAATTCCGCCGCCTGAGGCAAGAACGAACCCTGTTCCGGCCGAGTCAAGGCGGAGTGTTAGTATTCGTTGAGAAAGACCTTTTTATGTAGCGGATTCAGATGTTTATGTATAAACAAAGGCAGGCGATTTGTTTGGCAATTGTTCGAATTCTTGCCACTAGCTGCACGTGCAAAACCCATGTCCAGCCTCCCCTCTCTAAAGGACGTCAAGCTTGACCACGAAGGCCTAAGCATCTGGCCTTATATACTTGAAGCGGAACGAGCAGTTTTGAAAGTGGCCCCGACCAAATCTGGCGCAAAGTACAACGATCCGCTCATTGGCATTCGCATTCTGGGGTTCTTGATACAGGATCTCTGGCTACATGACAAGCACTCCTTTGGCATCACTCCATACAAGAATCTCATCAAGCAAGTTAAATCAAGCCTATCATTACTTGGGTATACTGTCGGTAGCAAGGAAGAGTCTCAAGCACAGAGTCTGAGGCTCCAGGAGACGGGATTGTACTATCGCAATCACCTCATCCGCGTTTGTTCGTCGTATGGTCATTAATTACTTGGCTTTAATCTGACCTTCTTCCAGTCCGGTCCAATGCAGGCCCGATACCCACATGCTCTGATCATCCTTCTCGCTGGTCCCTGGACGTTGTTCGAGACAGAATTCTCAGCGAAATAAAGACCCCAACAACAGAAGGCAGCGCTCGTGAGAATGTAAGCTCTATGTACGCCGCTAATGTCAGATTATATCCAACTTCTCCCAGGCACTCATGCGCGATGGGTATCGTTGTATGATTACCGGGGCTTACGATTACAGTTCGATCACTCTCCACCCTGAGCTGCGAAATCGTTTCATTGCTCATCCTGCATCTGGCGTTACGCAATGTGCCCATATCTTTTCGGAGACTGCGCAGGACGGCGAGCACAAGGTGCGATTGTCTGCTCAGCCCCTGTGTGGTGCCAGTTCTGATGAGTTTTTTCAAAGGCCGCGTACGCAGCTAGCGCAATGGCAATTCTCGAAGTCTTTGGCCTCAAGGACAAAGCCGAGAGCCTTGTCGGCGGCAATGTCCATAAATATTTCAACATCCTCACCATGCGGGCCGAAATACACTCGCTCTTTGACCAGCTACAATTTTGGTTAGAAGAAGTGATCGGGGAGGCAAGTAAACTTATGCATTTTTGATCCAGATTTTTGACATACCGGTGTTAGGAAAATACCTACAAGATCGTTGCTATCGACAACCAGCTGTTCTGGGCATTGGCAGGTCTTCAGCAAAAGCTTGAGTGTGTTACGTTCCGGATTGATCCTGACGTAGTGACAGCCTGCAAAGCGAAAAACATCAATCCCCCTTCACTCCCTTCGCCGGCTCTCCTCGCCATACGCGCTGCGTGTTCACGTGTTGCACACATGTCCGGCGCTGCTGAGCATATTGACCAGATTATACGTGATTTGGAAGATACACCTGTGATGGCAGAGGATGGAGGGAGCGCCCATCTTCTAGAGTCGCGCTTGTTGCAGTTGTCGCATCTTGTTCATACCAAGGCTTAGCATACACCAAGGGAGCTGTCATGTCCTTTTCATCATGTCTTACTACAATCATTATCAAATAACTTTCAATGTACAGTTTTAGAGACCCTAGGTTGGCCCTCGGTTAGCTCTAGTGCTGACATTTTGACAGAGAAGCCAGAAGTCACCGAAGAGTGGCACAGTTCAAGAATAAGTACGGAAACGATGGTATCAAGAACGCTTCTAGCCCCCTACGCGCATACATCCATAGCCACTTGTAGAAAAGGCATTCAGACTCATTGAACGCGCTCTTTATCATCCATCGAATACGACGCAGCAGCAGTCCTTAAACCAAAAATTAAACCTCCAAAATCAACACCCTCCCATAACTCGAAGCAAGAACCACCCTCCCTCGACTCTCATCATAGTCAAAAGCCGCCCAGTCCCCCATACCATCATCATCATCATCAACGACACCCGAAATGTCCAACTCCATCCCTTGTATCTGTATCGGCACTGGGCCCCTGTCCAATTCTTCACTCTCACTCTTAGAGCCCTCCAAACCAGACACGTAAAGCGGCCCCGGAAAAACAGCACACATAACCCTCTCCTTCTCCTTCCTCGCATTCCAATTCCCTTTCGCAGCATGCCGTAAAAATCCGTCGACGAGCCCCTCCATCGTCCTCGGCAGCCTCGGCTCAATCCACACGCCCGTCCCACACTTCCCCAACGCGAGGGACGCACAGCGTAGGACTCCGTGCCGGGTTGGGATGGCGTGGGTGAGGACGGGTGGGAACGTGTATGGGAGTTGTTGGGCTTGGGATTTCGTGCTGAGATTCGAAGAAACGACGACTTCATCGAGGGAAGAGGGATCAAAAGCCGAATTTGGGTACAGCGTGTACATCTCCAACTTGTGCTCTTCGGCAGGATACCATGGGTCATCTGACTCTGGTCTTAAGAGGATGGAGAGCGCGACGTGCTCTTCCATTCGTCCCTTCGAGTGTTCGCCATGTGCAGATGACACAGAGACGGCGACGCCATCGACCCACCCGAAAGAGTGCTGTGCCAGCGGTGCATGCACCTTGTGTGCATTGGAGTCCTCTGAAGGAAGAAAGGCCGGGATGTCTGGAGCGAATGGGATGGTTGAAAAGACGGGGAATGGAAATAAATGGATTGATCGTGCGGAGACGACCAGGATTGAGTGATATGCGAATATGACTTGTATACAGCGGTCGTGCTGGGGTTGAGGGTTGGGTGTTAGCTACTTAGCGTAAGGATGAACAGGACAATAAAAATGAACCTGGAATAGATTTCGTGTTCCACCTTGATTTTCATCGTTCGGCAAAGGGGATGATTGGAGGATGGCGTATGTAGAGTTCTGCCAGTCCCATAGGAGAGACTTTGAAACGTCGTTGCTGAGGGCCAAGACGTGGCCGTTCAGGCATATCGGACGGAAGATTGTATTGAGAGTCGCGATGCTGTTTAGAGTCCACGTCTCGGTGTCCAGAGAGAGGATGTGCACAATGTGTTCCCTTTATCACTCTAATCAACAACGTTGATCATTGAGAGGGATGAAAACCAACCCTTCCTTCCACACCGAAACCGCCATCATCCCCTCGCTGTTCACAGCGTAGCCAGTAAATATGGCACCTCTGGGAAACCACTCGCATCGTTTCACAAGCACATCACCCTGCAACGCCCATACAGTCAACCCGCTCCATATGCTCTTCGAAATGGTGACCACCAACGTACGATCCAAGCAAGGCAAAAAACGAACGTCGGAAATGGACGTTATATCTTCATCTAGACATCCAACTACGCGTGGAGGTGGTGGCGTAAACGCAGATTGACGCCATTTGGAAGCCAGAAACCATGCTTTTAGGGTATATTGTTCGAGGAGGTCGAGGTTGAGTTGAGGTAAATTGCCATCGGATGGAAAAGGATAGTTGTTTGAGAGGATGTCGGTTGTGCATGCATTAGTCCAGACGATGCGCTGGTAGGAGAGTTGGTAGAGACGTTTACAGGTCTCTCTCAAGAAGAGGATGGATGGTGGTTGGAGAAAGGATAAGATGTAGATCAGAATATCATCCGTGAGCTTGAGCATCGCCGTTATAAGGTGCGTTTCGCCGAGGTCACGTTATCACTTTTCCCGCCTGCTCCCGACAAAACATTTCCTCTTTTCACCAAAAAAAATGAGCTCCATCTCAGCTTTCTTCTCCTCTTTCATCTCAACCGTCCACGCCGACGCTGAGCAGCCCGAGGCGGAGGTAGAAGCTCCAGAGCAGCCCGTAGCCGAACAGGAAGAGGAAGAGCCAGAAGATGTTCGTATCCGCCATCTGTCTTCTTCAGAACAAACTGCCAACGCTTATGCCCAACTTTAGCTCCATCCTGTTATTAGAGAAGAATGCAAGGAGTCATCGAAATGCGCCGCCCTGGCTAAGCATTTCGAGCATTGTCAGGAAAAGGTTCAGGCTGGGCAGGGGTTCAAGGGCGAGGATTGCGTTGAAGAGCTGTACGTGTTCTTTATTCGCTTTTACAACTTTCCTAACATGCCTCTAGATGTAAGTGTTGAATCCGTGTTCTCCAAACGACTTACTCAAGCCTGTCCGTCACTTTCAACTTCCCCAGTCCAGTACGTCACTTCCCCCTACTTCGCCTTTCAGAACCGCCTAAACTCTTTTTCTGTCATAGCATGATGCACTGTGTAGACGTATGTTCCCAACCCCTTCCACCTTAGCCCACCCATATACAAACTCACATCAACCTTCACAGGACTGTGCAGCACCCAAACTCTTCAGTAAACTCCGCTAACCACCTTACGCTCGTTTATTATTATGTGAGTGTGACCCCCCCATTTGTTCACACATTTCCCCATCTCATCTTCTTAGAGCCCCAGGTACCCGTAGTATTGGATGTACTGCTTAGACATGAGCAACCTGCCCTACCTGACATTTTGGAATTCATTCGTGCATCCTATATCCTATGAGTGCTTTTTTCATTCTTTCTGGGGGGTGAATCGACGACCTTCTTTGATCACAAGCGATAATTACATCGTTCCAGCACCTTCACCCACCTGTGCTACGATCAACGCTCCACATGCCTTGCTTCGCCAAGGCAAGCATTCTTTCAACATCGGGGATGCAACGTGAACATTCGTATTCCGGTTCCTAGATCCCCATTGACCAGGAGCATCATGCATCAGGGCTCTGTCGGTACATGCACTATATGACTACGTGAGGTGTGGGCCCTGTCAGTACACGCACTGTATGACTACGTGAGGTCTGCACCCACCCCTTTCCCCGCATAGACTTCGGCGGCCTCTTCTCATCCTCCGAGTCGCATCGTACCCGTATTCCACTGGAATTCCACTGGAATAGGACTGGAGGTGACAGGTTTCTACGCTTTCATTACAGCAGGCTTCCTCCCCTTCTTCTGGAACAAAACTTGGTTTGTTCAATGCACTATGCCCAAGCTCACAGTCTGATTGCTTGGGTGTTCGTAGTTTTCTTGCCGATACCTAACTTCAATCCAATTTCAGTCTCTTCTCCTTTAGACTTCATTTTTTTGCTTGAATGCTTGTTGGTTATCTAATGAACTACAAATGGCATGATAAAAAGTATCTTTGTAGAGGCGGACATCCTACTCCTCCCCGATCCACCACTCAGGACCACGCTCATTTTTTTGCAGGTCCCACTCATAGATTGTTCCGTAATGTTCAGCATATAGAGTCCCCCCGCTTGGATCGAAGAAAATTCCACGCACTCCTTCAAATTTTCCAGGGTTTGAGCGCTGTTCCCGCTTGAAGGGGAAAGTTTCTTCCGTCTTAAACGACGTCGCATCGATCACATGAATGATGTCATGACGGGAGGAATCATTGCACTAAGGATTCAGACCACCTATTTCAGAGGTAGGGATATCAAAATGTGAATATCAGACGTACCGCTGCAAATACCAGAACTTCTTTTCCTAGTTTTCCGCTGCAGAATTGAAGATATTGTATATAGTCGTCCTGAGCGACTATGAATGTCTCTAAAGGAACTTTACTTTGGATATCCCAAACAGACACTCTTCCGACATTCATAGCGATAGCAAACTTGGACCCATTGGCAGAAAACACAAGTCTTGGGTTCTCGAGGACAAAAATTGAATCTTCTGGGACTTTGGGAATAGGAATAGACATGCGGGTAACAAAGGAAAAGTTTGTCCCTCCAGAATCTGAATAGTGAATGTCAATCGTTTCATTTTGTCACTCCCTCTCCTGATCCGCCATGTTTAGAAGAATGTGCCTGTCAGGGGATAGCTTGACTTGGAGAACACATTAGAGCAGGTTCAACACTGCATGAAAATTTCGGACAAACCGAAATGTCCATGAGTCTCGCCCAGCAACTTCAACTCCTTGATCTGTAGATCAAAATCTATTCTCCCGGACTCAATTAGAGGAAAATTATCCGAGGCGTCAGTTTCAGTAGTGGAGATGTCAAACAGCTTCCAATGCTTGCCAAACCGCGCCCAAAAAGTGATTGCCAAGGGATTTTCGGTGGATATCGCCTCACACTGATCAAAATTGTTCCAGTCACCGTTGGAAGACCACAGAGCAGGACCAATGCGGTTATCGGAGCGGATTTCGTAGTTTGATAGGCGTAGAAAGCTGTCCATAATTGACTCGGTTCCGATTTTGGTGTAATTTGCGAATAAAACGATCTGATTGCCTTTGATGGGGACAAGCGAAAAATTGGTGAAAGTATGCGGCGGAGGTTCCGAGACAATAGTTCGTGGCTTGTATGAATAGTGAGTTGTATACGACTTTCTTAATGAGCGGCAGGTGAATCAAACCTCATGTTTTCCGGAGGAATAGATGTTGTGCTCAAATATCGCACCGTCCCGGCTATAATAAATGATTCCCTTTCGAAGAGGACAACAAAAGTCGTAAATTCGATCTCTGCAAGGATGTTCAAACTTTGATACATATACAAAAGACTCTCACCTGTGACGATTGGCACCGATTATGGTCTTTCTGGGAATCCTTGACTTTAGCAATAGTGAAGGCGGTTCATCCGTAGGTGAAGGTAGTTCATCGGTTGGTGAAGGCGATTCATCCGTTGACGATTCACCCGATGACGATTCATTCGTTGACGATTCATCCGTTGACAATTCATTCTTCCAAGAAAGGAATGCTGACGGCGGTTCATCCGGTGTTTCACCAGTTGAAGGCAGGTAAGGATACGGAAAGAATGGTGAAGGCGGTTCATCCATTGGTAGCTGGTGAGGATAGGAAAAGAACTATGCTCTGCCAATATAAGCGCGCGCTGGGCTGAGCGAGTTACATAGAACGTTTGAGGTTGGTGTCGCCGCTTTGGTGTCGCTTGCCGATCACGAGGAGCTCACTCATGTTCTCAACCAAGGGACATCATCGTACGTGGCTTTTGCTGTGGAACTGCTCCAGTGTTGAAGTTTGTACGGCAGGTTTGAAGAAGGTTCACGCTGGGCAGGGGTTCAAGGCTTCAAGCGTGAGGATTGTGTTGAGGAATTGTGCATGTTCTTTGTTCGCTTCAAGTTCCCTTTCCCAACAAAAAAAACATGCGTCTAGATATCAGACTTACTCAAGTCTGTCCGTCACTTTAAACTTTCCTTAGTCCAGTATGTCACTTCCCTACTCGTCTTTGAAAACCGCCCGAGTCCTGACCCCTTTTTAGGTCATAATAGCATAATTACACTGTGTGCACGTACGTTTACAAACCTTCCACCCTAGCCCACCCATACGAACTCACATCAACCCACAGAACTGCGCAGCGCCCAAATAATTAACCATAACCCTCGTCTATTATGTGAGTGACCCACCCCCACTGTTCACACATCCCCCCCGTCTCATCCGCATCATCATTCTCTCAGAGCCTCAGGTACCCGTCGTGTTGGATGTACTGCTTAGACTTGAGCACCTGCCCTGCCTGATCTTTTGCTATCTTCATCCTACTTATGAGCGCATCCCTCTTGGGGGTGAACCGACAACGTTTGCTGGATAGGACGACTTTTTTTCGTGGCCCGTTATGCAAATCGTCCTTGCCAGAAAGACAGGTCCCAACGGCTTCTGGTCCAGATCCGGACTTGTTACAGTGGCGCGTTCTCTCCCCCAAAAGCAAGACAGACTTTCTTGCATTGCTTTTTTACTCTCGTCTTATAGAGATGACAAACAGTTTCAAAACAACGTCCAGAAAAGATCAATGCGGCAAACCTTTCCATCAAAGGTTTCGCCGGTCAACTCCCGATTCTATAGCAACAAACGTCCCCAACTCTCGATGGCCACTGCTAGTTGTGAGATGATGTATCTGGTTTGTATGTCAAACACGTCAGACCTCTATATCATCATATTGCGGGGAACGGGAACTGATCACGTTCAACTCTGCTGCAACTCCTTACTGGTCTGTATCAGCGCACCCTGTCATTTCACCAATCTCTCACCCTCGGAAACTCATCTATGGATGGGAATTCGGGGTTTGGGGTTGCACATTGCCTCCACGACCCAGATTTGATCTATGCTCAACGTCATTGTTTGCCTCAAGGTGTTGGTAGAACACGCTCATGCCATGTGTTTTGGACTTTCTCAGCATCTTACCAGTAAAAGGTGAAGCCAGAGCGAATAACATTGATCGTTTTCTAACGTGAATGGCTAGATAACACCAGTAACGCCGTTCAATGTTGCCTTTCGAGTGTTTGCCATCCAATCTCACTCCTCATTCTTTGACAAAACGTTGGAACCACCAATATTATTCAATTGTCACTGGGTTCAGTATCTTCATCGGCCCTGGTTAGATCAAGCGGCTTGCAGGCGTAGCTTCGAACACCGCCTCAGTAATCAAGAAGGGGCACGAAGGACGAACACCCCTTTGATTAAGCGCCCGTACGGGTTTAGTAAAACACGCACGTCACCTTCATTTCCTGCCCAGATAACACCAATAACGCCGTTGAATGCTGCTTTTCGACTGTTTGTCATCAACTCTCCTGATCCTTGAAGGCTTTGACGGAACGTTGGAACCACCATATTATTCAATTGGCAGCGAGTTCAGTAACATCGGCCCGGGTTAGCTTGCAGCGTGGCTTCAAACAGCGCTGCAACAATCCGAAGGGGCGAAGGACCAACACTAAGCGCTTGTACGAGTTTAGGAAACACGCACGTCTTCGCTTCCTTTTAATAACGACATCCCCCCGGACGTGCCACTTCACCCACTTCCTCTTAAGACTTTTTCCTCCAAATTTCTAGTGCGACAATGGCTTTCAAGGAAACGAAGCCAGCCGGTTTAATAGCGTATGTCGGACATCTTTGCATTGAGCGCCCAACTGAAGTGCTACCATAGCGTCATGGGAGGAACGGGGACCGGCAAATCATCGGTATGGTAGTCTCTAAACTCTCGCCACATCAGCTTACCATCTTGCGTTATGCAAGTTCATCAACGCCATACTCGGAAAGGACGCCACGGACGTTGGACATGGCTTGGAGTCACAAACCAGCGACATCAAGGAGTATGACTTCTTGATGAAGAATGGCCTTCATGTGACACTTGTCGACACGCCGGGTTTCAACGACTACACCGCTGACGCTGGTGGTAAATCCGACCTCGTCATTCTGAAAGAAATCGGTGCATTTCTCAAAGCAAAGTAAGCAGTCCAGTGTTATTATCTGTGACCCTGACCCTCAAGTGCCTAGGTACGACGAGGACCGCAAGTTCTCTGGCATCTTATACCTGCACAACATCTGTGATCCCAGAGTTGGCGGCTCTTTGCAACGCAACATGACCATGTTCAAGAAATTATGCGGACCTGACCCTCTGAAGAATGTCGTCGTCGTCACAACCTTTTGGGATGAGATTGAACTGGACCATGGTATTGAACTCGAAACAGAATTGAAGACCAAGGATAGATTTTTCAAAGGGCTCGTTGAAGGGGAATCTAAATTTGTCCGATCTGGCAAATTCCCTCTGGGCGAGATTCCGAAGGGCCCAGAGTTCTTGCCGCCGGTCTCTATCGTCGGCGAGCTTGTTGCGCTTGACCCCGTATTTGTCGAGATGCAGAAGGAGCTTGCTGAGGGAAAGACTGTCGAGGAGACGTCTGCTGGTGCGGAGCTGTACAAGGAGTTGCAACAGCTCAAGCTTCAGCAAAAGAGGGATGTCATCGATCTGAATCAGAAGATCGCAGGGATAAAAGCCGAAAACATCGATGACAGATTAGCAAGGAAGGCATTGGAGGACGAATGTAAGGCCCTGAAAGGCCAAATGAAGGAATGGGAGACTAGACAGCTTGAACTACGGTCAGAGTGGGTCATCGCTATCGCTCAATTGAAACGGGAGAGGGAAACTTCAGCAAAGGTGTGCTCACAGTCTATGATCGCGGGGGGCGTTTATTAAAGTTATTCAGCAAAGGGATCTTGAGTTGGAGAACAACCGTCGAACTAAGCTGAGAAGCGAAATCGAACTCCTTAAGACTCTACATGCAGCGGAAATCTTAGAATGCCGCTCTCAGATCCAATCTTTGCTCGACGGCAACTCTACTGATGCCTTCAGAAACACGCAGCTCGAAAAAACCTGCGAGGATCTTAAAGCCACCGTGGCTGATTTATCTCTGTCCTTGACCAAGCTACGGGATACGAATGAGAGGGAGGCGGCGGAACGTAGTAAACAACTCCGGGCGAACGCGGCGACACATAAGAAGACGTTGGACGACCTTGCAGAAGCTAGATCGAAGATAGCCCAGTTGAACTCACAGTTGCAGGCATCCCAGGCAGCACAAGAAAGGACTGCCACTGAGCTCGGCAAAGTCAGGTCGACTTTGGCGAGTGTCAAAAATGGGGCGGAAATAGAGCTCAACACGGTTCGTGCCGCCCTTGCCGACGCGGAGATAAACCCCATCGCGTCCCAAAACACACAAGACAATACGGCTTCAGAACTCAGAGAGCGTGTGTTTTTGGAGAAAGTGATATCAGAGTTAAGTGCGGCTCATACGAGGTGTGAGGAGACAGAGTCACAGCTGCGGGAATCCCGCAATGCTCTAGAATGCAAGAAGCTAGAGTTGGTCAGATCGCCGTCCCCCTTGCCCAAGGAATCTCCTCGTTCCATTGCGACACCGAAACTTCCCGCAATAAACGTTATTCCGGAAGATGACGAAGGCGGGGAACAGTCTGCCCAGTCTCCTCCGTCATTAACGGATGTGACCGCAAAACGTCCACCACGGCCCAGGAAAACAACTTTCCTTACTGATCTCGTAGAACCATCCCGCCAACCCGCCACGCCTCCTGTCCATCTGGACTCTCGTGCCCAAAGGCTTAGGTCGACTGCTCCGGTCCTACTCTTCCTTGCCAACAAGACCAATAAACAGGCGGATATGCGCGCCAACAATCGCCCTCTTTCCCAATGCCGGATTTCCATTCGGGACACCTGTTCAACTTGAACAATACCGCTACGGCTGATCGTCAATCCAATTTCAACTTCTTTCTGGAACTGCCACCAATCCTGTAGATCATGATTATAGCACTATGTGAATCTTTTGTAATTGACCTTATGAACTCCAATGTACTTTTCATGTACTGGTTTGGCTGTGGCAAGGCTGTGTACTCGAGTATGATGCACGTGACGGCGTTTCCAACAGAAATCTTATCGAATCTGGCCTTTCTTCTGGCCTTTCGACGCACATTTGTATGACAAGTGAATTCTGTCAGATATATTCCACCAGTGTATTACTATCAAGCACGATCGAACCCTACAACGACATCTACCTCACCACCAGGTGGCACGGATCTTTCAAGTTGTGTGTTGAATGCGCACCGAAAAGCCGTTGCAGAAAGGCTATCAGAGACTCTTTCTTTGACCATCCAGGAAACTTATGACTGCGTTGGCTACGGAGAGAGGGCGAGGACTTTACTATTGCGCTGCCCAGGCTCAGACGACCAGGCCATTCAAAAATCAAAATTACCACAGCGATTTTGCTGAGGCGTGTTTTCACCGTGTTCTGATGCTGTGACTCGGATGATGTAAGTCCACCTCTACCGCCACGGCGACCACAAACCTCATCGCTCCTCCCCGGACTCACAGGAATATGACGTGAATTAACACCCACGCGCTATGCACCGACCAGAATGCGTTCGGGACCGTGCAACTTGGACGTTTAATCTCCAGGTCCAGCTATCTCAAGGCTGCAAGACCAGGGGGCGTGCGGGCTCTTAGCCAAGTCAACGGCTGGCCTCCTAGTTTTTGCTTAATCCTAAAGCATAATAATGGCAAAGTGTTCAAGGAAAATGTGAGTTTACCGTAATTTTTCTGGGGGAGCTGACCTTGATATGTTGAAACCGACATACCTGCCGAAAGAGAAAAAGCTGGCTCATAGAGAATAACGTTTTTGTTCCTATTTGATTGGAAAACACGCTTTTCTGAATTGGAGGTGTAAATATTTGGGGAACGATACAAATTCTTCGTGTTTAGGTTGATGGGAAACCTAACGTCGCGCATTTCAGTTTCGTCGCGGACTCCAGGTCGAGGGTGAGGACGGTCTCTGTCGTATGTCCGCCTATACACCCTGGTTTCTTCATCTCACTATTACATTTCATCTAGACAGCGAACTGACTTTCACGTGGGATCCTCGAGGAACTTGCGAGTCGTCGTGTAGCAAGGTGAGTCCCAGAGGTACGTCTTTCCATTCCGTGTGCGGATGAGTGGGTAGGATGTTGTTTCATCGCAAGCGATAATTAGGTCAACAGAACTGCCTCGGCTTGTTTTTGAATTTTCCCGCATTATTCCAGAACCTTCACCCACTTGTGCAACATCAACGCAAGCATTCCTTCAACGTCGGGGATGCAACGTGAATATTTGAACCCCGGTTCCTAGATCCCACTGACTAGGCATCATGCTCTGTCAGTACATCCATTGTACGACTACGTGAGGTGTGCACCCGCCTTTCCCTGCATAGACTTGGGCGGCCTCTTCTCGTCCTCGCATCGTACCTGCAGCCGTGATACCATTCTCAGTGACGGGTTTCTACGCCTTCATTGCAGCGGGCTTCCTCCCTTTCTTCAGGAAAAAACCTGGTTTGTTCAATGCACTACGCCCAAGCTCACAGAGTTCGATGTTCGTGGTTTCTTTGCGGTCTCTTCTCCTTCAGGCTTCTTTTTGTTTGAACGGCATAATAAAAAGTATTTTTATAGAGGCGGACATCCTACTCCTCCCCGATCCACCATTCAGGCCCACACTTATTGTTCTGCAGGTCCCACTCATAGAGTATTCCGTTCTGTTCAGCGTATAGAGTTCCCCCGCTTGGATCGAAGAAAAGTGCACCCACTCTTACGTACGATTTAGATCTTTGTAAGGTGTGGCCCATCTCCGTCTCCGTTGATCATACCACCTTCTGCGTTGGCAGCTAGGGCGAGGCAGGGTAAGGGTTTGCCTCCATCGTCGTTCTCTGCGCATATAGGAACAGGAAGGGTGGTGGGGTCGCGGGGGTCGTTGGTCAGTATGAGTTTGAGCTCGCCTTTGAGTTCGTCGCGTGTTTCCTCGAGCTCCTCCCGAGTTTCCTTGGGCTCTTGTGTTTCACCAACGAGCCCATCTCGTGTACCCCCGACGGCTTACGTCTACCGCCCTCCTTCCACTGCTACTTCCACCTCGTCCACCATGTCAGCGGGATCAAAAATGTCGGTCACGTCCGCAACGTCTACGGCCTCCTCAGATACCATCGTCCCCCCCGCCCGAGCGAGCATCACTATCACGCGTGCGGGAGGATTTGGAGTTTCCTATGCCGCCTACGTATGCCGGTGGAGTTGTCCCTGTTTCGTGTAGTCCTCGAAACTCTTTATCGAGCATTCGCAGCTCTTTGTCGAGTACTCGGGACTCTCTCACCCCTCCTCCTCCTCCATCGCTCAACGGCCAACTCACGCCCCCACCCGCACGTGGAACCACCCTTTCACCTCCACCTCATCGTACTCGTCCCTCCCCGTCTCCATCGGACTCTATGTGGACTGACGATGATGATACGGAGACAGAGACAGAGACGGAGACGGAAACGATATATGAGGACGCTGCGTCGATGGTTTCTGGGGTTTATTATAGTGCGCGGTCGAGTTTTGATTTTTGAGTTGAGTTGGAGTTTTGGGTTGGGTAGTGGCAAGGTTGGGATTGGACACCCCTCCAATATCGATGACCACCTACATGCATGACCATATGGCCACCACCACCACTCTTATGCGTGATCACACGATGAGATTGATGACGGTTGTATGCCCCTTTCTATTTTTTTTTCTTGCGCTCTAGATTCTTGGACGCTCATCACCTTCCTTTGACTACGCGACGACTATACACGCGCTCCCTGCCTCCCTTCCTTCAGTCTTTTTTTTCAAATCTCGTTCTTTTCCAGCTATCTCAATACCACGCTTTGTCCCCTCCTATGTAACGTTTCTTGGCACATGAATCCCCCTCCTCTCGTTTACACATATATCGAACCTTGTCTGTATTATAATTATTGTACGCCCTCATTCTCAAAGTGCACTACCGTATCGTAATCCCGGGCACTCTTAAATTTCGATTGTAGAGATTGGACTTTCTTTTACTTATACATAATATATTATCTATTCTCTATTGTCGATTGGCCAAGTTCGTTTTTGCGGAAGACGCCCATGAGCATGGGGGATTTGAGAGGTTGACGGGTTTGCCGCATTACATTGTTTGCAAAAAAAAAAGCTATTTATCGTCCCTAGAGAGCAAAAGCAATGTGGAAAAGTCTGTCGTCCTCGTTGGGAAGAGGCGCCATCGGGCGTTGAGCCGTCAAAATTGTATAGAGTCGCCTTGCCAAGGATTCCTAGCGGGTTGCATTTTTAGAACAACGCCGGGATGCCTGTCCAGTGACGGCGCTGGACAATGATTCGGGATACCAAGAGTTGTGCCTCGCAATCGCGGACCTTCAGCCTAGTTCCAACCTAGTCGATCACATGGGCTCAACATAGCCTATGTACCTCTTTCGGCTTTGCGAAACCACTGTGGTATTAATCTTGAACGGCCGGGTAGTTTGGATCTAGGCAGCGCAACAGTATAGTCTTCGCCCCTCTTCCCGTAGTCAATGCCGTCGTCAAGCTTTTTGGAGCGTCAAAGGGAGAGTCTCCGACAGTCTGTTTGCAGCGGCTGTTTGAGCGCGGATGTTAACTGGAAAAGGGAGGGAAGATGAATGAGAAGCCGATGTGGATGCAGGAAGGAGGGGATAACGATGTTGTTTCGGGGATCTATCACGGCAGAGCCGAAGGCTCCAATCGGGAGCCGTCAAAAGCAGTTCTCTTAAGAGTGTATCTTCCCCACCACGAGCTGATCAGCTGCCTGCAAGAGCGGGTCAACGTTTGCGAAGATGGCAGGTTTCATTGAGCATACCACCAGTGGGCCGCAGAAAGGTCGATTTTTGGTCGAGTTTTGAGTTGAGTAGAGTCTTCAGAATCTCTGTGATTGGTAAGCGACACAAAATCCGACAAGCTCCTTGGCATTGTCCTTTCCGTACTTATTCTCACCAGCCATCGATGGATGAACCGCCTTCACCATTCTTTCCGTATTCTGACCGGTCATCAACGCCTTCCTCCACGGATGGATCGCCTTCACCAACGGATGAACCGCCTTCACCATTCTTTCCGTATTCTGACCGGTCATCAACGCCTTCTTCCACGGATGGGTCGCCTTCACCACCCCATGAACCGCCTTCACCATTCTTTCCGTATTCTGACCGGCCATCAACGCCTTCTTCCACGGATGGGTCGCCTTCACCACTGCATGAACCGCCTTCACCATTGCTAAAGTCAAGGATTCCCAGAAAGACCATCATTATTGACCGCAGTGACTTGTGAGTGTCTTTTGTATATGTATTAAAGTTTGAACACCATCGTCCACCTAGCACCTCTGTTTACGACCTTGATTGCCCTCTTCGAAAGGGAATCTTTTATTATCTCCACAAGGGTGCGATATGCGAGCGCAACATCTATTCCTCCGGCAAACATGAGGTTTGATTCCCATGCCGCTCATTGAGAAAGTCATATACAACTCACTATTCCTTCAAGCCACGAATTATTGGCCTGCAACATGGGTCGTGGGGTTTCATACGATTTTCGTTTGTCCCCATCAAAGGCAATCAGATGCTACTACTCGGAAAGTACACTAAATTCGGGCATTCAATGAAGTATCGCTTTCTATACCTATCAATCCACGACATCCGCTCCGATAATCGCGTTGGTCCCGCTCTGTGGTCTTTCGAGAGTCGTGTTGATGGTGTCTTCAATATGTCTGACTTGGAGCTGATAAAAACCACCAAAAGTCCCTTGGCAATCACTTTTAGGGTGTGGTTTAGGGACCATTGGAAGCTGTTTGATACTACTCAAACTGACGCCTCGGATAATTTTATCCCAATTGAGTCCGGGAGAATAGATTTTGATTCAAAGATCAAGGGGCGGGACCACGAATATAGTCTCGGTTTGTCCGAAATCTTCATGTAGTGTTGAACCTGCTCTAATGTGTTCTCCAAGTCAAGCTATCCCCTGACAGGCGCATTCTTCTAAACATGGATGTGGACGAATACCGATCAAATGAAACGATTGACATTCACTATTCAGATTCTGGTGGCACAAACTTTTCCTTTGTTACCCGCATCTCTGTTCCGATTTCCAAAATCCCAAAACATCCAGCTGATCGCCTCCAGGATCCAAGAGTTGTGTTTTCTGCCAATGGGTCCAAGTTTGCTATTGCTATGAATGGTGGAAGAGTATCTGTTTGGGATATCCAAAGCAAGGTTCCTTTGAAGACATTCATAGCCCCTCAGAACGACTATGATATAGACGATCTTCAATTCAGCAGTGGAAAACTAGGAAAAGAAGTTCTGGTATTTGTAGAGGTATGTCTGATGTTCACATTCTGGCATCCCAGCCTCTCAAATAGATGGTCTGAATCCTTAGCGCAAATCTTTCTCTGATCCTGACATCATTCGAATGATTGATGCAACTTTGTTTGAAATGGAAGAAACTATCACCTTACAAAGATCTAAATCGTACATAAGAGTGGGTGCACTTTTCTTCGATCCAAGCGGGGGAACTCTATACGCTGAACAGAATGGAATACTCTATGAGTGGGACCTGCAGAACAATAAGTGTGGGCCTGAATGGTGGATCGGGGAGGAGTAGGATGTCCGCCTCTATAAAAATACTTTTTATTATGCCGTTCAAACAAAAAGAAGCCTGAAGGAGAAGAGACCGCAAAGAAACCATGAACATCGAACTCTGTGAGCTTGGGCGTAGTGCATTGAACAAACCAGGTTTTTTCCTGAAGAAAGGGAGGAAGCCCGCTGCAATGAAGGCGTAGAAACCCGTCACTGAGAATGGTATCACGGCTGCAGGTATGATGCGAGGACGAGAAGAGGCCACCCAAGTCTATGCAGGGAAAGGCGGGTGCACACCTCACGTAGTCGTACAACGGATGTACTGACAGAGCATGATGCCTAGTCAGTGGGATCTAGGAACCGGGGTTCAAATATTCACGTTGCATCCCCGATGTTGAAGGAATGCTTGCGTTGATGTTGCACAAGTGGGTGAAGGTTCTGGAATAATGTGGGAAAATTCAAAAACAAGCCGAGGCAGTTCTGTTGACCTAATTATCGCTTGCGATGAAACAACATGTATACGACTTTCTCAATGAGCGGCATGTGGATCAACCTCATGTTTTCCGGAGGAATAGATGTTGTGCTCGAATATTCCTCCATTCCGGCGATAGTAAATGATTCCCTTTCGAAGAGGGCTTTGAAAGTTGTTTATTTCAAAGCTGAGGTGGACGATGGTGTTCAAACTTTTGATAAATATACATAAAGACTCTCACAAGCTACTGGGGTTCGAAACAATGGTGGTCTTTCTGGGAATCCTTGATTTTAGCAATAGAGAAGGCGATTCATCCATTGGTAGCTGGTGAGAATATGGAAAGAACAATGCTCTGCCATTATAAGCGCGCGCTGGCTGAGTGAGCTTGTCGGAGTTACTCAGTTAGACGCTTGCTGGTCACGAGGTTACATCAGTAAGATGGAAATATAGATTCCGGGTTTTCAGTGGTTTCCTTTGGTTTCTGGAAACTAGGAAACCAGAAACCAGGAAACCTGAGAATCCTAAAAACTATCTACAGTGTAGAACTATTTTTCCATTAATAATAGCTTGTTTACAAGTACGTAGATTCCAGTGTAGTACTTCCTAGTGTTCCCCAAAGGAGGGCAACCAATCCCAACCAACACCGAAGAATACAAGGACCACAACCAGATTGATGAGGAGGTTGTGATCCGCCGCTGTTGTTTGTCGGGTTGTGCGTTGTCGGTCCGATGACGACAAACGACGACAACATTAGTCATTCGCCATTTGGTTGCCATGTCGCTGACAGCGACGTGGCACCTGGATTCAGAGTCAGACAGGAGTATCAGGGGGAGTGTACTTATGTAGGCTTACCTGGATTGGCACAGAGGAAGAGCCTAGACGATGACAACATCGTACGTTGTCACCATCATTGTTGCCTCGCATCTGCCTCCACCGTTCGTTCATTGGGCATCCGGCTGCTGGTTGTCGTGGCCAAGAACAGACACCATTGCCACCCTGCGAGCAGCGGCTTGCAGGGGGCTTAGAGTGTCGATGTCGTGGGTGGGCAATGTCGTAATCAGGCGATGCTTCAAGGGAAGGTGGGTGGACGTTGAACGTTGATGGTGGAAGTGGTTGTTGTCAGATTGTTTTCGGCATTGTTTGCTGTTGTCGAAATTGTTTGTTGTCCAACTGGATTTGAGCACAAACATGACCACATGGTCTGTGCGCAGCCTCAGGGTATATAACCACCCAGTACCCATATTTTATTACATATGTATTGCATAATGTTTGTCTATGATCACAATATATTGTGTATATTCATATTATATATATACTGTGACAGGTTTCCGAGGTTTTTGCACCTATCACCCCATGAGGTTTACTGAAAAAGGGACATAGGTTTCTCAGTCTCCAAGTTTTCGGGTTTTCTGCGGTTTTCAGAGGTTGCCTGGGTTGAGAAACCTCTGGAAACTGAAATGCTCACTGATGTACAGGGTTTCTACCTCAAATTTATGCACACTGCAACTTGAAGCTTTGAAATTTGAAGACTCCTCATGTTCTCAACTTTCTACTCCACTTCTAGCTCAACTCAAAACTCGACCTTTCTGCGGTTCACTCGTGGTATGCTCAATGAAATCTCCCCGATGATTGGCCGAATTTGAAGCTTGAGAGCTCCTGCGAGTTACAGTGAAGGTGCACGGTGTAGTTTGGATGTTGAAAGTGTGGTGGGTTTGCCGCGCTACTGGCAGAGAAACATCGTCGTATGTGGTATTTGCCGTGGAACTGCTCCAGTTTTGAAGTTTGTGCAGGTTGACAGCAGGTTTTCCCTCCACTTGGGCGTTGACCCGCTCTTGCAGGCAGCTGATTACACCGCCAATTGGCGCACAGGTTGATGGCGGGTTGCCAAATTTCCTGATGCTCATCAAATCTGTCACCTGTGAGTTACCTGATCCACATGCTGTGCCCAGGCCCAGCTGGCCATCAGCTGGTTCATACATGGGCACCAGCTCTGCTGTAAACGTAGCGACCACCTTACCACAAAATTAGTATAACTGCTAGATTTCACTCAAAGGCAAGGGCTATGTAAGAGACGGTTAATGTAGTGCTTTTGCACTTTGAAATATACATTAGTCGTACGCAAATACAGCTTGTAACCGTGCACAGTGAGCGAAATTTCACCCAAGTCATTTCAAACTCAGACACTCCGCAGGTTCAAATACTTCCAACCCCAGCTCAACCTTCCTCACTCTCACCTTCCGTCTCCGGCACCATTCTTCTCTGTCACCACCGTCAATAACCACCAGCACCCTGCATCAATCGTTCAAATGCCCTCAACGATGCAACGCCAGGTAACCAGCGCGTCAGCGCACCACATTTCAACGGGATGAAGACGACCTGGCACGCCAGCGGACATGCCACATTGTCCAGATGGTGACGACGCAAATCATTGTCACCGTCCCCTTGAAACAAGGTGAGCAAGGTGACTGCTGTACCCCTTTCCTTTTTTCACATGAGAAAGCAGTGCCACGTCGCCGTCTCAACTTGCAACAGACAAATGCCGACAAACGAGGACGACCAACGACGGTGAATGTCCAGGTGAGTAACACTATACCCCTCTCCCTCCATTTTTGACTAAAGGAGCCCAGGCCATATTGCCATCGGCAATGATCTACAACAACGAACGACGTCGAGGTGAGCAAGACGACACCCCTCCTCTCTTTTTTTCACATAAGAAACAGGGGCCACGTCGTCGACGGCAATGTGACAACTAGCAACGGACCAACGACAATGCACGACGAACGCCGAACAACATCGCGTCACACCCCTCCTTTTTACCTTGTTCGTGCATCTGTTCTAGGTACGTACCCAGTAACCCTTCATGACGGCCTACCAACTCATCCAACGCCTTCTTACAGATCAGCCCGCTTGACACCACCACAAACAGTGTCAACCTATATGAGTAGTAGATAAAGTAGCTGTATATAACTCTTGTGTAGCCCGTTGTCAAAATGCAATCTATTCTTTTGTTTATGTTCTCAAATTGAAATAAAGCAAGGTGCAAATGAGGATGAATAAATTTATGAAAATGAGATGTAAACATGTAAACCCCGGTAGCTCATACCCAGCCCAATATACCAGCATTCCCTGAATGACCACCTGTCCTCAACATCTCGCTCCACCCTGGGGACAGGTATCCCTGGTGCCATGCTGTGTTTAGTGCGAAGTTCACACGGCGCCCAGCTGTCAACAGGTTGATGCGACATGGAAACTAGGTGTGATTACATCATTTGATCCAGGTGTCTGTGACCTGGCCACCGTTTGGTGGTGTAGCTCATGGTGGGGAAGCTACACTCTTAGAGGGAGCTGGTTTTGACAGCTCCTGATTGGCGCCTTCGGCTCTGCCGCCGCATTGACATGGTGATAGATGAGCCCATCATCCACTATCCCCCAAACAACATGGTTATCCTCTTCTTTCTGCATCCACGTCGGCTACTTATTCATCTGCCCTCCCTTTTCCAATTACAGCCGTTTTCATAACCATAGGCCAAAAGTTCAAAATTACAGATACAGTCGGACCTCGAATTCTAATCATGTCCACGAAAATCAGCATATATTTCCAGGCTCCAAAATGCAGCCGCTCGTCTCGCTCGATGAGCCTCTAAATACTATTAGCGTATGACAAATGTGATCATTGATGGGAAAGAACAAATAAACAAAGGTAAGGGCTCGAGCTTGCGAGAGAGCGGCTGCCGGAAAAGTCAGTCGGGAAACTCCGAGACCATTGATTAACCCTAACGTTGGGTCTCAAATCTGTAAGGACCCAGCGCGTCACATTTTGGTCACGATATGCTCGAGTGGAGCGCACACTGGTGCACAGTGTCGAGAATAGTGTCCAGGTCCTCGATAATCGACAAGTGTGAATGGATGGCCTTCAAAAATGTTTTTCAATAGAATTTCGTAAAGAAATTGGTGGGCTGTGATCTCTGAATCCTCAAAGGCCTTCACTCAAAGGCCTTCATAGATCTTACTTCATTGAGGTATTGTAGATTTGCCATTGGCTAGTTGGCAAACTGGAATCCCGGGCCCTTATGTAGAATACAATACTGCTTTGAACCTTATGCAGGTCTTGTGTATAGACTTGTACATATATAGTTTTGGACTGACATGACATTGGTGAAATGTCCACATTGGAGACTGGGCATGATGAGTATATTATTGTGGTTCTGCTGCAGCACAGTTCTGGACCTTTCATCGTAGAGTACTCCATACCCATTCACTGTTGGGTTCGAGCCCCAAGTCCAAACAAAGATCTGTCACGCAGGTCCAGGGAGTTGGGACCCAACGTTAGGGTTAATCAATGCTCCCCGACTGACTTTTCCGGCAGCCGCTCTCTCGCGAGCTCGAGCCCTTACCTTTATTTGTTTGTTCACTCCCATCAATGATCACATCATAAGATTAGTCATACGGCTCATAGTATTAGAGGCTCATCGAGCGAGACGAGTGGCTGCTTTTAGGAGCCTGATATATTTCAGGGATGACGAGCACGATAGATCTACAGTTATACTAAATAGAGTCATCATCCGACAATTTACACGTCCAATTTTAGATTCCGCCCGTACGTGTATTTGGTCGAGATTAGGCCTATCGTTATGAAAACGGCTGTAACCCCAGCGCTCAAAGAAGCACACGATTACAATCCCTATCTGGAACACACACCCATTCTACATTTCTCGCAACAACTGTCTCCCAACAATTGTCGTCATCCTGCGTCCCACCGACTCTGACCCCCCCCCCCCAATTACACACAAACCCTTTTCGTCTCATTCCGCCTCTGTCTCTCATCCCCCGTTCAGGCGCCCGAGCCCCTTCATCTGGCACCCATTCAAGGGGCGTCCGCCCTCCCTGATGCTCTCCCATCCCTCTCAAGTTGCGTGTTGGATGCGTACCGAACAGCCGCTGCGAAAAGCCTGTCGAAGACTCTTCCTTGGACGCTCCAGAAAGCTTACGACGCTGTTGACTACGGGAAGAGGAGCGAGGACTTGATTGTTTCGCTGCCCAGATTCAAACTACCAGGCTGTTGAAAATTACCAGTGGTTTCGCAAAGCCGAAAGAGGTACATAGGCTATGTTGAGCCCGCCGTGTGGTCGACTAGATTTCCAGAATGGGAACTCTGAAGGTCCCCGATTGCGAGGCACAAGTCTTGGGATTGTAAACCATTGTCCAGCGGACTCTTGATTTTGACGGCTCAGCGCTCGATGGCGCCTCTGCCCAACGAGGACGACACACTCTTTCGCATTGTTTTTGCTCTCTCGTTCTCATAGGGACGACAAACAGTTTTTTCAAACAATGTCCAGGAAAGATCAGCGCGGCAAACCCTTCAAATTCCCAATTCGCCCATGCTCATGGACGCCAATGTAATTTTATTAATAAAGCAGATCTTACCACAGAAAACGACAATTGGCCAGACTAAGATAATATATTATGTATAAGTAAAAGAACGTCCAATCATTCTACAATCGAAATTTAAGAGTGCCCAGGACTACGATACGCGAAGGGGCACATTAAGAGAATGAGGGCATACAATAATTATAAAGCGGACACTGAGGTTCGATATATATATAAACGAGAGGAGGAGGGGGGATTCATGTGCCAAGGAACGTTACGTAGGAGGGGACAAAGCGTGGTATTGAGATAGCCAGAAAAGAACGAGATGAAAAAAAGGGAGGGAGCGCGTTGTATAGTCGTCGCGTAGTCAAAAGAAGGTGATGAGCGTCCAAGAATCTAGAGCGCAAGAAAGAAAAAAGGAAGAAAAAGGGGGGCATACAACCGTCATCAATCTCATCGTCTGATCATGCATGCGAGTGGTGGTGGTGGCCATATGGTCATGCATGTAGGTGGCCATTGATATTGGAGGGGTGTCCAATCCTAACCTTGCCTTGCCACTACCCAACCCAAAACTCCAACTCAACTCAAAAATCAAAACTCGACCGCGCACTATAATAAACCCCAGAAACCATCGACGCAGCGTCCTCATATATCGTTTCCGTCTCCGTCTCTGTCTCCGTATCATCATCGTCAGTCCACATAGAGTCCGATGGAGACGGCGTGGGACGAGTACGGGGAGGAGATGCAAGAGTAGCTCCACGTGTGGGTGGGGGCGTAAGTCGGCCAGGAGGAGGAGGGGTGAGCGAGTCCCGAGCACTCGACAAAGAGCTGCAAACGCTCGACAAAGAGTTTCGAGGACTACACGAAACAGGGACAACTCCACCCGCAAACGTAGTAGGCGGCATAGGAAACTCCAAATCCTCGCCCGCACGCGTAATAGTGATGCTCGCTCGGGCGGGGGGGACGATGGTATCTGAGGAGGCTGTAGACGTCGCGGACGTAACCGACATTTTGGATCCCGCAGACATGGTGGACGTACTAGACGATGCAGTGGAAGGAGGGCGGTAGACGTAAGCCGTCGGGGGTACACGAGACGGGCTGATTGGGTGTACACGAGACGCGCTCGTTGGGGAGGCACAAGAGCCCAAGGAAACTCGGGAAGAGCTCGAGGAAACGCGGGAAGAGCTCAAAGACGAGCTTGAACTCATACTGACCGACCCCACACCCCTTCCTGTTCCTGTATGTGCAGCAAACGACGATGGAGGCAATCCCTTACCCATCTTCGCCCTAGCAGCCAACACAGAAGGTGGTATGATCAACGGAGATGGAGACGGGCCACGAGGCGCAGGCGAAGGGTCCCTGGACGCATATCCCACTGCTGCTGCTGAAGGAGCAGAAGCGCTCCATCGAGAAGGAGAAGGGCTCACGCTCCTCGACTGCGTCCTCAAAGGTGGCGATAGCTGCTTGTCAGTCCTTGGTAAATGCGAAGACGAGGCGTTCCTCGTTGACGACCGAAAATGCTGTTGAGGACCGAGAAACGACGCAACCCGTCCTCTCGCATTTGAGGTTGAGGACACTTGCGAAGTAACTCTGGATCGGGGAGGAGACCTTCCCAGCTTTTGCTCCTTCCCTTGCTTCTCCCGCAGATGTTGTTGTTCCGCACGCGAAAACGAAAGCGTCCTCGTCAAACTAACATTCAGCGGCAACGAAAGCGTCCAATCCTTCTCCCCTTCCTCCTCCTCTTCCCTCCTCCTCAAATTACTTTGAGACTTCGTCTGAAACTGACTCAACACCGAACGATCACCACCCGTCGGAAGACTCTTCACTCGTCGTCTTCTTTTCCGTGCACCATCTTTATCTTTATCCAAATCCGCGTCGGTATCGGTGTCGGATAGAGTAACACGCACAGTCGGAACTCGCGCAGAAGCAAGAGGAGGCTGAGGCTGCTGCTCATAACCAGAACAAGAAGAAGGAGAAGGAGAAGAAGGGACGCCAAGGCGTAACGTCCATTCCTTGCCTGGTCTCGTTTGCACGTAATGCCCCTCTCGCTCTCGACGATGAACGCTACTGCAGTCCACCGTCTGTCTTCCTATGTGCAGCTGAGTGATGGGTGAAATTGACTGTGGTGGGGAGAAAGGCGCTGCCGGAGAATCGCTGTCATTCTCTGACGATGAAGACGCCGATTCGAGAACGGAATTGGGGACGGTGGGGAGAGGACAGAGCGGGGGCGGTTTACTTGGTGCCAATGGGGCCGGTCTATCTTTCCTCGTCTTGGACTTCTACCCAAAAAAAAAAAAAAAAAAAAAAAAAAAGTAAGTCGTATGTGGATGAAGAGAGAAACAAACAAACAAACCTTGGGCGGAGAAGCGGAAGCAGAAGGGAGGGAATAAACGGACCCAGAGCTGATACTCGACCGCACAATTTGAACCCTTGCTTTCGCGAATGGGTCCGCATCGGCGTCCGTGCTCGTACTCATACTCAAGCTGATCCCATCGTCATCATCATTACACAACGACCACCTCTGCCGCGTCTCTGGTTGGGTGCCACCACCATGATGATGATTCTGCGAAAAGACGGGTGTCAAGGGTGTCACAGGGGACCGTGTAGACGTGGTAGATCCAGAGGGAGTAGGCGAAGGTGGGGACCGAGGGGGGTATATAGGTCTGAGTGATAGATGATTTTGAAGGGACCGCTCGTGTTGGATGATTAAAGGGATGTAAGGAATGTAATCGCTTTCTTCCGTCCTCCCCGCGTCTGAGAGCACGTCTTCTTCGTCTGAATCGGAGTCGTCTTCGAAGAAAGACGGGCGTGATTCTTCTGTGGTGGTGGTGGTGGTAGATAGTCTAGGTGCGGGGTGGTATAACGGAAAGGGCGCAAAAGAGACGGTGGTAGGGTGTGTTAAACGAGTGTGGGTGTTGGTGGTTGCCTGTGGTGCGTTCTTGCCATTGCCAACGAACGCATTTGTCGCTTGCCGCTTGATGCGCTGGAAGAGTGCCATGGGGCTACGGCTTGGCGCAGGCGACAAGGACAACTCTGAATTCAAGTCAAGGGTGGACATGGACGCTGTCGAGAAAGGAGTGGGGAGACAAGCATGCGGCATTATTCCATCGACTACAGAGTCTGCTTTTTGGGAGGTTCTTGTGAATGTCAAAAATTGGGAAGAGTCAGGGTCGAAGCGATCCGTATCAAGCGCAGCCGAAACGAGTGATGTGAACTCGGCGATTGAAAACGGTGGAGGCTCGGATGGAGAGCTCTTCGTCGTCGTCGTCGTTGTTGCCGTCGACATTCTGCTGAATAGCGGCGGTAGTGTAAAGAACGACGACGACTTTTTTGCTTTGCCCATTTATTGAGAGAGACTGTAGGAGAGACGGGATCTTCCTAATCTGGCCGATTTCATTATGCCTCTTTCTTCTCGGTTCTTATTCCCCATCGAGATACCTGACGGGCACTTGTTCTTCACCCGTATTCAAGCTTATTCCAACAACTGGATACTCCCGTAGACTCCCATCCTTACTCGAATACACTCCACTCGCCTCATGGCCCGCCACTTCCCCTGGGCCTTGACGGTGACACGCTCTGATAATCTCCAACACCTCGAGGCTGCAACTCACATTCAAACGATTGACATTTACCCTACGTTAGAATGTTCAACCAGAAATCGTGTCAACTCAGGCTCTTCACTGAATAATAAAAATTTACTTCCCCCCATCATCATCCCATCAACCCTCGAGCTCCATAACACCTGTGATGTGAATTTTTTTTCACGCGTATTTGGAATACCCACCTCCGACACTGGCAGGGCAGGGCAGATCGAGTCTCGACTGCGCTCCGGTATCTCATCTCCCGAACGAAGTCTGTTTAACTTCCCAGTCGAATCGATCCCCTCAGTTACACCAATCTAGACGACGTCGAAGAAACTTTGCTACCTATCTGAATCTTCGCGGACGATCATCAGGTCGAATATAACCCCCGTAGAACCTTGACAAATCTACACGTCCACGTCACCTTGTGGTTGTGTCCGAGGCGTCGCGTTTGTCTCTCGCTCTCGGCATTCACTCTGCTAATTGCGCACTCCCGCAATACCGCATGGCGTTTCGTCTTCATCACTTCTTGGGGTATTCCTCGTCATCCCTGCTCTGTTCAACATTTGTTATTACCTCTGCTATTCGGCTTGACCACCTCCGAAACCCCATTCCTCGTGATCACTCCTCCATTGTTCCTCCAAGCTGAATCCTTTTTTTAATGATCAATCGGCTCTCTTCTTCATCTTGATCACGTCCTTGTGGTACAGTCAGGTTCTCTACGCTTCGTTTCGATCATTTATCACTTAAATTCAACACTGTTCATCTTGATCATCCCAACACCCATGGATCCATCTTGATCACGTCTGCTTATCTTGCTGGTTAATGCACGCCGATTTCTACACGTCAACTTACTTCATTCACTGGCAATTGCGCCTACATGCGCACTGCTGCAATACCGCATAGCAACTTTGATCGCGTTTCGTTTTCATCTTTCCTTCGGAACCTCATGTATTCCTCGTCATCCCCAACATTTGTTATTCATCGTGTTCACCTCTGCTATTCGGCTTGACCAGCTCAACCCCATTCCTCACGACTGTCGGTTCTCCAAGCTGAATCCTTGTGCCCATTTTCTCCTGTGTTTTTTCTGTTATGGTCACGTCGCTACTAATCGGCTCTGTTCTTCGTCGTGATCACGTCCTTGTGCTACAGATAGGTTCTCTACGCTTCGTTTCGATCATTTAACAGTTAAATTCAATGCTCTTCATCTTGATCACGTCTGCTTATCTTGATCACTTCTCTTCGACGTCTAATCGATGCCACTGGTGATCATCAGGGATCTTCAAGAAGTTGCTGATCTTATATTAACGCCCTTGCTGGTTGATGAACACCAATATTCCCACTTTTGCAATCGAGTCCGCCTCGAGGCTTCGATGCCACTGTCGGTTTGGCATTCGCAAATTTCAACAGGCTGTATACTCATTAACACTCTTGCTGACTTTGCAATTGATCAACGACTCGGAATATCGTCGTCTTTTTTCTCTTCTCTTCTTGTTCACATCGACGCCAAATAATCGTCTTCTGGCTTCGAGGATTCGATGCCGCCGTCGATCACCCGGGATATCCAAGTTGCGGTCCAAGTTGCTCATCATCAAATAAATAAAAATTGAACGCCATCCCACCCTTTGCAATTTGATCGATGAATATCGTCGTCTTTTTTCTTTTTTTGTTTCTCTTCTTGGAATTCAGGTCGACGCCAAATGATCGTCTTCATAAATTGTTCGAGGCTCCAATGCTGCTGTCGATTGATCATTATTCAAGGTGTGGGCTTGCCCAATGAGCCATCAGATAGTGCACACAGTGAACGCCATTATGCCTACTTTGCAATCGATCGACAGCTATCGAAGCCATTCGGTACTGGGTCAACGCCAAATAATCGTTTTGGATACCACTGTCGATCACCCGGCCGGGATTCGATTTAAGTTGCGGTGGTACATTACTCGTTAATGCACTGATTCCCATCCAGAGAAACAATTGTGTATTTCTCTGGATCTAGAGCTATCATCTTGTCACCAGTACCCGCGACCCACTTGAAGCCGCGACCCACTGAAGCCGCCTAACTCGAGTTCGATGCGGCATGCCACCAGCGATTCAACTTGGTTATCAGCGGTCGACCCTCACGCTCACTTCTGGCCGATACAGCAAGAAGCTCAAGGAACTAAACTGCATGCTATCTGGATCTTCGCTAGGCTACTGATAGTGGATCTACATTCCTCTGGAAATTTGCAAGACCTGACGGATTTGGCTTACAGCTCGCGGACTTGGATCCAGCCTCCGCTCATGCTGCGGCCTATCATTGATCAACTTTATCCCTTCGCTCGTATCTTGTGCGTTATCGTTATCGAATCACTTGTGGAACGCATGAAATTGACTCGCCGTTGAAGTTCAAATCTGGTTTCCGCACGACGTGTGTGCAGCGCCAGAGTTCTAGACGCATGCAATAAAAATGGAACAGTGGAATTGCCAAACCAACAAGACGATAAGTTATAATAAAAGAAACATTTTCAAAGATGTGATCTGCGATCCAGTCGACGCCGTGTCCATGGTAGAGAAACACATGCTTTTGCTGTCGTCTCGTTTAAAACACAGCGCTTGAAGAAAGAAAAAACTAGATATGCCGGCCGCTCAACTAGCGCAACGCGAGTCAAATACTAGGACAGATGAGCGGTCCACCGTATGGGTGTCAACATCCAGCAGCCTGTAGCGCCAGACACCGCTATCCTGCAGTTTCGGAGATTGTCAACTCTACGTGAGCGAACAAAAACAGCAGGGAAGGGGTGCGGAGATACATGGACATGTCCCGAAAAAAGTCCCTTGCGTGCGGCCGCTGCACATGTGCTATACAACATTTTTCTAATTGAGCTAATTTCAATATCCGTATAAATGAAGCTTTCTCGACCTCAGCTGGGTTGTGTTTTCGCGCCCTCGACGGAAACGTTGGGATGCAATAAAGCAAGCACGATATCGATCACTGCGCGGTTCGCCGTTCCACGGATCTGAGGTTTTGTCGTGAGCGCATGGCAGTCATTTTTGTTTATCTTCCCGAACAAGTCGTAAACACCAAAGGTGTCAGCCTTGTGGTTTCTAGACCGCCGGTCTTCGCCTGTTTCATTACTCAGACCATGTTTCTCGTACACATTTGATCAGAATCCCTCACAAACTTTGGGGTCAGAAAAGCGATATCAAATCACCGAGCTATTGGCGTCAATAAACGCCAGCCTTGACCGGAACTTCTTTGCGTCTGATGGTAGCAGTCAACGTACGCAAGTCTGAAACGTCGGCACCTGTTTATTATGACCCAAAGACAATTGTCCGAGGTACACACTAGTGTACTACGGATACACCGATAAGGTGATCACACCGAATTCACATCTACATGACGCAAAACAAGGTGATCTTAAGTTTGTGCAGATGCTTGAGAGCGGTAAACCACTTTATCTCCTCCTATGGAATGCAATAATTAACGGAAGGAACAGCTGAGTATGAGAGGTGTACCGTCATAAGATCTCCATCGCAAAAATAATGGGATATGCTGGTGACTTGAGGAAAATGTTCAACGACGCCTGGAACACAATAAATTAACCTGAACTTCCAGTGGAAGGCAAAGAACTAACTTACTTGCTCCTTTAAGAAGCTCTCTTGACACCTCGACGCCAGGATTCTCACAAAGCGCGCTTTACAAGACCCGACGGCAGTGACTCTCCTTACTTTGGAACAACAAGCGACCAGATGAATTGCAGTGTCCGCTATCAGAAGCGTTCGCACTCGTAGCAGGATGCATTTTTTATGATCAAATGCCTTGGAGAAGGCGGTGGCGAATTTGTCTTGAAGGTTGAGTAACTGGATCGTAAGGAGGTTTGGCAAGAGCCGAAGGAAGTAAGCAAGTTCTTCGAAGGTCGTCGTGGAAGGATCGTTCGGCACTACCACGTTCACGGCTCTGAAAAATTTGATTAGCATCACTCGCAGACACATAATATTGGTGCCCACTGACTTGACGTAAGAAGAAAGGGCAGGATTATATAGTGTCACGACCTTCAACAGCCTTGTGAGGCCTGAAGAGAATTCCTGTGCTGAATGTCGCTGTTGGTGAGCTTGGATGTGTTTCTATGAATCATCAATCATGTCACCTTCACAGAGCTCCACCTGTTGCCAGGCTAACGGCAAAAATATGCCGCGCAGCTTCACGCATGTTTGGGACAGCGCGAGAAGAGTGGCGCGTCGTTCAAAGGGTTTGCCGTCGTAGACCGTCTGCTGCTTGGAGGAAACATGGGAGGAACCGTAATGCGACGCAATTTCATGGTAGAGTTCAGCGGGTAGGGAGGAAAATCCACGGGTGTTGGTGGGTGCCATCCGCGACAGTCTATCGTTGGAAAGACCTCTCCTTAGCTTTTTTTCACGGCAGTGGCACGCCGTCTCGACGGTCCTTTGGATCTACGAAGAAAGATTTGCCCTCTGAGTGGCCGGGAATGCGCCTTGAGATCTCTGAGGTGTTATCTTGCAAGAGGGGAAAGTTTTGTGGGCAAGGCGCGCACATATTATAGCAAAATAGAAGATGCAACTGGCTTGAAAATTGAGACGGGGATAGACGATCCAATTGTTTGGTTTTGGTAAATGGGCCAAACAATTAGCATACTAGCCGAAAGGCTCGGTCAGGTAGACAACAGCAGGGTCATGAGCGTACACACCTTGCAGTACGAAATCCTTTTATCAGGGCGGTTTGAAAACGCCGGACGCACACGTTGAAAACTCCGCTGTATCATACCCTACCATCGTTATTCCGTCAGACCCGCAAAATGAGCACAAAGGCTAAGTCCGCGCGTACCAGGTTGAACCGGCCCTGGACCACACTGACATTTTCCTCGCCAATTTCATGAATACTTAGTAGGTCCCCTCTGAATCCGCGGCCCTAATCGTCATCGATATTGTGGTTCATATATGCAACTTGAGTCGTGAACAGGACCCTGCTGAAAATCATGAGGTTTGTGAGAGCAGAAGAAGGCATTGAGGGTGGGTGCGCACTACGCACCATTCCACTCATCACCATGGTATTTCCCTCATAGATCCCTCATACTATGATGAAGTAAGGCGGCGACGATGGGTGCCAGGTGTTACTAAAGGGGTATTTCACGGCCCAACTTGGGCCAACGGAAAAGTTAAACACCTGCACGCGCCTTCTGGTCTTTGAAGGCTTGTTCCCTGATTTATCTTTGAGTTTCCTACATAAGATATTTCACGCCAGTCTTACCATCCAACTGTGTTTTTCCACATGCAATAGGCCGCCGATTTCCTCAGAGATTGGCGGTTCATCCCGATCTTTGGATGTCTCCCAGAGATTATACATTGGATTAACATGTATGCGAAGGTGGTTAATATTGAATAAGACCTGGAAAAAAAGGGGGAAAACCTGGTTGAAAATGACAGCTATGTGTGGAAAGAGTGCTCGTGTGAAAATTGGTGCGGAGCAACTTGGCTGGGGAGCTACTTGGAGCGACATGAGAGGCTTACTCCAGCTCCTGAATTACTCGCGATAATATAGAACAGAGAAGCACGTGTATAGATGCTTCATGCGCAAACCCAGAGTGTCGAACGAACATCGAGCCACATCGTTGAAGAGAGAAAGTCATCCGTCACGTGCAAGTCAATCGACTGGAATTCAAACATCCATTTCAATTTTCAATCAAGAACAGACGGTCAACTAGTCCCCAGTCACTAGTCGGTTACTAGTCATGGCTAGTCAATGTCATGACTTCCAACACTTGCACTGCTATCAGTCCCATCAACCACCTCGAAACGGCGACGGGTAGAGCACCCGTCTAAACATCCCATAGACGGGTACGGTGCGTACCTACCCGTGGCCCCGCAACTTTGATGAATTCCTGATCTTTCGTTGAGCGCTTTGAAGATCGGCGTCTCTAGATGATGTGCTATCATCTAAATCAGGCTTTTCCACCAGCTTTTACCTTGTGCTGTTCTCTATTTGGAGTCCGTTCCCCAGAAATTGTGAATCTGTAGCTCTTGGGGAGGAAGAACCTCAGCTGGGATCGTTACTATTTGTTGCGACATTGTTGCGACGAGCTTCAAACCCATCTCAGTTTACTTCGCTGGTTTTCTCTGAAAGACTGCTGTTTTGCGCCGCCATGCTGACTTTTAGGGGTGTAGGCGAAAACCATACTCTGGAGACTGGCACAAGTTTCTTTTTTCCGAACGAAACATACGCACCAGAATGGGGTCGTAAAGGAACAGATGCGGGGGTTGTCGCATGCTTCGAACGCGGGTGCTAAATTCTGGTTTTTTTTTGTGCTTGGTCAATGATCGTGATTCTCCGTTCGTTGGTCCACATGGAAGTCGCCGGAAGCCAGGAAGCTCGCGAGTAAGTATAAAAAATAAGACATCTCACTCCTCCAAATCCCCTCACTCTTTGAGTCTACGTTTCCTTCGCACCCCATCTGATAACCGACCATGCCAGGAGGGCCGTCTGCTGTAGGCGAGGGCATTGGTGCCAATGCACCCAAGGCATGTACGTTGTTTTGTGCCCATGCACTACTCTAACAATGTCTTCCAACGCTGCAGAGTAAAATCGCTGGTATTGCGATGACGGGTGAGATAACATCTCGTGTTCAGTGTAATTCAGATTTCTAACGTTTAACCCCAGCATTCGCCGCATTTGGGGGTATTCTCTTTGGCTATGACACTGGTGTTATTAGCGGCATCAAAGAGATGAAGTCATGGCTGAGGCAATTCGGTTATGCAACCAGTGACCTTGTCAACCACCAAACGGGTTTCGCTATCTCATCATCGACTGAGTCTCTCGTCGTCTCCATTCTCTCAGCTGGAACATTCTTTGGCGCTCTGATGGCTGCCCCGACCGCCGATTATCTTGGCAGAAAATGGGTATATTTTGTTACACAAGTGTTTCGATGACACAATGATTGACGGGCTATCGCCAGGGCATCGTTTTATCTTGCCTCGTTTTCTCCGTTGGTGTTGCAATGCAAACCGCTGCAACCGCGATTCCTCTTTTTGTTGGTGTTATTTCGCGACAACTTGATTTTGGGACACCGCGATAACTTATTTTTAGGTGGTCGGTCGTGTGTGTGCTGGTCTTGGTGTGGGTCTCGTGTCTTGCATCATCCCTATGTATCAATCAGAATGGTCTGTCTCGGCCTTTCTCGTATTCTTATCATGCTGACGTTGACAAATGCCTTCACAGTTCCCCCAAATGGATTCGAGGAGCAGTCGTGTCCACTTATCAATGGGCTATCACCATAGGCCTTCTTATTTCAGCTGTCGTCAACAATGCCACTCAAGACCGCGATGATGCCAGTGCGTATAGACTCCCCATCGCGATGCAATTTATCTGGGCTGCCGTGCTCGCTGGGGGCATGGCGCTTGCGCCTGAGGTCAATACACGTTAAATCTTCTTAAAATTGAGATGAACTGAGAAAATCTTTAGTCACCTCGTTGGCTGGTCAAAAGAGGTCGTGATGCAGACGCTATCCATGCAATGAGCCGCCTCACCAGTTTGAAAGCCACCGACCCAGAGCTTGAGGTCGAGCTCGACGAAATCCGTGCCAACCTCGAGGCAGAAATAGCCCTTGGGGAGAGCTCTTACGCTGACTGCTTCAAGTTCAATCACAGCAAAATTGCTCTTCGTACCCTTACTGGCATTTTCATTCAAGCGTAAGTCCAGTCTTTTGAACCGGTGATGACATAGTTGACAATTATCTTAGGTGGCAACAAGTGCGAACTATTTTCACTGCGCAGCTCATTCTTGCACTGACCCAAATGCCGTGGTGGTTTCATAGCTTACAGGAAGTAAGTGATTGGTCATGTGTTTTGGAACGAATTGTATTCAATTTGACTTGTGTTTAGTTAACTTCATCTTCTACTACGGGACGACTTTCTTCCTTCGATCTGGAATTTCCAATCCATTCGTAATCACGATCGTTACGAACATCGTCAACGTATTCATGACGTTGCCCGGAATGTGGGGTGTTGAGCGTTTCGGCCGCCGTCGCCTCCTGCTGGTGGGTGCAATTGGAATGTGTGTCTGCGAATACATTGTCGCCATCGTCGCTGTCACCATCTCCGTCGAGAACATCGCCGGCCAAAAGGTTTTGATTGCAATCGTTTGTATTTACATCGTAGGTCCTGTCTCTCTACAACCGGATATCGTTGAACGCCGATATGTAGGCTTTCTTTGCATCAACTTGGGGACCTATCGCTTGGGTCATCACTGGCGAAATCTTTCCGCTACAAATTCGTGCGAAGGCTATGTCACTCTCCATTGGTCAGCTCAACCTCCCTGACTTAGCTGTTATACTTTTTAACGAGAATTACAGCGAGCAACTGGCTGTGGAACTTTGGAATCGCTTATGCTAGTGAGTTCACCCCACATCAAAACATGCGTGATACCATGCTCATTGAAAAAAGCCCCTTATCTTGTCAACAAGGCTCCCGGATCCGCTGGTCTTGAGGCCAAAGTCTTCTTCATCTGGGGTACTACATGCTTCTGCTGCATCATCTTCACATATTTCTGTATTCCTGAGGTACGGATATTAGGCCTCTCCCTACCATCGGCTGATCTCGAATCTTTCTCTAGACCAAGGGTTTGTCGCTCGAGCAAATCGACCTCATGTACCAGAACACAACCCCCGTCAAGTCGCTGGAATACCGCAGACGTCTCGTTGCCCAAGGCCCAATTCACCCCGAAAAGATTGAACTAAGGGACGTGCATGTGTTAAGTGATGAGAAGGCCTAATTTTTCGTTGAGTTGTACTACGCATTACATACATGATTTTCTTCTGTGTAAATAAGTTTCCTCTCGTCAAAAACGACTATCGTGATCAGTGATCATCATCATACATGTCTGCATACATTTACATTTCTATCAAACCTGAAGGCCTGAAGGCTTTCAGATGTTGCAAGGGGGTTAGCCAACGAGAGTGCGGGGTGGTGGATGTCCTTCAGTGTATATATATGCCCGTGAGGGAGCGGCAAGAGAAGCGCTTATCCTCGCACTTCAGCATTTGCGAAGATGGTTGTGCTTGAAGGCCTTGTGCTAAGATAGAGAAAAAAATACCGTGAAGACACATTGTTTATATGTACTCGTAGGTGAAGCGAAGCAGAATGATATACGAGCAAATAGCCCCTGGTCAACCCTGGTAAATTTTGGGCCTTTTATTGTCTTTTCGTTTTCACGGCGCCTGAAGGTAAAACCTAGATATGCCGCTCAACGACCGCGAAACAAAGAAACGCGAGTCAAATAGGATAGATAGGCAGTCCACGGCATGAGTACCAATATACACCAGCCTGCCATAATGTCTCGGTACTGCTATCATACAATTTCGGGCTGTGCGTGAGCGAATAAAAACAGCAGGAAACGGAGGCCGACTCGCGGAGATACGTGCACGCGTCCCCAAAAAAGTCCGTCGCGTGCAGCCGCTGTACATGTGCTCTATAACATTTTTCTAACCGAGCTAATTTCATTATCCGTATAAACGAAACTTCCTGTACCTCTGGGTTGCGTTTTTACGCCCTTGACGGAAACGCTGGGATGCAATAAACCAAGCGCGATATCGGTCAGGCGGATCGCGGTTCCACGGATCGGAGATTTTGTCGTGAGCACATGGCAGTCAGGTGGATATGTATCTTTCCGAACAAGTCGTAAACACCAAGGGCGTCAACCTTGTTGTTTCCAGGCCGCCGGTCTTTACCTGTTTTATCAATCAGACCGTGTTTCTCCTACATTTATTCAAACAAGCCTCACCAACTCGGGAACCGAGAAGCGAAATCAAAATACCGAGTTTTGGCGTGAATAAAAGCCAGGCTTGACCAGAACGTCTTTACGTTTGATGGTAGTAATCAACGTACGCAAGTCTGAAACGTTGGCACCTTTTATTATGACTTAAAGACAATTGTCCAAGGTACGCGCTGGTATACGGATACACGGATAAGGTGATCACACCAAATTCACATCTAGATGACGCAAAACAAGGCAATCTTCCGCGTCTTGCGGAGAGTTAATTGTCCTGTCGAAAGCTTCTGCTGTTGTGATTTTAAGCCTGCACAAATGTCTGAGAGCGGTAAACCGCTTTATCTCCTCCTATGGAATGCAGTGATTAGCGGAAGAAACAGCGGACTATTAGAGGTGTACCGTCATAAGATCTCCATCACAAAAATAATGGGATATGGTGGTGACTTGAGCAGAATGTTCAACGACGCCTGGAGTTATAAGAAATTAATGAGAAACTGGAAGGCAAAAAGCTGACTTACTTGCTCCTTTCTTTTCAAACAAGGTTTTTTGACATGTCGACGCCAGGGTTCTCACAAAGCGCGCTTTACAAGGCCCAACGGCAGTGACGTTCTTTACTTTGGGACAACAAGCGACCAGATGAATTGCAGTGTCCGCTATCAGAAGCGTTCGCACTCGCGGCAGAATGCATTTTTTATAATCAAATGCCTCGGAAAAGGCGGTCGCAAATTTGTCTTGAAGGTTAAGTAATTGGATCGTAAGGAGGTTTGGCAAGAGCCGAAGGAAGTAAGCAAGCTCTTTAAAGGTCGTCGTCGAAGGATCTTTCGGCACTACCACGTTCACGGCTCTGAAATTTTAATTAGCGTCACTGGCAGACACGTAATATTGCACTCACTTGATGTAAGAAGAAAGCGCAGGATTGTATTGTGTCATGACGTTCAACAGCCTTGTTAGGCTTGAAGAAAATTCCTGTGCTGAACGTCGCTGTTAGTGAGCTGGCAAGTGTTTTTATGAATCATCAAACACTTTACCTTCACGGAGCTCCAAATGTTGCCAGGCTAAAGGCAAAAATATCCCGCGCAGCTTCACGCATGTTTGGGACAGCGCGAGAAGAGTGGCGCGTCGTTCAAAGGGTTTGCCGTCGTAGACCGTCTGCTGCTTGGAGAAAACAGAGGCGGAACCGTAATGCGAAGCTATTTCAAGGTAGAGTTCAGCAGGAAGGGAGCAAAATCCATGGGTGTTGGTGGGTGCCATTGGTGATGGTGTATCGCTGGATAGACCTCTCCTTGGCTTTTTTGCACGGCAGTGGCACGCGGGTGGTGGCATTTCGACGGTTCTTTGTATCTGCGAAGAATATATGTGAATGGCGGGAAATGCGTCTTGAAATCTCTTTGCTGCTGCTTAGGAAGAGGGGAAAATTTTGCGAAGCGAGGCGCGCGCATGTTAATATAGCAAAAGGGAAGGCGCAACTCCGACTTGAAAGTTGAGACGGGGATAAACGACCCGATTGTTTATTTTTGGTAACTGAGCCAAATAATTAGCATAGCCGAAAGGTTCGGCTAGCATACACCAGCACAGGGTTATTTGTGAATGTACACACCTTGCAGGCGGACCTCAGCTGTTCCGAGATCCTTCTATGACGGCATCCAGGCAATTTGAAAACGCCGGACGCACACACTGAAAACTCCACTGCAATTATACCCTACCATCGTTGTTCGGCGCCGCAAAATGAACAAAAAGCCCTGGTCCACGCGTACCAGGTTGAACCGCCCCCGGACCACGCTGACATTTTCCTCGCCAAAACCTCCAGGCAATGTCAGGTCCATCATACCAGGACCCGGTCGTCACCTAGTTCATGAATACTTGGTCCCTTTCGAATCCGTGGCTTGAATCTCATGGATATCGTGGTTGATATAATCGTGAACCTCGCCTTGTTCAAAATTATAAGGTTTGTTGGAGCAGCAGAAGGCATTGACGAGGGTGTGCACCACGCACCGTTTCACCTAGATTCTATGAGGGATCAAATACGATGGTGATGAAGTAAGGTGGCGACGATGGGTGGGTGTTACTAAGTATGCGGTGACCTCAAGCTATGTCAAGGCAAGGGCGTTGCGCGTAGCTTTAAATTGATCATGAAAGAGACGGCGGATTCATCATTCGGTTGAACCTGACAGTACGTCTGGGTTGTTGCGGCAAGTGGACGTGGAATTCTTAATCGTCAAAGGTGAGGCGAATGTTTCCTCAATATTTGTTGAAAACCTGCCAAAATATAGAGCTTTGACCTCGGGGGTTGGGGTCAATCGAGGACAAGTTGAAAAGAGTCGGTTTGGGGAATTGTCATGCTCGATGCGAATCACGTGACGACTCTGCCAAGACAATGCCAAGAGGAAAATTTAACGCCAGCAAAGCCTATATATAGCCGCGACAGGGTTTCCATCGCGTTCATCGTATTTTCTTCCAGTGAGCTACGAAGTAGGCGATTTCAGTGAATGCCTGATGTCTTTTTGGAAATCTGCCCAGTAAGTACTTCTCTGGTGGGCGGCCGTATCAGACAATTTGAGGTTGATACTATTTATATCCCAGGCACATCACACATGTGAACGTTTTCACACTCACCCCGTTATAAATTCGTCTCCCAACCACGCCCAAATGCCGTTGGTAGAGTTATCTTACCCTTCCAAGATCCCACTATGGAGAGAGCGGTGAGTACTGATTCCTCCCGACTATATATTCGCTGACCTATGACCCAATTTTCGTTGTGTGCTTAGCCTCCGGAATTTCGTGCTGAACACGAGCGATTGAAGCAAGTCATCGAACCAGTGAGCGGTAAAACAATTGCGGCCATCCTTGGGGACCTTCGAGGAGATCCGTTCAAAGTAAATCCGTCGGGCGGGCACACCTTGCATTTTTACGGTGGATCGATCTGCTCTTTCGACCACACTGGCCGATTTCCTTTGATTTGTCTCTATGGTCCTATTTTCTCTCTGCACAGTAAACTTGGAGCGTCCGAAAGCGCGTATGGGAGGCCCATAACCACAGTTGTAGACCTACCAGATGGAAGCAAATGTTGTATCTTTGAAGGTGGACACATACATGCCATGGGCGGACTTGCTGAGCCGTGAGTTTCACTCGTTCTATTTACTGTGGATTCTCGTTAAATGCATTGAAAGATTCCCGGCGGAACAGTGCATAGCACCTTACAAGCCCGTTCCCCCAACAAATCCTTTTGGGTTGCGACCAGGTGGCCTGGTATGTACCCACCTATTTTGACAACCTTGATGGACTGACCATCCCAATTACTTCTTAGCCACCGAGTTTTCACCAACGATGGGTAGAGTTGTCGACCGTTCGCCATCATTCTGGACAGATGTTTGCTGAGATCCTTGGATATCCTCGTCATTTGGAGGAAAACCCATGTGGTGGACAACGGTTTCTCTTTTTACATGGGCAGCTTGTCAGCATCAATAAAGAAAGTCTTCCTTATATCATGTATGGCGAGATATGGGAACTCTGGAAAAGCCTGGGATGGGTGGATTCTGGATGGGGGCGACCACTGACAGACGAACAACCCTTGGAGGACGGAGGGCGATGTCAAGTGATGGAGGGAGGTCACATTCACAGTTACGCAGGTATCGCAAAAGGGTGAATTACCTTCCCTTGTGGATAAGAAAAATACTGATTTGCTTGTAGATATCCAGCGGACCAATGCACCGCACGATACAAACCAACCACCCGAGCTTTGATTTTCAACCAAATGGTGAGTGAAACCTCTGCTAGCGACATGAGGAAAGTTCACTAGCCGAACAACGCTTCCAGCCTCCGCATTTCCAAAGGAAGTGGTCTATGCTCGCCCTTCAAAATCAACCTCTTGCGAATAGATCAGTAGCGGAACGTATGTCTTCACTTTCAAAGTCCCCAAATTTCGGAGGCTCATCTTAGTCATGCAGTATTGGGTACGCCCTGGCATCGATTAAAAGAAAATGGCAAGAAGCCTGGACAGCACTTCCACTTCCTGGGAGGCTACCTCATCTCTCTAGACAGCAATCCAGAGCCACCGCCGATGCAAGTCGCACAACACTCATTTCCTCCTCCTTCGGACCCGTCTTTACCAGGTTATCTCCCTCCCGGAGCGAGATCGCCTTACGGAAGCCCTCCAGTTCAATCTGGACCCCCAATGTACCAACTCCCGCAGCAGTCGCCTTCATTCCCCAGTGGTTCCAAGGGACCGAATACCATACCAATTGAATTGATTCCACCTTTTGCTGTCTATGGCACGATCTCCGAGTTTTATGTGAAGGAGGGGGGCGTAGACGGCAAATACGGAAGGCCATTGGCCGACGAGCAGGACCTTGGTGATGGCGGAAGATGCTCGATTTTCGAGGGTGGCCATATCCACATGTATCGTGGCGTGGCACAGGGGTGAAGATTCCCCTCCTCCTCTTCGTCAGACGTATACTGATATGTTAGTTTCATCAGGGCTACTCCAGAAACTTGTACAGCACCGTACCAGCCCCGATCCCCACCTCCGCCTTCTTCGACCAACTCCCCAATTGCCAATTATCCAACTCAGGCTCCTGGTATGCATCACCAGCCGAACTGGGGATCCACTAGCCCCCAACATCACCAGCCGAACTGGGGATCTACCAGCCCCCAACATCACCAGCCCAACTATCCCTCGACGCCTTCACCCCAAGTTTATGGTCAAGGTCAGCCTGGCACGCAACAGCAGCAGGGCGCAGGTATGTAACGCCTTTTTTACGTCTGTTCGTAGCATGTTGAATTAATGGTCGGTATCAGACGAAGTCCACAAACGAACTTGTGGTTGGTGGTATTGCTTGACTGGTATTGACATGGATCAGGCGCCTGAGGACTTTGGTCCATGGTGCGTGTACGCGTCAACTGGTCTCAAGCCAGGACAACACAGCGGTTATTGTTGTCATGGATGTTGTCGTGTGACTTTTTGACCAAACTGGATTTTGGGTACCATTTCTTCTGGACAACAACAACAACAACCACCACCACCACCGACCTGTGGTAGGGGTTCAGTGTTGCGGTTCCGGCGGAGACTTCAAGCTCGGGCACTCGTCTCTCGTCGATAGTCAATTGCTCAGTACCACCCTGAATCTCGGGTGAGGTTTCGGCACTCAAACGCAACTCAAACACAACTTTTTTTACGGGCCATCTCCACCACACCTTTCTTGGCCCATGACCGCGTCTCCTCTCGCCTCCAATCTTCCTCCCTTTCAACCTCGCGCTCCCCTTCGCACCTCTAGTAATCGCGCCCCGAACCGACTTCTCTTCATTTTCCCTTATTGCCGCCGTCTTCCCCCACCCACCTCCAGCACAGCTTGTGCTCGCTTTCGCCTCAGCCGCCAAAAGTCTTCCCGGATTCACCTCCCAGACTCAGTTCGAGAATGAAACCGCGTTCATCACACACGCACTCGCGCCCAACAAACTCTTCACCCAAATCCATTCAACATCACGTCGTCATCCAACTTACTCAACTCGCATCCATCTGTATCTGTCCCTGTACCCTCCCTCAAACTCGCACACTCCACTTCCGCCTCCCTTACAATGGCCTGGTCAACCCAGGGATCTTACTTGATGCTGTCACCTTGTTCTTGACAGTCAAAATGTTTGAACACCGGAATACGGAGACTTTACATAATTCTTCTTAGCACGACCACTCTATCTTTCATCATGCCAACCCAGTCTGCTGTAGGCCGTCCTCCCTTAGCTTAGCTACGCATTTGCTACCTTCATTCACTGATCTGTCGAGGTATCCTTTTTAGTTTACCTTAGTCTCTTAGTAGACGTAGGCAGGTGTCTTATTGTAACATTTGTAACACAGCGGTTATTGTTGTCATGGATGTTGTCGTGTGACTTTTTGACCAAACTGGATTTTGGGTACCATTTCTTCTGGAACTCTCTTGTTTTCTTTTTGCTTCATTTTTGGTACAAATTGGTATATTTCGAAGGGATATCTAGGGGAAGGGCATTACAGCAAAAGCTTGATGGTAACGGGTCGAAGCACTCTTGTCATTAGCAAAGAATGGGATAGGATGCGCCCTGTTTGTTGTACGGGCCAGGGTATATAGGACCCATCTGAGCTCTTTGCATGGATTGATATCCGCTCCCTGTAGCAAGCCGACCTGTGAACTGACACTGAGCAAAACTTCCCAGAAAAGAGTATCCGCAGGTTCTCCATACAAAATATTACAAAAATTATTGTGTAAATGCTATGCTCCATCGTTTCCTGCAAGCCGGTATTAGCATTCCCATCGAGGACGACGCGAAGAAAAGAACATACCAGATTCCTTAGTCCATTCGTCGTGCTTCTTGATATCTGCCTCCGTCACAGTCGGTCTTGTGCTTTCTAACGACTTCATGAAATCTGCTACCGTAAGAACAGGCTCCAACAATTCGTTTGATTCAATATCCGACCAAGTCTTCTCCACAGCATCTGCGTGTCCAGGTGAGCATGGCGTCCACTTGGTGACTTTGCTTTCAGGGTCAGTCACTCGTCTAAAATGAGTTGCGGAGATGACTTTGCGAACGGGTTGCATCAGGGCGTCGCGCACGACAATGGATATATCGGATCCAGAGTAGCCCTCCGTGAAATCTGCTAGCTGACGATAGTCCTTTGGACTGAGCTGGCAAGGGGTGTCTCCGATGTGGATCTCAAACATGCGTCGTCGCGCTTCGGGGCCAGGCAGTGGTATATATATGCGCTTCTCAAAACTGAGGGAGGTGAGCCGATCAAGGATGAAAAAGTCGATGAAAGACTTACCGACGCTTGATGGCATTGTCTAGCTGCCATGGAATGTTTGTCGCGCCAAGTACGAGCACGCCGGTATCGTCATGGCCCACTCCGTTCATCTGCACCAGGAATTCAGTCTTTATCCTCCGTGAACCTTCTGATTCCGACTCATTACGGGTTCCAGCCAGTGAATCAATTTCGTCGATGAATATGATAGCTGGTTTAGATTCCCGCGCCAACTCGAACAGTTGCTTCACCAATCTAGAGTTACATTAACTTCAATCACCCCGTAGTTGTTCACGACACACCTTTCTGAATCTCCTTGCCACTTGCTGACCAAGTCAGAGGAACTAACGCTGAAGAACGTGCTCTTGGCTTCAGTGGCAACGGCTTTTGCCAAATACGATTTTCCCGTCCCCGGGGGCCCGTAGAGGAGGATACCCTTCCATGGCGTACGCTTGCCGGTAAAGAGATGAGGAAATTTGATCGGCAGAATGACAGCTTCTTTGAGAGAGGCTTTTGCGCCTTCAAGGCCTGCGACATCGTCCCACTTTATGTTTGGTTTCTCGGATAAAATGGAGCTGGTCAGCCCTGCTCGCAGTTTCTTCGTTTCAGGATCTTGATCGTCGTCCTCCCCATCCTTCCTTTCTTTGAATGTCAAAGACCACACTGTAGGCAGCTAATGAAAACTCACTTCTTCCCCCCAGGTCCAGTTGACCCTCCAGAACCATTTAATCCAATTGCACTCTTCCCGCGTTTCTCCTCTGAGGACATGAGATGCGTCTTCAAAGTCTCTGCGCGGCCAAGGTACTCGTGTATCTTTGTCTTGATGAGTTGCTTTGATTTCTCGTTCTTCTCATCTGGTAGCCCAGTCAGAATTTTAAATCTCTTCTCTTGTAAAAATCCTACACTTTAGCGCGAGCATGAAGTAGTCCAGCGAGTTCTGGTAGAGCTTGTACGCCTCAGGGTAGTTCTGCTTAACATCTTCGTCAATGGCTCGTTGCACAATCTCTATAGCGCGCTAGTGGCAACATTAGTATAAGTCGTCCATAAAACGAGGTTCACTCACGTCTAAACTCTGCGAGTTCGCCATCTGCGATCCGCAGCCACAGCCAGGATGAAGGTGAACTTTGAAGAGCGGGTGGAAGTTTGTTAGGTCCCGAAGCACAACCAAACAAAAGTTGCCGGGCCGCCAACTGCTTTGAGCATCTTGATTCTTGATCTCGGACGACTCAATTTTCAGAAAACGAAAAAAAGCGTTTCCGAGAAGCTTTCACGCCCATTGAGTTCAGTCTTTCGAGCTTTATGGCGCTTTGCTTTTGTTACGCTCTCTCAAGACCAACTCAAGACCAACAAAATGAATTGTATGTCACAGGCTCCGAGCTGTCAAGAATCAAGATTAAGCTCTCTCTTGTTTGTGTGAGTCCATGACGGTTTGCAAGCCCTTTGTATTTCTATATCACTTATATCACTTTTCGTTTTTTTGGGCCCTTGAAATCACGACGGTGGCTTCAGTTGTGGCTACAGAATTGTGGCCCAAGCCTCAAGCCACGGCCTGAACACGTGCGGGGCGCCCTCCAATTAATAATACAATGCAGATTATAGTCCCGAAGAATTGGAAAGGAATCACGTTTTGTTTCTCGGGGAGTCTGGACTCTGGAATGTAGGCCATCGACTGCCATAACAACCCTCCGATTTAGGCCCAAAACAATAGCATTGTACTACTGCGTGTAAGTACTATACTACCAAAATGGCCCCGCGCTTTGTCCACGCCTCAAAAACAACAAAGGGTCCTGGCCACAACGTGTGGCTCTCCCCTTCTATATAAAGCCGTTCTCGATTCCTGTGTTTTCCCATCAATACTCCAACTCAGCTCGCTTCAACAAATCGTACTGCATCTTTCAAACAACTTTGGTCAAGTCTACCCTTGGTTACCATGTCATCCAGTCGCCGAATTACTCGAAATTCTCCTTCAAAATCCCACAGTTCACAAAAGTGGCGCTCGACCTCACCTGTGGATTCCTATAGCGATAATTCGAGTGATGGAACCCTCTACGAGGCAGAGATTCTAATCGATGATCTCGATGAAGCCTGTTCCATTACTTTCAAAGTAAGTTGTAGTGTTCGCGCTATTTCTGTGGATCAGGACTGATAATATTTATCAGCTCAAGGATCACGTATGGGTCCGAACGCAAGAGGGTAATTGGCTCCGCGGCACTGTGTCGGGCACAGGGAAAGAAAAACCTCTTACCCGACATGTACGACACCTCTTCCGCAGAAAAAAATTATGATCGCTGATATGAGATTATAACAGGCAAATCGAACGGGAACATATTATCCAGTCGTATTCGGAACCAACAGCAACGTTCGGAAATACTTTGCACCACTGAACGGCGAAATCAAACCCGACTCAGAGGATGTTCGGGACCTTCTAATACGTGACGGATGGCTAGAGACTGAGGAGGAGGCAGATAAGCCTTCGTGGCTCTTATCCCGATGACTGTAGTTGGGAGACCAAATTGTAATTATGGTTATATTGATATGATACGCTAATTCATTTGCTTTATCCAATCACTGAGTATATGTATAATGTCGGGCACTTTCATAGCCTCCAAACGTTTGAGATATATTTGTTATACGGCCACTGAACGATGGAGACCGTCTCAACTCTTTTATTTCTGGGGTTTGAGGCTTGTGGTCGAAAAAAAAATATGAAGACTCAAAATATGGGCTTTTATTGATTTATAAACAGGAAAATATCAGCCGCCGATCGTAAACATGTAGGTTTTGAAAACATGAACAGGCGCGACTTGGACGCGTCAGCGTCTTCTATGGATGCGAGACCATCAAGTGAGCCCTCTTTTCCCCAACTTTTGACATCCATCAATTGCGTGCTCTCATACTTGGAGACTAGTGGAACTAGTCTGGCATCTCAGCTCCCATCAGCAGAAAATATGTCCGTTCTGCAAGGATGTTTTGACTCTCAACAAGTACAATTCGAAGGCTGGGGGTGCAAATTTCATGCAATCTGCTGGACCTCCTTACCATCCTCGCCTTTTTGCCAGAAATTCCGAGAAGACGGCATGAGTGGGCCAGTTGCAATGCGATTCGGCATCATCGACTCGGAGGCGGATTACCTCACCCGATCTTCCAATTTCCACCTCTTGCCGCGTGAGTTCTAACCCCTTGCAGGGCCCACCCGATATCGATCACCCTGACAGATATTCGTGATCGACGCTTTCAAGGCACATCTACTTATCCCAAAATAAATGGGTGAACTGGGTCAGGACTCAAGAAAGCGGAAGAGATCAGCCTCTTTCCCAACTCGTCATAATATCCTATGACTTGTCAGAGCAAAGTCGCCCTAGGATGCACCTCGTGACTATGGACTCCAGGACGTACCATACGATGTGGCGAGAAGGCAACTTTACCGCCGATATCGCGAGATCCCTCCGTCAAATGACCCATGACGGCGGCGCAATTGAAAGATTCAATGCGGGCCAGTGCTGCACGAGCCCCGAAGAGAGAAACTAGAAGACGTCTTCGTTCTGTTACATACCGTCAAAACGCCAACCAAATCGATATCTTGATCATCGTCTCGGATCGCTTTTTGTATCGAGATTGAAGATTGGGGGCCTTACTTTCGATGAACAGGTGTGCAACGAAGATGAGGACGAAATATCAACGGAGCCATTATCGTTGAGTACATTTTTCTAGCCTGCCTTCTTACACTCTTGCTTCAAGTGGGCTTCCTTTGGAATGTTATTCAGGCTACTGATAACACACTAGTAAGATTGAGTCCAGACGAGATGATATCATGTTGTTCATCAACTAGCAAAAGGATAGAGAAACAATACGCGATTAATTACTCGTATGTACTTAGCGCAGACAACATAAGCAATGCATATGCACGTCAGAACAAGATACAAATGGCACAACACAAGAAACCGAAGTGAACACGACGTATAAATGAAGGGCCAAATACCAATGAGGCTTGAAGCAAAAGAGCAAAGAGAAACAAGGAAGGACACGACGGATCAGAGTACGACGGAAAAAGAAACGACAGAGACGGGGGAGGTAGTTGTCAAGAAACGTCTTCCAAATAGTACACCTCCAAATCCTGTCCACAGCACGCAGTCCCCCGCATAGGAAAAAGTGGCAACGTGCTGGGTCAGATTGGATGAAGAAAGAATAGATACGGTGTTGGAATGAAGATCATATATAACTGATGGAAATAAAGGTTAAACACGGCTGCCAGTCAAGATGCATGATAGAGAAGCTTACCGGATCTTCAAGCACCCCCATTCCCTAGATACGCCAATCCCATCGCCCGCGCACTCACATGCACATGCTTCGGCTGCGACACTTCATGGCATATTTCAATCGACTTGACCCACGCGTGGTTGACGACCTCCTCAATAGTTGATCGGTGGCGCGGGTCTGGTTCGAGCATCTTGCGTATAAGACCCCGACACGCTCGGGGGTTCAAGTTGTTGATCGTCGGAGGGCACATTGATACCGATGTGCTGGGGTTCGCACAGGCCGAGGCGTACGCAGCGTACAGCTGGTCCGAAGCCGGCTGTGCAGCACGCCATGGCAGCTCTTGGAAGTGCAAGCAGTAGTAAACGATGCCGACCGCCCATATATCAACGAGACGAGCATCGTAAGCTGGAGACCAGCACAATGGGAATAAGCCAATGTTAAGTTTGTATGAAGTGGGCAGGGATGATTTGACGAGATGGATCAACAGAAAGCAAGACATGTCAGGCTGCCTCTGCGTATGACCAAAATAACAACGGGTGAGGCTTACGTTTGCCTAGGAACTGCTCTGGAGCGATGTACGGCTCGCTTCCGCAAAGTCCAGTGGACATATGAATAGTTGCTTCCCAGGGTAGACGATAAACCGTCGATGCCCCATAGTCTCCGATCTAAGGAGCATATGCAACAATGTTAAGGGGAAATCAGGACAGGAAGTGAGGATGTCACAACCTTGAGGTGCCCTTTGGTGTCGAAGAAGAGATTTTCTGGTTTGATATCTCTGTGCGCGACACCCTGACTATGGAGATATGATACTCCCATCAAGATCTGCTTGAAGCAGCATTCGACTTCGCTTGGGCTCATTCCGCTAAGAACAACGAGTCAGCATGGAGCGCCGTATGGTATCGGGAAAGAGAAAAGTAAGCGGGAAAGGATGCATATGCGTCATCCTTCGAGACCGCAACCCACATCACAACGGGATTTCTCGGTAAGCCCCCAAAACGCCGAGTTCCGTCCTGTTCCTGAGCACATGGGACACCGGAGACAACGAGAAAAACCACAAAAAGGAATGCATGAAGGTATTCCTGTTCCTTGTACACCCCATCCGCAACCGCAACGCCAAGCAGCAAACGAAGAAGCAGAGGAAAGTCTTACTCACCCTTTCTTGATGGCGGCGTACAGATCACCGCCTGGGCAGAACTCCATGACCTCACACCAGTGTTGGTTCTCGTCCTGGATAAGATCGACGGTCTCGACAACGTTCGGGTGATGCAACGTAGAAGAGATGCAGAATTCGGCGGTGAGCTTCTTAACATACTCTTTTTCAGACTCATTTTTGCGGCGTTTGCGGAATTCCTGACACAACTTGTCAACAAACAAACGCACTTCAATGACACTCAACAACTCACCTTGATGGCATAAAGCTTCTCCTCGCTGCGGTCCCACTTATGTGCGAGCCGAACGACACTTGTAGCCCCTTTGCCGATTGCCACCTTTTGACACACGCCATACTTCTGGGTCAAACTAGCGGTGCTGTCTCCGGCTGTACTCCTGGGCCGTCCATTCCCCTCTCCCGCATCGGAATCTGATCTCTTGGACGAGGTTGACCGCTGCGAGCTCTTTCTGCTGAGCTTGGGGGTGCTTGCAAGTAGATCCTTCAAGTTGAACTTGCCAGGAGTCTCACCCTTATCGGAATGTGCTGATGACGACTTCCTGCGGGCAGGTGTCACGGGAACTGGCGCTGGGGGTTGGCTCCCACGCCTCTCCCGTCCCATAGCTACGGGCGCAGGAGCTACAAGACCAGTGATTTTGCCACCAGAAACGCCAGCCGACATGCTGGGCGCTCGACTGGGTGGCTGGCTTGGTGGTCTACTTGGGCCCCTGCTCGGGGGTGCACTTGGTCCGTCCCAGTAGCTATCTGTGGGGGACGTTTCTGTAGGAGAGGGCAAGGCCGATGGGAGATTGGGGCTCTGTGGCGCAGATGCATGCTTCTTATGATGATGGTTCTGGGATGACGAGGACGAACATGAATTGGAGTTGGAAAGTGGGACGGCTACGAGTTTTTGCAGCGAATTGCGTGTGAAGCCTGGCTGCTTATCGCCCAGTGTGAGACTGTCTGGGGGTGGGAGGGGATATGAGCTGCTCTGTGACTTCGCGATTGGGGGTGCGCCATTCATCTTTCCGGGGGTTACGGTTTGCGAGGAGGAGCTGGAGATGTGCAACTTCTGGAGGTTTCTAGATATATCCGCATGTGGGGGTTTGTCGGAAGTATCGGGGCCTTCACCGTCCGTCTGCGTGGTCTCTTCCGATGATTGGGGCGCGGCCATTGTGCTTGTAATGAGGGTCGTAGGGAAAGCCGTGGTTGTTGGTTGTTGCTGTTGTTGGTTTGTTGACTAAGATGAACGCCTTTTGAGTCACACAGACGTTTATGGGTCGAAAGGGAGGAAAGGAAATGATAACCACAATTAACAGTCAACGGGTATGTGTGCGTATATGCAAGATGTGAGATATGTCGTGCGCAAGACAAGCTTTAGAAAGCGGGTGATGGTGAGTCGTGGGTCGTGGTTGTCTAGAGGGATATGATCATGGTGTACAACACGTTCCAGGTGGTTTTAGTGTTTAAAACTGATGAAAAGAAACAGTGATCAGTGAGGAAGATGACAAGAAAAGAGGATGGGAAAGACTTGCAAGAAATGTAGAGATGAATAGACAGTCAGAGACAACTTTGTAGCAGACGGAGTGTAGCGAAGAATGGAGAAAGCGGGGAGAGCAGGCTGGAATACCGCCCCTCGCTGTCGCCTACGGTGTAGGCGGTGAACGTGGAGTGTGGAACTGAGATGCGGCGTTGATGATGGTGGTAGGAAAGAGAAAAAAAAGGACAAATGGGACCAGGAGATATACATTTGTCTGTGACAGGATTGTGTCAGCATAATCCACGTGCTAAATAAAACATTTTTTATCCGATGGCCCCTTCAGAATATACAAAACGAATCCTACTATCCTCCTACAAGCAATGTATTATCTCTCAGGATCGTCTTCCATCTGACGACCCTGAGCACCATCACAATCTCGCCTCGTTCCTTCTAAAAATGAAAGAAACACAGCAGGGGGAGACCCTGCGTGACAGTCGTATACGCGCGCGACATGCACAAAACATTCAAACCCCGAGCTCAAACCAAGCTCAAACCTAAACAAAACGCCTTGTCCTTGTGATCCAACTCAAGGCGAAACAAATGAGATCGTCCAAGTGGCTGGCCATGCTCGTCGGTAGACCGTCGGTCTCGGAACGGGATTTCAAATTTCTTTCCTAATAACCAATCGCTCCAACTCCTTCTCCATAGATCGGAATTTATCAGTAGTGATGTCAAGAACCAACTTGATCATCTTATGGCATCCTACTCCTCCCACCTCGACGGAATGAGACGGAGAAGACCGGCGGATCGCCGAAGCGGTGAGCTTTGACCCGACTCTACTTCACGCTAATTATGTAGCCACACTGGGTGAGGACATGCTCAATGAGCAGAATGCCATCACAAAACGCGCGAATTCCAGTCAACTGACCGATAACAGACGTCATCGCTTTGAATATCAACGGTTGAAGCAGATGACCCGTTACCATCCACATTGGGCTTGGCTACCTGGCAAAATTCAAGTGGACGTCTCCAAACAAATCAACATCCGTTCTCGCTACGACGGTATAAAAATAACCATCCCCCAAGATGCCCTGATATTCCCGTCAAATCCCCCACCTATCATCCCTTCACCACAATCAGTCAATCGCGTTAACCCCGCATCGTCCTTATTTTCCTGAAAAATAGGCCAGAAGCGCCAACTGCCAAAACAATTGAATATATATGATTTCAATAACTCCGTGCAGCACGGTCCAAACTTCTTCAGCCGCTGTTCCTCAATTACCAACAGATAAATGCATCATCTACTGCAAGAAAAAAGTTGTCTAGCCATCGGCTGATCTGCGTATTTCATCGCTTCGTACCTGGGCCTACGCCACCTCCACGGATATCCTATGATCTTCTTCTTCCAAGTCGACACGTATCTCGCCGCTCCTCAAGCCAGCCCAACGAATTTGAATTCATCCGAGAATTCTTGATATCGATTGAAGTTGATAATATTTCCGTGACCCTCTTTTTTATTTCGCGGCGCACCGCGTACCGTGGCTATCAAATAAATAAAATATACTGACCTACGCTTCCTGCCCATACCATCCGGGGTTCCTGATAAATCTGGTAACGTGTATATGCAGGAAACATGAACTGAAATAATAATGAATATTTCTCAGGACCCACACGGACCGCTTCCCTTAGCGGGTGTGAAGGTGAGCCATGGAGGTGAATTCGCCATTCGCTGGGAGCTGAAGGGACTCAACGCTAGGCGCCCCGGCAAACAGTTACCTAGGCGAACGTAAATCTTGTGTCAGGAACTCGGAACGAGCGTCGCACGCGGAGTGTGAACAAGAAGACGCGTTTGTTCAAGCAGGGAAGGGCGGAAGTATTTTACAACGACGTAAATTAAAGGTGAGTTGTACCTGTGACTTAATATGAAAAGATTCTGACGCTTTGAGGACACGCTGCGTGGCACACCACCAGAAACAAATCTGTCTTCATTGAACTTGGCTACCGTTCAAACACAGCACACAATGTTCTATTTTTTTTGTTCCTCAAACACCGGAGACGAAGTCAAAGGCTGAAAAAAGCAGTTGTACAACCGGCAACTTTGACGGGTTTGCGCAAGGTTTGCGGATCTACCTAGAATATCATTGGCCAACCATGCGTGGATACGCATGGTACGCGGCCTAAGGGCACCTGAAGCGTAGGCGCGGTAAGGATAGGGACCCGGACATGCCGCTTTCATAACGTTATTGTAACCGCTAGTGATACAATGGAATTAGTAGTATTGAAGCCTCATTAATATAATATCGTGTGTGTTGGTGAGTTACCGAAATAAATTGCCACTGGCTGCGCTGGAATGAGGGACGGGGACCGTAGTCTGAGGTTAGATTCGACAGCAACTTGAAGCGGCTACTCGCCCCTTTAATTTATCGGAGGGCTATCAACGTCGAGGACACCCTTGCATGCAGTCACACAAGAAATATTGCCCTTGGAATGTTATTACTGAGATTTAAAACCCATGGCAAAGCGATTATTGTTGAAGAGTCCTAACGCAAGATCTGCGACAAAATGGATAGGATTGATATTGGAATATACTAGGAAAATTTGAGAGACAATCGAATGGAGGGAAGGAACGAGGACACCAAAATGTAGGCCCAAATATTGAATCAAGGACGGATGCGTATGATAGTCGACTTGTTGCGCCAAAAAAGTTGTGCAAAAACAATGAGCAACGAGGGCACCCTCAAAAACTACACCACGCGTGCGGGATCTATCGAGCCGCGACTTTCAAATGGAAAATCAAACAAAGCTGGAAGAAGAAGAGAATGGAAGCATCCTGCGCCGCAGGACGTAAATCCATGAATATGTACAACAAACGTGGCGTCAACTTGAAGCGTTCGATCACCACATGTGCAGATACACTGCCGCATAGTAGGTGACCGTGTTCGATATGCGTGGCTTGTGGGCGTGTTTACAGTTTATTTTATGAAAGACAAGGGTCAACTGGTGCGCAGGAAATGGAAATCCAAATGGACTTCCAGGGGCCTTCGGAACGGAGGTCGCATAAATACATTTGGAGCAGTATCGGTTTGACAACTCGAGTTTCAAAGAAAATGAAGACAAAATATATCATCCACGGGAACGAGACGCTCCTTGGTCGATGAAGTCCTTTACGTTGTCGACCATAGAGTGGCGCTAGCTGTCTTTGTCCCCGATATTCCGGTAATCATCCCACTAGGAGAAATCATCCAGAAGGGTTGGCTAGGATTGGATGGCCCTTAGCGCAGCTCGAGGGCATAAAGCGCATTTTAGATTGACAACAGAGCCACGATGCCCAGGGAAAAGTAGCATTGTGTCGTCGAAGAAGTAAAATCACGGCTGACAGCAGGCGTTATTTAGCCTGGACTCTGAGCGACCCCTGGAAGCCATCCGCGTGGCCATAGACATGCACCCGCCATGATTGAGGGTATAAAAAATATCAAGTCATTGAGATAAGTAACACGTCGGGAACACCCTAGATGCATGAGGACGAGCGTCGAGAACACATGGCCAAGTAACGATACAAAGTACGCCAAACGTTCCTCAAGACGCGCAAACACGCGCTGTTAAATGGAGCTAAGAAAATAGGTAGGATATTCAATTAAAATCCCCAGATGTGACGCGCGTGCCATAGGAAGCGATATTTTGGAGCGCAATGGTAGGATATGGAGATTTGGCCGAATTTGGTCAAAAAAGTCGGAGACTCAACTTTTGGCAGTCCTGTACAGCAGAAGAAATAAGGTTTGCTGTGGCTTGCTGACGTAAGAATCTGAGTCCGCCTGTGAAGAGGCTTATTTCCTGGACGTCGCACTCATCGACGACCGTTCTCCTCAAGACCAAGGCAAGCACTCTTTTGTTGTCCAGGGCGACGCTGACGATGCCTTTGAACTGCTCTCCTCATCAAACCCTATCATTGACCACCAAACGGACGCTACATCGCTCCTCAACTGAACGTTGCTGCCATTCGTAATTTAACGTTGTAACAACACCCGTAATTAAACATCCTACAGACGCACGAAGAACGATGGGTAAGGCACTTATCTTCCCAACATATCACTTGACTAACGAGCTCCCCGCATATAGTCAATCTCCGGTCACAAAAACGCCTCGCCGCGTCCGTAGCTGGCGTCGGCAAACGAAAAATCTGGCTCGACCCCGCTGAGCAAGCTGAAATCGGGAACGCCAACTCCCGCACCCACGTCAAGAAACTTATCAAGGATGGCCAGGTCATCATCAAGCCTACCACCGTCCACTCCCGCGCACGCACGCGCGACCTCCTCGCTGCCAAGCGAAAGGGCCGCCACACCGGTCCTGGTAAGAGGAAAGGTACTTCGGAGGCGAGGATGCCTGGCAAGGTTATATGGATGAGGAGACAGAGGGTTCTCCGAAGGCTGCTTAGGAAATACAGAGAGGCTGGCAAGATCGATAAGCACCTGTATGTTTTTTGCTATCTTCGGTTCTGTGTGTGGTGAGGCAATTTTCTGACGGTCGGCTTAGCTACCACGTGTTGTACCAAAAGTCCAAGGGTAACGTCTTCAAGAACAAGCGTGTGCTCATGGAGTACATCCACAAAGCCAAGGCCGAGAAGTCCCGCACAAAGGTCCTCTCAGACCAAATGGAGGCTCGCCGTGTCAAGAACAAGGTTCGTCGTTCCGTTACCCTCCTATCGTTTTTTTTTGCATCTGACAAATGCCTACACAGGCTGCTCGGGAACGTCGTGCCGCTCGCATCGCCGAGAAGCGACAGGGTATCACCGCTGTCGAGCACGAGACTGCCCAGGAGTAAATGTAAGGGGGATATCGGTATTACGGGGAAAATTTACCTTGTCTTTCCGTTCCTCTTTCTTTTTGCCTTGTATGTCATCTCACATCCATGCATTTCGGTCTTCACTTGCTCGTTATTACAACCATCCCACCACCAACACAAACCATATGTATCGACTGCTCGGGAATGATTATGCCAGGTCTATGCTCTCATTTTATGGTTTTAAATGAGTCGTGACAGGTTCATTGCGTCAGCAACATCTGGTTGCGATAATCGCACTGTGCGGCCTGAAGCAGCTGGATATCTTGCAAGAGTCTGGAACGTGGCGAATAAACCAACAACCCAATGGGAAACTGCGTTGAAGGCTGCTGAGGTTGCACTGGGATCAGCCAACCGACCAGCAAAGCCCAACCCCGGTCACCATGGCAACAGGTCCCACAAGTAGAACCCCCATGGACTCATGGAGGAATCACTGACAAGTCCCCCCATCAGCAACCAACAACTCATTGTCGTCCAGTAATAGAAGAAGTTCAATGCCTTAGCGAGATTACTGTACTGTTTTTTGGCACATATGTACATCAAAGCGGACCTCTAACGTCTAACTCCAACAGGCTCCCTCAGCCCAGCGCGCTTATAGTGACAGAGCATTTTTCTTTCCGTATTCTCGCCAACTAACAATGGATGAACCGCCTTCACCATTGCTAAAGTCAAGGATTCCCAGAAAGACCATCATTGTTGACCTCAGTGAATTATTCGGGTGAGAGTCTTTGTATATGTATCATCAAGACGTGAACACCATCGTCCACCTTGCAGATTTGGAAGTTACGACCTTCATTGTCCTCTTCGAAAGGGAATCATTTATTATCACTTGAACGGTGCGATATTCGAGCACAACATTCATTCGTCCGGAAAACATGAGGTTTGATTCACATGCCGCTCATTGAGAAAGTCGTACTTATACAACTCACGATACCTTCAAGCCACGAATCATTGTCCCGAAACATCCGTCGCGAAAATTCGTCGATTTTTCGCTTGTCCCCGTCAGAGGCAATCAGATCCTACTATTCGCAAAGTACTTCGAATTCACAGGGCAAATTTTGGACCACTTTCTACACCTATCAATCCATGAAATCTGCCCCAATAGCCGTGTTGGTCCTGCTGTGTGGTCCTTCAACAGTACTTGTCCCGGTGATATTTATCATTTTGATTTGGAGGTGATAAATTTCACCGAAAATCCCTTGGCAATCACTTTTTGGGCGCGGTTTAGCGATGAGTGGAAGCTGTTTGATGTCTCTACCACTGAAACAGACGCCTCGGATAAATTTCCTTTGATTGAGCCCGGGAGAATAGATTTTGATCTCAAGGTCGAGTGGTTGAAGTGGGCGCGCGAGAATAGTCTTGGTTGGTCCAAAATTCTCATGCAGTGTTGAACCTGCTCTAATGTGTTCTCCAAGTCAAGCTATCCCCCGACAGGCACATTCTTCTAACTGCGGATGTGGAGAAAGAACGACACAATGAAACGATTGACATTCACTATTCAGATTCTGGTGGCGCAAACTTTTCCTTTGTTACCCGCATCTCTATTCCCATTCCCGAAGACCCAGAAGATTTGGATTTTGAACTGCTGGAACCAAAACTTGCGTTTTCTGCCGATGGTTCCAAGTTTGCTATCGCTATGAATGACGGAAGAGTGTCTGTTTGGGATATCCGAAGCAAAGTTCTTCTAAAGACATTCATATTCCCTCAGAACGACTGTTTCATACACTATCTTCAATTTAACAGTGGAAAACTAGGAAAAGAAGTTATGGTATTTTTAGAGGTATGTCTGTTGTTCACCTACTTCTCAAATAGGTGGCCTGAACCCTTAGCGCGATTTTTTCTCCCGCCTTGACACCATTCATGTGATCGATGTGACATCGTTTGGGACGCTTCTCTTAAAGCTAGAATGGCTCGAAAACTCTGGAGAGTATAATGTAGTGCATGCGCTTTTCTTTGATCCAAGCGGGGGAACTCTATATGCTCAACTTGACGGAGCACTCTGTGAGTGGGACCTGCAGAAAAATAAGTGTGGTCCTAGATGGTGGATCGGGGAGGAGTAGGATGTCTCTGTCTACAAAAAAGAAAAAGTTATTATAGAAGGAATGCTTGCATTGGCGAAGTAAGGTTATCAGCGGCCCAGCTACTTTCCACCAACGATAAGGCCAAACATAATTGATTTAACGTGAACAGTAAGAAACTCTACGACCATTTATATAATATATTATCCATGTCGGCGGCGGCTGCCAAGCACATGTGGGATAAATTTTGAGTAAATTTGAGGTACTTGTGTTCAGCAAAGCCTCCATCATTTCTCGAAGTGCCCTCTCTGGCAGGGTAGTGAAGTCAAAGCAAACTGTTTGTAGACGCTTGAACACAGAGAGATTAGACGGCGCCTCCTACACCAAAACTATTAGAACGTAATTTAGAAGCTCAGAGTTGGAACATACCAGAGTGAAACTTGGATTGATGACGTCGAAGGCTATCTCCTCGAGGTCTAGAGCTTTTCTGCAACGACTACGGAGATGATTGAGCCAATGCATAGAGCAAGTTGCCAGATAAAAATGGAGTCGCCTTCGCAAATTTCGTGTGAAAACCTTCCAGTAGAGATTACGTTGGGGCAATGTGCTAAGACGGTATCTAGAATCTTTTATGGTGACCAAATCATTCTTCAGGTTGGGAAAAGATGCCAAAATACCATGGCCATGCGAAGACGCCACGAAATCCGCATCTAAGGGAATGTTAGATACTTAGATGTCTGATTGATTGTTTTCCTCATGCGCCACCCAATTCCTGGGATATGCAGAGTGTGAAGGTTAGACAAAAGCAACAAGCACCGAACGAGTTCGAGGAGGACTCTGTCGAAAAGGTAATAGTATGACATTTACGACTCTGCGATGCAGTTCGTTTTGCAAGTTCAAATAGAAGCTAAAAAATCGACTCACTGAAGGTATTTTGCCAATTTGGATCCAGAATGATTCTCCAACTGGCGCACCAGTTCCGTGGCGATGTCATTTAAAATGACCTAGCTAGTCTTGCGCTTGCTAGCGCAGACCTCGATGAGCTGCCACAAAAGAGGTAAGAAAACGCTACGCAGGGAATTGCAGGTCTCTAAGGTATCATGATATTCGAGATATCGAGCATCGTAGACAGATTGCTCGTGCGCGTGAGGGGGTATGGGGACCTGAACGACATTGGAAATATCAGGAGTCCGACAGGGAGCGAAGTGAACCTATGGGCATTGCAATATTGACTGGTCTTTCGAGTACAATTCGACGGCATCCTGTAGGCTGTTGCGATCTGGTTTCGTTCGTGAATTGTGTCGCGTCCAGATCACATGCCGTGATTGTTCTCTTTCTCCTCAACCACTGACAATGTCAGCCTATCCTTCAACGATCTCTAATAAAGACCGGAATGTTGACTACCATACAACCCTATTTCGCCGTCTCACATGGGAGGGTTCCGTTCCCCTTGAAATCCGTGTCGATCCAAAAGAGCTCCCTGCAAATTCAGATCGCGGCCTCGAATGCTACTACATCCAAGCCCCTCGCATCAGCTATCTGCCTCTTCTAGTTCCAGAAATCCGTCGATTTCTAATGGACGTCGTCTTTGACGAAGTTGCCGCCAAGGTTCTCAAAGAGGAGGACTGGTGGTTTGAGAGTGAAGAAGGGACCCTTCTCAAATGGTCAGCCTTTCACTTCTCCGTTTTACGGTCCATCTTTGACGGCGTTACTTAACAGTTGATCATCTGTAGGCACTGGCCCATAGGTCTTATCTATGACAACCATACTATATCGACATCCGTCCGTGTGCCTTCGGCACCCTCGACCTCTACGTCCACCCCAATGCGACTGATACTGCACTTGGCTTCTCCACCAACCGAAAAGCTACTCCTCGCACCAAACGTTGAAGCTTGCAAGCAGGCTTTTATGGGACAGTTGAAAGAAGCTGACTTTATCCGCTGGGGCAGTACGAAACGGATGACTGGGCTGAGAAAAGTTGATCAGGACGCTATATGGGAGGGCATCAAAGAGCGTAAGTTTTTCAAAGCATCCACTTTCGTCTTATTAACGTTCCCACCCATGTCCTACAGATAACTTTGACGAATACTGGCGAGTTGCAAGCAAGGTCACGCCCACTGTGACACCAGCGCCTCCTCAGTCTCCTGCCCCGTCTGCGACGATGAATCCTTCCGCTGATCAAGCTGCTCCGTTTGACAGAGAGAGCGCCTACAGCGTCCGAAGTGTTCCTGTCAGAATATACCTCCCAAATGGTCCCGTCATCCAAGAGCTTGCTCCAGCCCTTCTCGAGGATGGTAAGCCCATTTATTTCACCCACTGGCTTTCTAACCTCAATGTATTAACATGTTTTGGCAGGTACACCCCACACCCTCTCACACTTCTTATCCAGCTACGTAACTCTTCTATTCCCCCTTCAACCGCCGGCCCCCCCTCCATCAAGAGTGAATCCGAACCCACAAGCGCCAGCCGTTCGTCAGCCTGCATACGCTCTTATACAAGGCGTGTTGTCTCCTCCGGATGCGGAGCTCGCTTGGCTTGGGGCGTGTTTGGCTGGAGCGGATGGGTGGCTTAATATCTGCATTGGGATTTTCCGAAATTAGATCTCAGCTTTATATACCCAATGGCCTTCTAATATATGCTCACAAGACATGAATGTTGTTGACAGTGACAGCTTATAGGCAATGCTCAGTATAGCTCATGGGGGTGAGCATGATGGATCAATTGACCAAGCCTTGGGTGACCGAGTTTTCTACGCAGTGATGCAAATCTAGCCTTCTCTTTTGGTCTATCGTCCATGGTATGCTGTTACAGGTGCCCCATCACTCCGCTCAAAAATAAAGGACTCAATATCGCCAAAAAAAACAACTTGAGTGGTAATATTACTATCGACAGATTCTAGCAAGGTTGCTAAAGAACCAAGATCGTGTCTTTGAATTACAGGAAGTAAACGACGCTGCTCTGCTACTACTGGTCCGTCGTATACTAATCCCGAAGTGAAAAGAATTTAAGGACTGTGGAGGTAGTTGTTGAACTAGAAGGAAACCGTCAGATAAAACTGATCGTTCAGCACATCAATACAACGATGCTTACGAGGTTGACTGGGACGGAGTCGGTACCTGGGTTGCAATTACGATCCCCTTTGGCGCACTGCATATCAAAGTTTGGTGTTAGTGAACAACAGTACGGTGTAGTGGAAGACTCACGTAAATACGAGCCAAGAAGGTGTTGTACATGGAGTCGAATTCAGCATTGCTGAAAAATCCCACATTCATTATGTTTGTTAAACAGAACACCGTTTAAAACTCACTTTGGAATGTTAGATTTCTTGCTACTCAAGAAACTATTGAGCGAGTTCCTGAACGATGCTTGAAATACCTTGTTAGTGCTAGGGAAATGGTTATCGACAAGTAAACGACTCACCCCGATTGAAAGGTTTGTCTGAACCTGCATTTCCGTTCAAGGTCGAGATAACGTTACCGCTGACGGCTTGGGCAGCAGATGCATAGATTGCGGTCTGGTCGCATTTTTTGATGATGCCGTTGCAGCAGAGAGCTCCAAGCACAAGAGCAACCTAAGACGAATAAAATTAACAGCGTTACAGCTCAGGAGTGTCTTTATTGCGTACCGATCCACAAACAGCGGCAATGCCACAGGGTACGAAAGACCAGACGGTAAGAGGTGATGGCTAGAAACGTCAATCAGCAGCTGGGCAATCGCTCAGAAAAAAAAACATACAGGGTTGGCCACGAAAGCCATGCATGCCGCCGCAGGTATAGAACAATACCATACGAACTGGTCGAGGCAGGTAGCGCGTTCCTCGTAGTATGCGCGAGTCAGGCTAGTCTCGGTAGGGCTTGGGATGTATTCAGCGTAGTGGCTGGCGGGACTCGCAGCAACCAACTCCCCACGTTTGAGGTTCCCATCCGCAGTAGGGACTTCCCAGTTGCGCACGTCAATGGCAACGGGATTCGCCTTTGCAAGAGAGATGGTAAGAGCTGCTGTGAGGAACTGGAGGACGAGCATTGGACTGGTTGATGATGATGATGATGAGTAGTCTCGACGTTGACGTCCTTCCTTTATATACTCCAGGAATTGCTAGCGGTAGGCATGTTTTTTCTGTCCGATGGGCTTCGTCATCGTGCTCGCTAGGGTCCTAGGATGATACTTGCTTACATTCGAAATTTGTTGAAGAGCCCTCCGGTGATGGCGGACCGCGCCAAGAACGTCATGATCGTCGAGTTGGTGAGTGGAAAAAACAACACTGGTATGAGATCTCCGACGAGCCCGCGTGTTGATCAAAGAAATTTGGACGAAGTGAAGCGAAGCCGCCATATTTCACGCCGTCATCAAAGATGATGACACGAATATGTCTGATTGAAGTGATTTCGCACAGCCGAAAAGGCAGATCTAGAGGAGGTTGCATCGGTGGAACCACATTGAAGGTCTATGATGATTGTCAAAGAAGATATCTCAGCGGAGGTAAGTTGCCTCACAAATGAGTCTGGACTCTGAAGTGTCAGAAGATCGACAGAGGACCGAATTTTGCGTACTTCCAATCGATAGCTGTCGCCTTTGCCGCCTTCTGTCATGGAATCCAAGCTTGGTTCTCCCCGCCTGTCAGCTCCAACAGCGATCTTGATTCTGCAGCCCGCCGTTCACACTTCAGTGGCTTGGATACGACGGCAAGAAGTTGATTGATATCAGTTTTATCACGCGCTACAGCGTCGGAGCTGACACGCTGACGATGAGGTGACGGTGAGTGCTGCCCGTACGGACCTCATGGGCGTTTGTCCCATCTCCGGCAACGGGGTGAGGTTTATGTCAAGGTCCGAAATTTGCCCAAAAGAGTGTTGAGGAAGCGAGGGGAAGCGACCTTGCTATTGACCTCCATCAACACAGCTGGGGAGGCCGGCGGAAGAGGTTGAGCTTCTCCTTGAAGAAAGTTGTCAATTTTTGAGTGGCAGGCATCTTGGTGGCTGACCAAAGCTGAACAAAAAACAGACTTCAAGATGTCAGCTACGCGGAGCGAAGGGTTGCGCGCATAGGCTTTGCGTTCAGACCTCTGCAAACATTTTAGCCATATATGCGCTATATTCTCGCTTATGAATATCTGCATTAATAGTCTAGACGTATGACATTGACAGATGTAACAAACGAGCAAGTGCCATATTATCGCGTACTATGACCAGTGTACTGTCAATTCCAACATATGTTTCAAGGTAAGAGCAAGCCCTGATAGTTTCCGAAAACAACCGCCTCTTCCCCTTGGTCCCTGTCCAAGCGGATGCCGAAACAGGTTCCAACTGTAACACTAAACTCATTTGGTTCTTGTGCAGCAACTACTACGCCTGGTTGCTGCTCCTGGATGATGCGGATGATGACAGTCCGTAAGATACGTGAGTTCGAAAAGCAGTTCTTGTATAGCGCGTTGTACTGCTCCTGCGGGTACGAAAACAAAACCGTGTCGAGCAAAATACCGACTTCAAACAGGGTCATGTTGAATACGTAATCGTCACGGTCAGGGTCTGGCATGCGCCATATGACTGGACGACCAAAAGTTCCTTCGATTCGTTGTACGCCGGGTACCGCAGGAAACAGAGAACAGTCAACACGATCGATAGCAAGCTTTGGGGATGAAAAGAACGGATTGGAGTGTGTTGAGTCTATGTCGATAAGAAAGTCTGGTTCAGCCGGATGCGGATGCTGTGCGGGGGGTTCGTGGTGGACTAGGAAGACGAAACCCTCGTGCTGAATGAGAAGACGCCGCTTCAATACAACCATCTCCGTTATCTGGTATTCGGAGGGATTGAAGCGACGGCGAGGGTGCATAGCATTAGGAGGGGCATGCTGGTGCAGGCGAATCTTGTCAATTAGGTGCCTTGTGGTGTGGCATGTGGATAATTCGGCAAAGAACGTTTGGGCGGGAGCGCCTTCAGCCATGCTTGGATGAGCAAGAAAAGTGCCAACCGCCTCAACAACATCCTCTTTTGTAGGGGACGGCAGCCCTCCCCAAAGGGTAATGTCAACGTATGTTGTCATCTGCAAGGCTACACGGTCAGCGCTGTCAATCGCAATAGCAACAACAATCATAGTACCTTACTTCTCAGCTTGGTGGGTAAGGTTGCGTTAAGACTGTCTGAGACACCATGCGCGACTGCAAGTTGCAGACATAGACTGACATAGAGTGTGCCGATTTGATTGGATTCTAGTAATTTCGCACAGCCAAAGAGTTCAGCAGTCACTTTGCATGACCGCCTGAAGACCCCAACAGATCATTATTGTCAAAGAAGAGATTTTAGAAGTCCCATGTTACACTTGTAGAATCTACTCTCCCCGCCATAAATAATCAGTTACGTGCATTCATAAAAAGCATACAGAGAAACGAAATCCTAAAAACAAATCAATCTTTGGCCAATAAGAAACAGATCGCTCCAAGTGCTGGTGCGACCAGGAAATCAACGAGACGCCTCTCAGGGAACTGAGCGACCGGAGTCCCGAGAACTTCCATAACGTACGGAATGGCGATGAGCGCCACTGCGTCTGCCTGAAGCTCCCGAAGAATATCGGATGACTTGTAGAACAAAGTTCTAGCTAATACGATCAGCTGGACAAGAAATTTTGTTAGCTATACATAATCTGTAGATGGGGACGGAAAACCCATAGCTTACAGCGACTGTGACCATCCCTCCCCTCCCGAAAACGAATCTGCTGTCTTTGAGCACTGGACCTCCATATTCCTTGACAGTAGCGACTGCAACTTGATTATCCAGCGATGTACATTAGACTCTTTCCTCGAATTCATAGTGGTGAAGCGACATACCGAAGACTGCAACTGCGATGTAGGCGACGGCGGCCAGGCTACAGATCAACTTTCTTCGGCAGGTGAGAGATTCTTGAGCAGCACGAGGAGGTGCAATGAGAGGTCGAGATTCCTCATCTTCTTGGAGAGCTGGACGCTTGGGAGGTGAGGAGAGGTTTTCTTGTCTACGATGGAGTCGTATATAGAGCAGACGAAGCAAAGCTACAAACAGGACACCTGCCAGAGAGGCTAGTTGGTCCATTTCGCTGTGAGGGAGTGTAAACAGGCAAGATATGAAAAGCCCGTGAATGACTCGACTGGCCACGCGCTCAGCACCGCGCTTCGGCTGTGACTGGTCCAATTGGGGAACGCAAGGATCCGGAGATTTATATCAGCCTTCTTCTCACTAGAATTTGTCGATGCTGAGGAATGGAAAAAGCATCTCTGTAGCTTGTATGATGGTTCACCATGAGTTGAGGTTCAGGTAAGCTTCCTGCTCTGGCCGGGCCGTTCTAACCTGGCTTTAGTAACATATCCACTTCCTTCCGAAAAGATTTTAGACCTGAGCCCAGCCGCCAACATTGTTTAAATTGGCAAGGTGATTTACCGTCACAACCAAGAGAAAAGTATGCGTAGAGGCTAACGACGACAAGGTGGAGGAGTGAAACGAAAGATGAAAGTTGGATGAAAGGGCACGTTAGGGCGAAGCGCGATCGGGGAGCTGCCGAAATCGATCAGCCCTCTGATAGATACTAATCCTAACGCGGATCAAGTTGCGCTTCTGTTCTCTGTCGTAGTAGTCACTTCAGCCAAGACGGAATTGATCGATATTGATCAGCAGATTTTTGGGAGCTCTCAAGTTTTTATGGGATCCCGGTGTGACATTGTTTCAATGTTTACATAAGTAATGCGATTTACCGTCACAACCCAGTCCTGAGCGCTGAGCGCTCGCGCATGGTGTCTCAGCCAGTCTTAACGCAACCTTACCCACCAAGCTGAGAAGTAATGTACTATGATTGTTGTTGCTATTGCGATTGACAGCGCTGATCGTGTAGCCTTGCAGATGTCAACATACGTTGAAATTACCCTTTGGGGAGGGCTGCCGCCCCCCTTAAAAGAGGATGTTGTTGAGGCGGTTGGCACTTTTCTTGCTCATCCAAGCATGGCTGAAGGCGCTCCCGCCCAAACGTTCTTTGCCGAATTATCCACATGCCACACCACAAGGCACCTAATTGATAAGATTCGCCTGCACCAGCATGCCCCTCAGCCTAATGCTATCCACCCTCGCCGTCGCTTCAATCCCTCCGAATACCAAATAACGGAGATAGTTGTATTGAAGCGGCGTCTTCTCATTCAGCACGAGGGTTTCGTCTTCCTAGTCCACCACGAACCCCCCGCACAGCATCCGCATCCGACTGAACCAGACTTTCTTATCGCCATAGACTTAACACACTCCAATCCATTCTTTTCATCCCCAAAGCTTGCTATCGATCGCGTTGACTGTTCTCTGTTTCCTGCGGTACCCGGCGTACAACGAATCGAAGGAACTTTTGGTCGTCCAGTCGTATGGCGCATGCCAGACCCTGACCGTGACGATTACGTATTCAACATGACCCTGTTTGAAGTCGGTAACTTGCTCGACGCAGTTTTGTTTTCGTACCCGCAGGAGCAGTACAACGCGCTATACAAGAACTGCTTTTCGCACTCACACATCTTACGGACTGTCATCATACGCATCATCCAGGAGCAGCAACCAGGCATAGTAGTTGCTGCACAAGAACCAAATGAGTTTGGTGTTACAGTTGGAACCTGTTTTGGCATCTGCTTGGACAGGGACCAAGGGGAAGAGGCGGTTGTTTTCAGAAACTATCAGGGCTTGCTCTTGCCTTGAAACATATGTTGGAATTGACAGTACGCTGGTCATAGTACGCGATAATATGGCAATTGCTCGTTTGTTACATCTGTCAATGTCATACGTCTAGACTATTAATGCAGATATTCATAAGCGAGAATATAGCGCATATATGGCTAAAATGTTTGCAGAGGTCTGAACGCAATGCACTGGCATATGCACGCAACCCTTCGCTCCGCGTAGCTGACATCTTGAAGTCTGTTTTTTGTTCAGCTTTGAAATTTGATCAGCCACCAAGATGCCTGCCTGCGAAATCACTTCAACCCCGATTCCGCGTGGGCGCGCGTTGCGTCCTTTCCATTTCCAGCACGGAGATCATAGCATTCTTTGCACGGTTTGATTGAAGATCAAAGCGCCCCGACAACTTTTCGTCAAATTAGCTGCAATGATAATCAGCCACGAAGTGCTGCTAAACTCATTTAGGGACGATGAAGAATATCCCCATGTCTGCTACTCATTCCTTGGGCCTATAAAAGGCGGCAAAGCTCAAGAACGAGGCCAAGAACTCGATGCTTGTCCTCCAGATCCTCACAGCGGCTCTTACCATCTCTTTCGCAAAGGCGAATCCTGTCGTTGTCGACGTGCGCAACTGGGAGGCCCCTACCACGAACGGGGACTTCAAACGCGGGGAACTGGTCGCTGCGAGTCCTGCTAGCCATTACGCCGAATACCTCCCAAGGGCTACAGAGACCAGCCTGACTTATCGTTACTACGAAGAACGTGCTACTTGTATTGCCAAGTACCTATGGCAGCATGCATCGCTGTCGTAGCCAAACCCGTAAGTATCTTCTTCTGACTGGTCCAAGATGCTGCTGAAAGACATTACATACTTAGCCGAACCCTACTACGGTCTGGGCTTGGGCGCCCTGTGGCATCGCAGCTATTTGTGGTACGGTATGTATCAAACTCCCGTCCTAGATCTCCTAACTCTATTCTTGTCATAGGTTGCTCTCGTGCTTGGAGCTCTCTGTTGCAACGGCGTCATTAAAAATTGCGACAAGACGGGTTTCGCGTCGATCGCTGCTGGTACGAAGCCCGTCACCGGCGACGTTATGTCGGCGTTGAATGGTGGTGCAGGTCAAAACGCACCTTTCACTCGTGACTCGGGGTTTGTTGATTTTTTATTATGTCGATTTCTCACCAAGTAACAAGTAAACCAAGCATCATATAGGAACGAACTCAACAGCTTTTTGAGGAGCAAGGGTTCCAATGTCCCAAAGTAGGCTTTCTAGAAAGCCTCTTCAGGAAGCAGGATTTCAAGTGACAACGATTTCAACGCAATGTACAATAACTTTTTGTCTCGTGCATTTGTGAGGCCTTCACTATACGCAATATCGTTTTTTTCAACTTACACACACTGAACTTTGTAGTGTAGCTTCGGGCCTGGAGAAGGGGGAAGTAGTTACCAACCGACTTCTGTGTCGCGTGAAGCCGTAAGATCCCTCCTTGTTGTTAAATTCGAGCTCAACGACAATCACCTTCTAGTTCAATGATTATCTCCATCGTTCGTAAGTTATTGCCTTAAGAGCACTCGGGCCAAGGGAGTGGACAGATGGAATCGTTCTTTCATTCTCATTTCATCGTTTATCACTACCTTCACATATCTGCACTTGTGCCGTGTTACATGTACACTTCGTAAATGATTGATCGTATATGCATTTTTTAGGCATGACACATCGATGAGTCGTAGGAAAAGAGGCAAACTATATCTGCGAGTACGTCCGACAGCCAAAGTCACACCGATGACCACCAAACTACTGTCCAACAAGCTCCCTGAACTCATTCCCCCAACTCGGGTTCCTAGTGATTTCCTCAACAAATGCGTCAAACTTGGGACTGACACCAGCACCAATTTTACTGAGGGCAGCCACAGCCCTCAAAGCACTCCTCTGTAGCTCAGCCGCTCTCTCAAGATCCTGCTTGACAGTATCTTTCGTCACAGTAGCGCCCTTCATCGTCTTCTCAAGTTGTGGGGTAGCCTCGTCCAGCCTCTGGGAGACGGCCGCGGGAGCTACTTGTGATAGGCGGAAGAGCATCATGTGGGAGATAACCTTGATCTCGTCCGAGTCGTCAGATAAGCCAGGCAAAACGCGCCCCAAGAATTCGTGGAGGTCGAGCTTATTGAGACATGTATCGAGCTAAACTCAATGACGTCAGACACATACATATCATTTGCAGGCGAACGGACACGAACCAGGGTGTACATGGTTTCATAAGCGGTCTTCCTCGTCTCGAGACCATCGTCCACCTTGTGCGTCCACGGGCCCATCTGCACAGTCCTGACCAAATCAGGGTTGACGTACGTCTCCTTGTATAGGTTCGGAAGGAGGGCTGTGAGATGATCTCGGACGAGATGAGGTTTACTGCGTGCTGCAGAGTTGAGCGAAGACAAAGCAAGTCGACGGACGGTCTATCAAGAGAAGTTCAGCGACTAGAACCACTGGCGAAGATGTAATAAAACTGACCAAATCTTCATCCACCATCGAAGAAAGGAAGTCCACGAGCAGAGGGGCAAGGAGTTCGTCGTACGATTGTGACGCATCAGCAAAGGTGTAGCGGATGGCAGACACAACAGTGGCTCTAGTCGAGGGATTGCTATCCCGGATACGGGCCTACCAACGTACTTCAATACACACAAGTTGCGACACTAGAAAAGAAGAAAAAACGCACATGGAGCTGTGGCAGGTACCTAGAGGGATGGGTAGTTGCAAGTTTCCCAAGACATGCAGCAGCCACGTTCCTCGTTGTCTCCTCGGCGTTCTGAGAGTTCTCAAAGAGGGGCACCCATAAAAGGTCCGCAACACCTTCGAGTTGGCCTTGCGGACAGTGCGTAACAACCTAAATTGCAAAGGCTAGGTGGGTAACATGTCTTGACTAACACAGCACCTTACTTACCTCCTTGGAAGCGTGTAACGCCAGCAAACGTTTCTTAGGATCGCTTTCTACCATCTTGATGATCGCGGGCAGGTATTGTTGCAAGTTACCAATCGCGATGTTTCCTGAAAGAAGGTTGGTTCATTGTGAGAAGTCAAAAAGCTGAAAGAGTACTTGCCAGCAGCAAACGCAGCCGCTGAACGCATTTCTTCCTGATCAGAGGCGAAGTGGTCGATAACGTTAGAGAATAGATCCCTTTGCGGTGACATATCTCTGGAATCGCACGTCAGACAACGTAGACTCTACGAGAAGGGTCTTACATGACACGACCAAGTTCTCCGATTATCAAAAGACTCAGGACAACGAGGGAAGGTTTGGCCTTGCTCTCTTTCTATGTCAAGAATCAGCCTCAAACAAAGATAGGAAAGAAGCGTTAACAAACCCTCAAGTTCTTCGAGTACTCTGCAATGGTACCAGCCGCGACACCCTGAGAATACTTGACCACCTGAGCAATGCACTTCGCCACATTCGCTGGGCTGTTTTCTGCCTTGGGCGCCTTCTCCGAAGAAATGGCCAAGTTTGGAACGAGGTGCGTGGCGATCTGGTTGTCGGCTGACACTAAAGAAGCGAAGAACCGGAAGAGAGAGTCCAATGCTGCACCAGACACAAGGGGTGAGTGAGAGACTGCGTAGATTTCATTCAAGAGATCATGCTCGATTTCTGGGAATGTGGTTTGGGGTGAGACTTCGAGGAGAATGGCGAGAATGATGAGGGCTTGTGAAAGAAGTGAGATATCGGAGGTGGCGATGTAGGCTTTGACTTGGGGAACAAGAACGGCTGGCAATGATGCTGGGATGCCAGCCGAGTAACTGTCAAGATCCTAGTTAGCAGGGAACTAAATTTGATGACGACGGCAAGAGAGCCTACCTGTTCAACAAAACATCCAAAGCACCGAAAACCTCTGCTTTCCCAAGCCTGCTGCTCTTCTTCAACAAACCCATGAGCCATTCAACACACCCATTCACCCAATCATCTCCAACCCGCACTTCCCTCGCAACTTTAGTAATGACTTTAACCGCGCCTCCAGTTTTCCCAGAGCTCCTACAGATAAACTCCCACTCTTTCCTGCCTTTGCCTTGAACAGTATCCGTCGCGCAGATCCACAAATCGCCAATACAATCTTCCGCGCACGCTCTTACTTCCGCATCAGTGTCGTGGTTGCTCAACCTAACCAATGCTTGATCATAAACACGGTCCACCCAGTCAGCAGGCTTAACGGGCTTCAATGCCGTCAACAGCGCCGAAAAGACCTTGAAAGACTCTGAAGCGATTCTTGGGTGTCTTTCGCCCAGGGACTGGAGGAGTACAGGCGTGAGAGTTGATAAGGATGAAGCAAATGTAGAAGATGCATGAGTGGAAAAGAACAATGCCAGGAAAGAAAGAGTAGTCAAATGAAGGGTTGAAGTAGAGGTCGTTGGTGCCTGAGCGAGAATGGTCTTGGACGTCGAGAAAATCAAAGGAACTTGGGTCGGCAAAGACCCAGGGAGCACAGATAAAAGAGCATGTAGGAGACTGAACCCAGCCTGTAGCGTTGCAGGAGAGGTCTTGGACGACTTTAACTGATTGAGGAGAGATTTTGACAAGGCTGGGACCTGAGATTTGAGTAGGGTATAAGGAGTTTCTTCCAAGTCCATGGTCTGCTCGGTGTCACGCTTTCGCTTTCCGCGAGGGGTGCCATCGTCTTTGTTTTGAGGGAAACCTCCGTAAACCCCAGTTTGGTTGAGAAGGATAACATATGTCGCCCATACTTCCAGGCGAACCGTCTCCTCACGATCTCCGAAGCGGGAGATGAGTACCGGAGACACATCTTTGTAAATGGAGGTGAGGAGCTCAGGGCGTGTGCCCACCAGCGCCGCAAGCAATTTGGTAGCAGAGCGGCGAACTTTGTATGAAGTGTCTTCATCGTCGGAGTACCTTTCAAACGATAAGATCAGAGCTAAGAGCTAGAAGAAAAAAGTGGGTCTCACTCGTCTGCCTCCTCGTCGTCGTCATCTTCATCAGCGTCCGCCATTTCTTCATCTTCGTCGTCTCCGCCAGCATAGTTCTGTATAATCATATTCAGGTCAAAAGGCGAAAGCTCACGCGGAATGATACATACCGGGTCGTACTTAATGAACTGGTTACCAGCCTGGATGATCGAGCTCAAATAAGGCGTAATTTCGGTCGGACATCTGAGCAAAAGGGCCTCCAGCGCTTGGAGTGAACCTTCCCTCAATTCCTCGTCATCCTTCTGGATAGATTTCAAAATACCAGGTACAATGTCGCTCAAGACAGGTGCGATTTGGGTTGGCGAATGACGCGCAACAGCTGCGATTAACTGGACAGTGGTTCTCTGCTTCTCAAGGCTTGCAGAGGGTGCCAAGTTCGGTAGTACTTTTGTCTTCAGTAGTTCTGTGAATAAAGCAGCCTGCGAAATGGGGATGAACTGGGAGAGGGTAATGATCGCGCGCTTTCTGACAACAGGACGCTGGTGGTCAAGGAGAGGTGCCAGAGCTGTTAGAGGTGGCGGCGAGAAAGTTGCATTTGCAAGATTGTTGGGGAAACGGCTGATGAGAATCGAAAGAATTGACAGTGTTTCGACGAGAGCTTCTGGGGGCGTAGTTGGCTAAAAGATCGCAAAGATAAAGAAAAGCCAAAAAGAGACGTATGAAAACTTACGCTCGTGATTTGTCCGAGTAACTTGGGAGTCAATTTAGCACAAGCAGTTGCTGCGATCTTGCCATCTGGAGGCAGCTCCGCTGTAATGGTCTTCAAAGCTGCGTCACACGCTGATTTAGAAAATTGCTTTGTATCGATAGACAATCTTACCTAGTCCCGAAATGTCGCGAAGTTCTTCATCTTTGCCTCCAGAAAAATCAATCAACTTGTCCACCACATTTTCCATTTGATGCTGGCGCAGGATTTTGATCAATTGCCCGAGACTGCATAATGTCAACTGAACGCCAATGATACACGCCGCTGAACAGACCATTTCACAGCTTGATTCTTGACTTCAGATATCTTGTCCTCTACGAGTGCTAGCACCTGGTTTAGCACTTTGTTCTCGACGGTCTCATCTCCCTGAAAGGATGTCGGATCTTGCTTGATCTCTGTCATCAAGTCGTTCAATCCCATGAACCTGGCACACAAAAGACAGCCCTGTCAGAAAGTGTGGCAAGAACGCGTGGCTCTCTGCACACCGAAAGTCCTGGTCTGGCGACTGCATCTGTTAACGCCACCCAAACTTCAGCATCATAGCGTGTATAATCATCGGATAGGAGCGTACCTTCTCGATGAGGTTGTTCATTAGATATCCCTTCGTCATCGTGAACGTCGATCTTTGATAACAGATGAAATGGTGGAGGAGGCGATGGCGAAAAAGGGCGCGCGAGATTTGGGCCTCAAGGCAATATATATGGACACGTGACGGTCTATATTGCGTAATTACAGCCTTTGTGCGGTACCGCGAAGTCTACGACTAGTACTTATCGCCAAACCACTGCCTTCATTGTGCAACCTTCGGTGTAAGTACCTTCACGTTAACGCCATGCTAGAAAGAAGCAACCGACGGCATTCCGCCTGGAGCTGATCAGAGACTCGTAGTTTCTCTTCAACCTACCATTTATCTCCGCCGAAGCCTTGATGTATTGACGGCTGGTTCGGGGGCAAACGGTTTTGATGTAGAAAGAGCTCCATCTGATAGACAATGGCAAGGTGGCGGTTAAGGAGCTCCGCAGACGCCCATAGCGGGCTAAAAATCCGAGAGAAAGAAGTTCAACATTCCAATCAAGTACCGACATATACACAGGAGCACACAACTAAGGCACTTGAGGGGACGAAAATATCTCAAGCGCGGAGCTGGTTGCGCAAGTTCTGCTCCAGAGGACCCTTTGGCCTGATGAACTGCACGTATGCTCCGTCCCTACAAACCCCATTAGTTCCGCACTCTCAAAATGTAGAAAGGTCACGATACTCACTGTAACACCTTCTTCTCCTCCTTGAGTTTCAAATAGTCACCCTTCGCAACATTTGTGAAACCCCACTTCTTCGAAACGATGATCTTCTGTCTTCCAGGGAACTTGTAACGAGCGCGGCGAAGAGCTTCCATAATAACAGGTGCGTTGGCGTCCTTGCAACGAATGGAAAGGATGACCTGGCCAATGTTGACACGCGCAACGGTTCCGTATGGCTTGCCCCAAGCTCCACGCATACCAGTTTGCAGTCTATCCCAAGGTTAATCAGTCGCAATGCCAACTGAGATAGGGGGGGAATCTCACCGATCAGCTCCAGCGCAACTCAACATCTTGTTGATCCTGATAACGTGGAATGGATGCACCCTCACGCGCATGTGGAAGGAGTCCTTGCCGGAAGTCTTGGTAACATATTTGTTGGCGCAGATACGGGCGGCTTCAAGTGCTTCAGAGGAGAGCTGCTCGTATTCGTCGGAAACCAGATGGCAGCAGAAGGGGAATTCGTCGACTGAGGCACGTTTCCTTCCAAGATCGAAAATGCGAATCTACAAAAAGTTAGGGATGTAAAACTGCAGTAAGATAGATATGTGCACATACCTTGGGATCGGGGACACCACGGTTATACCTTGACTTGGGGTATGGCTTGTTTTTGCAGTAGCGGTAGCAGCGAGCGGGACGACGACCCATTTTTATCTCTACGAAAAACCAGTCAGCAAACTTGCACAAAACGTCATCCACCCAATTCCATCTCCATCCACCCTTCAAAATCACAATCCAGCGTTTCCAGCACCTTCACAATGCATCCAAACGGTCTAGGGTCAAGGGTACTCACAATTTCGGGGGCTTATGCTAGCCTGCCGGTTCGATGGAGGGCTTTTGTACTCTACGGAGCACGATGACAAACCCTGTTACCGAAGGATGAGTAAGTGTTTGGTGGTATTTGCTCGCTTCTTGACTCCACGTCGGTACCTTGTCAAAATTTCCTCAAATTCAATGAGGACGTCGTTGCCGCTTAAAAAAAAAAATAGGCGAAGGCCTGAAATCGTCTCCCCGTATTTTTTTCACCCAGGGAATTGAGAATATTTGTTAGCGTCACAAGCGAAGAGTTGGAAAAATGTTCGACTGGATAATAAATCATTCGTCAAGATCCCACATCTTCTACCTACTTACTCATTAGGCATGTACACAATATTAGCAGGTCCACTAAACGGAATGATCTCAGTGCACCTTCACGTTGGGTTGATTCAAACATACCGCTTTTCGACACCCTTGATTGAATTGGTCAATTAATGATTTTGAAAGCGATAAATTTGGAAGACTTACCTTCTCCTTCCACGCAATCTGCGCCTTCAACTCCGTCAAGCCAAACAATAGGACAATATCATAATCCACCCGGAAAAAATATTGCCGATTTTTCCCCCTTCCTTTGGCACACCGTTGAGGGCGGATCGGAACGTTGGCTTTGATCCAACATAGGTCTCTGTACAATTCTGGGGAGGGTATACATTGGCAGAATCAGAACTTGAAATTTGCACTCACTACCTTCAACATCTTTCCACATCGTAGAGGAGACATTGTCACCAAGGTAACAAGATACGGTGGAGAAGATATCTTCAAAATGAGCCTTTGATTGGTGACTTTGGCTGACAGCCAGACGAAACTCCGTAAGTTCATCAACCTGTGTATTCTTCAAAAGAGAAGGTAAATGACAAGAGAGGAGATTATATCATACTTCCTTGCCCGACTTACTTTCGGCAAGATAACAGAAAACAAACCAGGAATCCTCTCTTCATGGTCAGGATACAGTATCTTTGTTCGTATACGTTTGATGTGTTCTGGGTTAGTGGGATCATAAAGATCATGAAGGTAAACACCAAATGTATATCTCGAGATGCGAGATGAAACATAGCGGTCAACGTAGAATGAAATGGCGCCATCGGAAACTGCCTTGTTGCTGACCGTCAATAAATCAGCAAAAGAAAATTAAATTTGAAAAACAAAAGAATCACTAACACATGAGTTTCAGCGCGGAAAACACTCAATCCAAGTGGTGTGAGACATCGCTTCACTCGCTCACAAAGCCATTCACTGCATGCGAATCCACCAACCATGACAACATGCTGGAAATACATAAGCACCAAGCACAAAAGAGAGTAAGGTGTTCAACCGACTGAAATACTGAGCCCTGCCTTCTTCTGTTGAAGAATAGCATCGATAATACAGAGAACCGATGGAGCGAACCATTCAGAAACAGTTTGCCTTGAAATAATATATCAGCACCAGAGGGTAGTCGAGAAGGCAAGTTGGTGGTTGAAGCGTACCCAGGAATTTCTAACCGACCACGAACAATATTGCATTTTGGGTCGTTGTCACGATTTGAACCGAATTTCACAAATTGTGGCACATTTTCGTCTTTAAATCGATGTTTGGTTGTGGAATCAAAACATTTGACGATATTCTCAATGTCAGTACGATAAGGGGATTTAGCAAGAAACTCTGTAAGTGATTTTCAAAATATCGGACAAAAAGCCATCTGCCATTTGAAATAACGCACTGGAAAGCCATTTTCGCGCGTTAACGGTGACAAAAGTTGAGCCATGGAAGTGACCTAGAATCGAGAGCATTGGCGAGTAACACCGGAGAGGAGAATCCACGTACATTGAGGAACAGAAATTTCGCTGTACCTCTCTTTTTGTGGATGCCGTTGGTAAGCACTGATATCGATTGTGCCACCGCCTGCATCCACGATGACGACACCCTCCTGCCTCTGTACTTATCAGATAGTGCACTACGAAGAGAGGGTCTATTAGAAAAACAAACTTCTATAACACCTGAGGGAAGTCCATTCTGAACCGCAAAATGGAGACTGGCTTCCCCTTCGGTGACGAACGATAGCCTTGAATATCCTGAATGATCTCGTGGGATGAGTCCTGCCAGAACAGCAGCTTCGCGCAGACTGTCCTGTTGCAAACCTTCCCATCCATTTGGGTGGGACAATACAAAATGAATGTCATCCTTGAGAGTGAGCCATAACTCCCTTCCGTTCACATCAGTATCTTGAATATAATCCGAAGAACAAGTAAACAGGTAGCGGAGAATATCGGCAAGAGCATCAACGGCAGATTTCCCTTTCGGAAGAGGAGGGATTTCTTCAGCGATATTGGGCCTCTCATTTATATTGTTCCGGAGATGCAGTTTGAACCTGGAATGAAGCTTTCAGGCTCAGCGACGTGAAACAAGTGTTCAACTGACCATTCAGCCTTTAGCCAGCCCCGCTTCTCAGCTTCGACCAGAGTGTCCTCGCTGATAGCTTCAGCTCCGACGGCTTTGACTTCTCCTTGCCGGTTGTAGAGGACAATTGTCGGGATCTTTGATGCCCCGCTAATTTGCTCTTGTGCGGGAAACCTAAGTATGTTCATTCACGCATTCGCATGTCAACCGAGGGACGTGAACGAAGTGGACGTAACGTGCCTAACTACGCTTTTGATTTCCGGTATTTTTCCTGGTTCGAGAATACTATTGTTAAAGTGAACATTATAAGATTTTCTACCAACTATGATAGGGCAGGGAAACGCGCCTATAAGAAATTCCACTGTACGTTGTGCCCACGTCGAGCGCGAGCAAGAGTTTCCTGCGGGGTCCAGTATATGCTCGATGTAATGGCATGAAAAAGGTCCAATACAAGGTAAAGTCTGAGAAAATTGTAGTGAACTAGTGGAGACTCCAGAAGTTCCTTCGTCAACAGTTGGTCAACAGTCAAGACGTTTTAGTTGACTTGGCAAGTGTTTTGTCAATGTTAGTATTCGAACCTTGGCCACGTGAGCCTCGTGACTCTGTACTTCTTCTAAGAGTGGCCATCCAGGATCCCGCCCTTCGACCAAGCATCCGGACCTTTCTTCGCTGAATGCGACTTTGACTCTGTCGTTGTCAATGGCACCAGGCGTACTTATTGGCAGAATCCTCACCGGCGGTATCGGCTCATGCTATCTCTTGATGTGACCTAACGTCACGGCTTACTTATGTCAGCTTTTCAAATGCCCCCCCTCTTCTAGTGCTACGATATATGAGCATTTGCATTTCGTCATCCTACATTTCAGCCAACATGGGAAGAACAGCGAAACACAATCGATCTCTGTGCGATTTTTTCCGTAAAGTTCGCCGAATTTTGGAGGTGAGTCTGGTTGGATCCGGAGCCTGGAGCTTTTAAAGCTGTTCCAGGTTGGTTCCAGGGCAAACCCACGCCAGTCGGCGCCAATCTCGGTTGGTATGGATTCATTCTGTCTGTAACCTGATCCATTATTGATGGCGATGCCGCACATACGACCCGGTAAGTTACTTTCACGACTCGTTTTCTTGAAGTTGTAACCTGTCGAGCTAGTACTTCTACAGTCTTGAACTTCTCATGGTCTCGCAGCCCGAAACAGATGTTTCGGTGTCGAGCTTCTTGACCAAAATACACCACGGCTTGATATGTCATGGTTTCGCAGTCGATTGACGTACAGATCCTCTGGGCGTCCATCAGTCCACCTCGGAGCCGTAACAAACGAAGCCCTGCTGATTGTGATATTCGTTTTCTTGATAAAGTGGAGAGAAAGTACTTACCGTATCTGTATGCAAAACAGGGTGCAAACACGTCGCCGAAAACGCCATATTCGGTGGGTAACTGCGAATGATGGCAGAGAGCTCATGGCAGATATCAAAAAATGCGGGTTCTCGCATTCAGGTTTGCGTCCATCTTGATGGAACGCGTTGCGACAATGTACTGCGCAAGTAACCAAAGGTTGAGCCTGGGTTGAGCTGGGCGAACGTTCCAAGGCGATGTGTGTTGTGCACTGTTGTGGATTTTGCTCAATGGTCAAATTTGGATCAATTGCTTTCGGAAAAAAACGATCATGTCTCCTGCCTAAAGCGACGCCTGCATCCACTTCTGCATCATCATCCTGCCGATTTAGAATGGATGAAACTTTGATTGTCCGGCCTCAAGGCCTCACGGACAGAGAATGTCAGCGGATGATTCGTGTAAAGCCGACGAGGTCTTGTGAGTCTGCAACTTGTTTTTCGCTACTTGATTATGGGAGTCCTGACGCTGACCATACTCTTACAATCATCTCTATCAATTCTAGGTCCCCCGTATATTTGTGTAGAAATATGTGGTTAACTCTTGGTTGACACTTACCTTCTTGAGTAAGCATGTCAAGACGATCTGACACTCGTATGTTTCCCCTGAAGGGGATGCGTCAAGGGAGCACTGCCTCGAATAAGTACGAAACTGTCATCCAGACATCCGAACTCCAAGGATATGCCGAAAGCTTGGTTAGACATGCCGTCTGTCACCCCTGAAGGCCAATCTCTATATAAACGGTGAATGGGCGTCCTTCATTCCTCAGTGCCCGGTGCATTCCCATATCATCACATCTCAGGTATTTCGCCTACTGCCCCCTCTCATATCACACTCATCCTCCATCTTGCAGATCCTAGGCTGGTCCTACGTCTTACATTTTTTTTTATTCAAAACACACCCTTCAGCTGTGCGTCGATTATTTTTCTTATAGAAAAAAAAACAGATCAATAACCACTAGCCCATATTCTAGCTCGTTCATAAATACCATGCGTTTCTCAACTAGCATTGCTCTAATCGCTGCCGTCGCCTTCGGAGGTAGCAGCGTTCTGGCTCAGGTAAGCTTGAGGTTTGTGCTATGACGACGTTACATCGATATAACGATTCGCTTGATAGGAATACGATATCACCTCCCTTGAAGCTCGCGACTTCGATACTGATCTGGAGGTTCGAGAACTTGATTTTGATCTCGACGCTCGGGACTTCGATCTTGACCTGGAAGCCCGCGAAATTGAGAGCGAACTCACCACCCGTGAACTCGATTCGGTAAGTCGCTTTCGGTTGCTGCTATAAAATAATCTAACAACTTCAATGCGCAGTCTATTGAAGAGCGTGATGTCGATGAGGAGCTCGAGGCTCGCGGCAGGGTATTTACTTTTTCCTTCTGCATTTCGTAGCTCGGAGCTCACAAGGATTCTCTAGCATGGCAGAAAAGGCCGTCACGGCCGCGGTCGAAAACACAGGGGTGGCAGGAAAGCAGCTGCTCCTGCAGCAGAGGCCGCACCCGCTGAAGCTCCTCCCGCTGAGGTAGCCACTCGCGAGTTCATCGAAGAGCTTGAGGCTCGCGGCAGGGTATTTACTTTTTCATTCGGCATTTTGTAGCTCGGGGCTTACAACTATTCTCTAGCATGGCAGAAAAGGTCGTCACGGCCGCGGTCGAAAACACAGGGGTGGCAGGAAAGCAGCTGCCCCTGCAGCAGAGGCCGCACCCGCTGAGGCTCCTCCCGCTGAGGTAGCCACTCGCGAGTTCATCGAAGAGCTTGAGGCTCGCGGCAGGGTACTTTTTTCTTCGGTATTTCGTGGCTCTGAGCTCACAAGTATTCTCTAGCATGGCAGAAAAGGTCGTCACGGCCGCGGTCGAAAACACAGGGGTGGCAGGAAAGCAGCTGCCCCTGCAGCAGAGGCCGCACCCGCTGAAGCTCCTCCCGCTGAGGTAGCCACTCGCGAGTTTGATCCAGAACTCGAAGCCCGCCAGATTGAGGAGATCGAGGAGCTCATTGCTCGGGCGCCCCGAGGCGGTGGTGGCCGTGGAGGTGGCCGACGTGGTGGAGGTGGTCGACGTGGCGGCGGCGGACGTGGTGGCCGAGGTCGCAAAGCCCAGCAAGAGCAACCTACTGAGGTCAGTTCGCCCTGACTTATCTAATGTTAAATTATTAAAAACTTATTGAATCGTAGGAGGGTTAAGTGAAAGTGTAATGTGACACCGCGGATCTAAAGATTATCTCGCGTATGATGTATCTAACTATCTTGCATCAAATTTCGTGGGATTCTTTTTTATGAGCTTCTGCGACGACTTTAAGTACAACAGATGTCCATCCGTGATGATTCCTGAGTTTCAACAAGCTACATTGCTATGGCTTTCAATTTGGAAGATCATTAAAAGGAGCAAGGCTCAACACGACGTAGGTGGAAGCGCGGGGGGGGTCGACAGATAAAGTCCATAATTGCTGAATTTGTTGCTCTTCAGTTCTCTTCCTGTTGGGTCCAAGAAAGCGACGCGTTACTTTATGTCACGTGATGAGAATCTTTAGGCTTCAACTTGGGCAGAGGGCTCTTTTCACTCCTTTTAAACAAGCTGACCTATGCGCTTCCTATACGCTCTCGCTTCGTGGACTTTTACCTGTCTCTGTGTGTTTCCGAGCCTACGGACGGCTTTGCATTCTGTTCCAGTGCGATATGCTTTCCACCTCGGGCAATGCCAGTGCACAGTCTGCCTAGGTTTCGTCGCCAACCCACCTCTTTGGGTCATACCTTGAGATTCTGTGCGTCAAACCTCTCATGCATATCTACGCTGTTCTGAGTCTTGTTGATCTGTGTATCAAACCTCGGCGAAACTTCTATTGTAGATTCACTGGGATCTAAGCCTAGGCAATATCACAGGATCACAACATCATTTTTCTGAGAGGCCCTCTGGATATGAAATACACCTGGTCCACCTTCAATTAGATCTACTAATATGTCCGATCTGAGGGTAATGCTCCACGCATTCATGATTCAGTGCTTTGATCTTAATCCTTTCCCTCCTACCATGCTCTTCTCAGTTTATTTAGACAAAGTCTCGAACCGTGCACGTTCTTAGGGCCATCGCTATCGCTGGAAGTTGTTCTCGTGATTTCCACACGTGCAAGACCGATCGTTCCGGAGGACCTGATCTGTGCCTTTCCCCCGACTGGGCAAACGTCTTTATGGTCTTTGAGATTCCATTTATGTATACCTCCTTACCCTCATTCCCCAACCACGATGTCATGGCCAGCGGACGATTTGTTTTGAAGGGACGCCATACTACGATCTGTATAGTCGACCTTTGTTGATCATCGATACTGGGCCGTCTTCTTGGGCTACACTTGCGATTGACAAAAACCTGGTCTGAGCTTTGCAAACCATTCCAACCTTGATCTTAAACCTTGATCCCCCTTCCCCCCACATTCAATGGATGTTTCCGCGGATCTCTGTGACAGAAACAAGGCTCCTTATCCCTGAACACGCCGTCAGTGCTGTTAAAACTTTATCTTTCCTTTTCTACGAGCCTTCAGGAAACAACGAATACACAGCAGGGTCCCGATTGACAGGTTCTATCCTAGGGGCTGACACTAGAGCTAAAACGGGTTGCGCCTTTCCCGGCGTAGTCGATCATGGAGTTGTAAAAGCTGAATCGGAAGGAATGAGAAGCTACTAACCCCGTGTCTCGTAATTGCATCGATATCGATAACAAGAAATGGAACGCGTGTACTGGCCAGGATCCGCCCCGTCTCCTACGTATAAATGTCTGAACTGCTTCAGTCAGTTCTGCACTTTTGCGCCCTCTGTTGATTCCTTCATTACCACTGTACGACATGGTGGGTATGCATCTGTTTCGCATCTCCCACTCATATTTATCTTCTACAGGTTGTTACGATACAGACACTGTCTCCTGGCGACGGCAAAACGTACCCCAAGAAGGGCGGTGCGTCATTACCATTTCCCTGCGCGATCATCCACTCAGATCTTCGCACTCCTTTGCAGATAAGGTGACGATTCACTACATCGGAACTCTTGAAGATGGAAGCGTCTTCGACTCGAGTCGGGAACGGTGAGCATCCCCTATATAACAACCATGAAGGATATCTGAACAAATGCCTACTTTGTCAGAGGGATTCCATTTGAAACAGAGATAGGTGTCGGTAAAGTGATCAAGGGCTGGGATGAGGGTAGGTTGCCTATCTCCCTACGCTGTATGCTTAATTGCCGACGAGATTAGGCGTACCTCAACTATCACTGGGCCAGAAGGCCATTCTCACCGCTTCCCCTGATTTCGTCCGTGTTTTTATTCACCCCTCCTGGCGTCTTTTTCTAACGGGCCTGTAGGCTTATGGTCCTCGCGGCTTTCCACCTGTGATACCGCCAAATTCAATCCTCAAATTCGAGGTCGAACTCCTGAAGATATCCAAGTAGCCGTTATCCCTCTTTATCTCTTTGTCCTCTCTGTTTTGTTGGGTTGGGCGCGGACTGTATGTTTTCTCCACCGCATCTGTATCTTTCTGCCATCTGCAATATAGTATTTTCTCAACTCTGCAATTGTGATGATTAGATACATAAGAATCAATTTTGATAAACCGGTTGTAGGATCGATATCATCATTGCTCGGTGTCAAATTCAATCTAGAGTTTTAGCTGTTCTCTTGAGCCCCCTTTCCCATGACTGATCGTTCCACTGTACTTCATCCCAATCACCAGCGCCCACCTCCTGCATTTAGTCACTCCATTGCTGACGCTCAGCCGATCTTCCCATGTACGCGCGCCATTCCCTTGGAGAGCGCCATGAGGCCGTCGATTGCTCACTGGCCAGGCTTTTACGGCCCTCAAGTCCCTGGCAGTGATAGATCTGAAATCCCAAGCCACCAAACGCGACATATCAAACACACTGCAGGCTGCGTCCTATAAACATATTTGAATTCTGTTGCTGCGGTTCAACTTGTCGTTCCTCAATCAACCCTCAAATGTTCCTAATATATTTTCCAGATAGCCAGCCGTCATCAAGATTTACGAAGCTGCATGGCTTAAGAACCCCCGATTATATGATATCTAGAGATGCATTCTTCGGAGATGGTAGATCTTCCGAATTCCAAAAATGCCCATAGTTAGCCTTTCCCCCAGAATTCCCCACAGGGCTTAAAGCACTGACTGCTCGTGTCAGAGGGTGGCAGAGATCATGTTTATCGAAGTCGATCATATTCAACAACCACTGACATCTTGTGTTGCCAGATGGGGAACTCGACTTGGAGAGGTTGAAGGGTGGACATCGATGAATACTTATTGGTTTACTTCAACTGTCAATTTAAGTCGTAAGCTCCGACGATCCCATGTCTGAAGCCCAGGAATTTGTTACCATTCGCCTAAAATTGATATAATTTGTTTTCTCTCAGGCTTTCGAGGAGCAAGTTCCGAGTCGGAGTAGCTAGTAGTGATGACTGGTCCCTCCATGTCGTGCCCAACGTACTCAATTCGGCGGAAGAGGCCGTACTCTCCCGCGTTGTGTGCACCGAATCATAATACGTGCGCAGTGCGTGCATATCTGTGTTTTATCTATGTTGTGTTTTGATCATGAGCTGATGTTCACGTTATCCAGGTGTGCTGTGGTATCGTAGATGTTGTTATATCCGTCTGTGGAATAAGTGTCGAAACGTTGAAATTTGAAACTCAAAGAATGGGATAATTGTTATCATGTCAAGCGCTCAAAAAGGAATTGTTTTGGCAGCACATTGGCTCGCGGGCTGGGAGATCTGGACGGGCATTGGTCTCGCACGACGTCTAACAATAAGCTTCAAGCGCTGAAAAGAAAGTGTCCTTAAATAGCAATATGAAGAGGTATTGCCACACGTTCAGGATGCCTGCTCCGATTCGGGTTGCGCTCCCTTCGCTACTCTTGCTTTCAAATAAGCGTCCATTTCCGCAAATGTCTTCAGTTGATGTTTTGCAAACCGGTCGTAAGTTGTGTTCTCCGCGTAAGCAACTTTGGCGGTCTGAATCTGCAGCAAAAAAAAATCGTTCAACATCGCTAAACCAACACAAAGCACAGTAGACGCACGAGGATATCGGAGGTAAGGCCCCTTATCGGGGATGCTGATGTTTGGAAGCAATGCATCCGATATATCAGGCCGCCTAATTTTTGGGCGACATAATCTTGATGGTTCTGTAGCAAAAAAAAAAATGACATGACGGTTAAAAACGCCATGGAGTAAAACATACATGATATTTAGTATCGAATGTCCAATAATCGCTTCCATGTACGACAAGTGGTTCGGCGGCGGCGAGTGTAGGGTCGATGATCGCTTTCAGTGGATGGGTGAAGATGTGATCGACCTCCCTTTTCTCGTTCTGAAGCGAGTTTAAAATTTGAGAATTAGTGAGGAGAGCGACCACTGGTGTAACAGCAAGGCTGTGGAACGCGTGGGGTTCCAGAATACCAAGAGTATGTATATGTGGGCAGGCTAACGGAAGATTCACTTCTTCATAAGCCTCACGATACTAGCATAAAGCTTTTTAACATACTGATAGCTTATACAACAATATGACTTACCGCCGTGTCCACGAGGTTCTTGTCGCTCTCTTCAAACATCCCTCCTGGCAGGGCGGTCTGTCCGCCTTGAAAACGCAAGGTCTTTGCCCTTGTCGTCAACAAAACCCTGAGTTTCCCGGAGTCTTCATATAACAGTACCAGTACTGCTCCCAGCTTTGATTTTGGGTATGATGAGCTACAAAGAAGAGAGGGAGTCAAAAGTTCGACCAAATTAGACACAGCTACGAATGACGAACGGACAGGTCTGCTGGTGGCCGATTTGAGGAGGAAAAAAAGTCTATTAGGCGTTGGACACATGCCCTCGGCCCTTCAGATAGTAATCCAAGAAGTTCTGTAGGTATCTTTGGCGCGAGTATATCGTTCATGGTTGGTGATCAAGTTGTGATCGAGTCACGGGTCGGCACCTCAATACCGAATCCATTAGAAGCTAGCAGATGCAAATAAATGACGTCACAGTTCCAGTAAGGTTACCCCTTTCTCTAACTTTTCAATCCAATCCCAATACAAAATGGTAGTTCCAGTTGACGCTACATATCCTGCACCCGGTAAAGGTTTCGACCCCCACAAGAAAAACACTGCCCTTCAGAGCCACGTCGCTTTCTTTGACCGAGATGGGGATGGGGTCATTTGGCCGCTTGATACGTTCGTCCTTGGAGCTCTATGAAACTTGGCTGAAGAATCTGATTATCTATTCTTTAACCTTTGTTATCGCCAGATTTTTAGGTTTTCGTGCACTCAAGTTCAGCATTTTTTTCTGCATACTAGCCACAATCTTCGTCCATGGCGGCTTGTCGTGCGTAATTTCAAGATCTCTACAAAAAGTAACGTTCTGACTCAAGAGTTTCTGAAATCTTTACAGGTACGTCCTTTGGGACGGGGTTGTGCCCGACCCTTTCTTCCGTCTCAGCATCAAGTGGGCCCACAGAGTGAAGCATATATTTTGCGGATCGCGTTTACTCCTCACCGTTCAATGCTCTCATCCAGGGGAAACATGGCTCAGACAGTGGGGCGTACACCACTGTTGGCGAGTTTGACGAGGACCGGTTCAACAAAATCTTTGATATGTATTCGGCTCCTCCGCATAAGGAAATGACTTTCATGGAAGGAGTACGAATGTTACATGGAAATATGAACCCTTATGATTTCGTACGTTTCTGTTATCGCATTTTCTGATAATACCGTTATTTTCTGCATTTTATTGAATAACTGATTCCATTCGATTCGGTAGTTCGGATGGGTTGCGTCGGCATTCGAGTGGTTGGCAACTTACCTCTTGATAGCCCCGCCCGACGGAAAGATGAGGAGGGACGATGTTAAGGCTGTGTACAATGTGTGTCTCATTCTTCTACTAATAAAATTTAACGAGTTGATTAAAAAAAATTCTCCCACAGGGCTCAATCTTCTATCACATTTCTGGAAGAGAAGCACCTCGTCAGTAAAGTTATGGTCTCAGTTCTTTTTTTCTCTTCCGCAGGGCTGTTGTGTTGAAGATCATTGGGTGTGACAGAAGTAAATTATTCGTGTATTGTATTAGAGAATCGCCCAAATTCCTCCATGTCTGTATAAAAATTATGGGAACTCATTTATAGGCTCTCTGCGCCCAGACTCCTAAGATTGTTCGGTTCCATCACGCGCTGAGAACGCGGCGTCTGCAGCTGCTAGTAGTAGTTATAGTGATTTGAATTTCTCTCAATCTGAGTGGAAGAGCAGAGAACCGTCCAGTTACTTGCATGCAACCTAGTCTCGCGTAGAGAGCTCCTTAAACCCACATAGGTCATGAACGAACACTATCAAAACGGATTTGCCGTCCATTTCGCAAGATTTATCAAGGGGTCGGATTGGGGTTTACTATCAACGCTAAGTTGTGGGTCTTGGGTTGTCGCGGATCGCTGGCCCGCTTTGTTGAAGGGAGGAATTTTTTCTGGAGGAGAAGCAGCTATGGAATTACCTCTCAGTGCCAATCGTCCAGATATTCATGAGGATCTCGAGAAAATGGAGATTTGCTTTCGGACCGCTGACCGTTAGTTCTGCCGCCTCGAGTCCTGGCTCCATATAATGGGAGAAGCAAAGAACGAAAAACCGTGGCCATGTGTTGATGCCCTGCGGCAATTATGTAGGGGCTTCATGAAATGCGGGCATCAATGAAGTGGAATAGGGGGATCTAGGGGAATCCAGACACTTTTATTTCAACAGATGTGCGTTGAGCACGCTGTGGGAAATGTCTAAAACCCTTGAGGAAAGCAGTTGATAATATTTCTTTTCTTACAGCACCTGTTCATATACGGGACTTTTCCATAGTCTATGAGAAGAATTTATTAGATAGTTGGATGAATTGATTGTCCAGCAATCACTATCCATCATCTTTATCTGGCTTGCCACAGCCGCCAAGGACGTACAGCATAGTCCCGCTTCGCACAGCATCACATAGAGCATGTGTTTCCCCAGACCGACGTTTGTACGCCCTTTCTTGCCTAGGACAACAATCGCCTGCCCTGTATGGGGGAATCGCAAATTAAGAACGGCAATCCGAAGGCTCGAGAACATCCAAACACATAAATGAGGTGGAGTAGAAGCAGATAGGAACCAGCAGGCGAACAGGTCAAGGTAAAATCAGGGCGGGATCATCCTGGTTCTGGATCACCCGAGTTGGTTCCAGCATATTCGCAATAATAAATCTGCCATCTAGAAAACCATTGAGAATCAGGTATACGTGTGGATGTCATGCGTACTTGGCATATCATTCTCATCCGCCCTCCACGAAGCCTGTTCCAAATCCTTCGCAACTCCGCTCACGACATGCCGCTTCACAAGCCTCCTCCTGGCTGCCTCGATATCCACGTCGAGGAACCACCGCTCGTCAAGAAGAAGACCGCCGGCGCTCCATGGTTCGATTGAAAGGAGGGTGTATAGTCCTTCGATAATGACTATCCGATGGTAGGGGTATATCGAGACTGCGTCTGGGGTTGGATCCTTCACTGCGTGATCAAAAGAGGGTGCGGTGATTATTGGCGCGTCGGGCTCTCGTTCCGCGCGAAGAGAGCGAACAAAATTTACGTAGCCAGTTCCATCGAATGTCCAGTAGCTTCCTCGTCTGTCATGGGCCTGCTGAGGATCTGGAAACAAGTCCAGTTGAGCTTTAGTAAGATGCCACCCATCGAGTCCGACGAGAATTGCTCGTGTGGTCGACTCTGGGTCCAAGACAGCGTTTGTATGATCAACCAAAAGTTGTGCGAACGTCGACTTTCCAGATGCTGGAATGCCTGAGATGCCTACGAGCAGACGTTTTGAGGATGGTGTTCTGGATGTTGACACTTTTGAGCAGTAGACAACATGTTCGTCGGTTGAACATACTCCTCTAACTTCTTGACCAGAACTTGCGATAACGCCTTAGCTTCAGCCTCCATTGTCAAATTTCTTCAATCAGTGGAAATGATGTGAAAGTTGAACCACAAGATTGGAAGTTGAAGTCGGAGCTCGTTTTGGGTGGGCTGCGGTTAGGCGCCGACTGACTCGGAGACTCCTGTAATAAACTTCCTCTCAGCGCCCACAACATCCAGCGACTAGACACACACCAACTTTTCAGCCATTACCTGGGAAGAACAAGATCAGTCGATATGGCGAGCTCAAGTTCAAGTGCGGCGGGAAAGGTGATCAAACGGTGTGTCAGGTTACAATTGGCATGAAAGATCGGTCCTGAGCCATCTCCACCATGTCAGAGCCGACCCATCGACTATTCATGACAAATTTATGGTAGGATACCAAGCATGGTATGCGATCTATGCACTTTGAAGGTTATACCACTGATTTCTCTTGGTGTAGGTTTACATGTCCTGGAGATGGTGCACCCCTCGACCCAGGTTCGTTTCAAAGATTATTGCTTTCGTCGAGAGGCTAACAGGCTCTTTAGGCCACCATGGGTGGTTACACTGGTTCAATTACCCAATTCCTGATGGAGGACGCCCAAATACAGATTTATGGCCAGATGTATCAAGTTACTCGCAGTCCGAACTCTTTGTTGCACCAGGCTTAAAGACTCAGACGGGTGAAGACATGTACTTGTTCTCCTCTCGTAATACGAAGACTGTACAACGGTGCGCACATTCGATGATCTTATCTCATAAAAGATGCCGGGGTTCACAAATCAACTTCTAGGCACTTCCACTGGATGGCAGAACACGGGGTCGACGGCGCTTTTCTTCAGCGATTTGCTGGGCAATGTGACTTTATAGATGATAATCATAATGAGGGCATCTTTCGCATGCGTGACGAGATTGGGGACCGCGTCCGAGAAGCCGCTGAGCGTGAAGGACGAGTTTTCGCGATTATGTGAGTCTGCACGTTTTGATATCCCTGCGTCGTGTCCCATGAACTTGTTTTGAAATGCAGGTATGATGTCTCAGGTGTGGCACCTGATCGTATACAACGCATATTGGAACGCGACTGGTTGCATCTCATTCGTAACAAAGGCATACTGGACAGCCCAAACTATTTGAAAGAAAAGGGAAAAGCAGTCGTCACGCTCTGGGGTGAGAATCATCCACTAAACCGATATAGTTTCATTCATCTGTGGGTCTAGGGTTCGGGTTCGATAATTCCGGCCACACACCTGCCTCAGTTCGTGCAATCGCCAACTTCTTCCGAAGTGCTACTCCAGGAGGTGCCTATATCATGGCAGGCACACCTGCGCACTGGCGGACAGCAGAGAGTGATGCCGATCGGAACCCCGAATTTTTGGACGTGTGGCTGAATGAGTTCGACGCTATCTCGCCATGGACCGTAGGCCGGTACGGCAACGAACAAGAGGCCGACGACTTTGCAGAGACAAAGATGAAGGGTGATATGGAACTTATAAAGAAACGGAACGAGGAAGGCATATATCGAAGGATCGATTACATCCCGGTTGTTCTTCCAGGCGGCTCGGTGAGTTGAGATCGATATCTCCGTTCTACGTCATGGCTGATGTTAACATCGCAAGGGGTACAATCTTTCTGAGGGAAAATGGGATTTCAATGGCATGAAGAGGCAAGGTGGTCGTTTCTTGTGGAGACAAATTTTCAATGCCCGCAGAATGGGTGCACGAATCATGTATGGAGCTATGTGGGACGAGTGAGTATCTCATCTCATGCCTCAAGGCACAGTATAACCGCTTATTTATCTGCAGGTATGACGAAGGAACCGCATTCATGCCTGTTGTTCCGTACAAACGACTCCTCCCAGTATCAGATAAATACCCTTTTTTGGCACTTGATGCGGATGGCTATGATCTCCCATCTGATTGGTGGGTGCTCTTTCCCGATCGACGGTCTAATTTACGTGGCTTAAACGAGGATGATATAACATAGGTATATGCGGATCTGCGGATTCGCAGCCGAAGCACTTCGGGGCGAACGGAGGGTTTATGACAGTTTCCCGTCGAAGGAACTGCAAGATTATTGGTCCACGAGACCGAAGTATGAAGACCTCGACCTGAAGTCCGGAGATTTTGTGTCAGGATCATCCAGCGGAGCTGGTAGTAATAGTACCGGTGTTGGCGGATCCAGCGGTCAGTCTTATCAAGAATGGCTTGCACAACAGAAGGAAAGCAAGGAAGAGCCACCCCCTCCGCCGTATTCGCTTGAAGAAGATGAAGCTGCAGCAGCTTCAGCTCAACCTACAGCCGCGACAGCATCTTCTTCTTCGGCGTCTGCAGTAGCAGCCCCAGTTGTGGGGTCCGGACCAGCAACTCGTTCTGAACCGCCCGTCGTCAATACACCGTCAACTGACCCTTCTGCGGGTGTCACAAATCTGGCTGGTGTTCTCGGTGCTGGGGTAGCAGGAGCGGCCGTCGCATCTCTAACCAGCGATTTCGCTCGCCATGGGATCTCTTCTTCCCCACAAGGACCGTCTGTGGTTACGCCAAATCAGTCGCAACCGCCATATGGGGGGTCTGATCAGTCTGGTGGACCACCAGGTTCTCATCGACCAAGTTACGAAGGGCCCAGTACATATGGTGCACCATCTTCCTCGTCCCCTCCACCTATAGGGCAGCAGCAGCCGGGTTATGGAGCTAATAATTCCTATGCTGGACAGCCAGCAAGACCGCAACAGGCAACGTATGGGGGCTCATCGGGTCCCACATCTCCTACAAATTCTTCCTACCCGTTCCAACAAACAACTGATGCTGGACCTGCGGCTGCGGCCTCTCCTCCACCTCTTCACCCTGCGCATCCTGCCGCTCAGCAGACACGCTATGGTGAACCTAGTGTACAAAATAACGTTGGAGCCGCAACGTCCCCTCCGCCCCTTCACCCGGCACATCCCACCGCTCAGCAGACGCCCTACGGTGGAGCTGGACCTGGTCGAACACAATCATTGGCTCATGCTCGCCCAACAACGACACAGCCACATCCTCAGGCTGCTCAGCAACCAATTCGACCAACGACTGCAGGAGGTCGTCCACAGTACCCCAATACGGCAGCTCCTACCTCTATACCCCCTTTGCCTACGCAAGCGCCAGCAAACCAACCTGGTCCCTGGTCACAAGGGCAGTGGCCGCCTGCTGATTGGAGGGCGAATAAGAACGACTCTCACGCTGCTTCTGGCCCCTTAACGTCAAGTTATGAAGCACCAGTGACAGGTGCTGTCGGCGGTGCAAGTCTTTCGAGACCTCATACGTTCACCGCTTCAAACGTCGGAGGTAGCAGTGGAGCCTCATTAAGGCCAAATGCGACGTTAGGAAGTCGACCTTCATCAACTAATTTGCGTCCAACGGCGACAGCACCGGCTACGCCAACCACTCCACCGGGGGGATACCACCCTTCCCCTGGAACGGCTCCATACAGCGCTCCGTCGTCAGCTTATCCAGCCCCTGGAGGGTCATCAGGTTACGCGCCCGGCGGTTCCTCTTCATACAACCCACCGGGTGGACCTTCGTACACTCCTGGTGGTCCATCCAATTACGCAGCTCCACCTGGACCTTCCGCTCCCTCGGGTTACGCCCCTCCTACGCCATCTTCATATCCTTCTGCTTCACCACCATCATCTTACGTACCTACTCGTCCTTCCTATGGACCTCCCGTCGGAGGTCCTTCGTTTCCACCAGGGCCTGGTGGGCCTAGCTTTCCATCTGCATCCTCGTACTCCTCAATGTCCTCCTACCCCGGTGGACCAGCTTTTCCGGGCACCGGTGGGCCGCCATTCGATCCAGATAACAAGGGATCGACATGGTCAACCTTTCCTGGACAAAATGCTTACCGTCCAGCACAGGGACCATACAGCCCTGCGCAAGGCCCTCAATTTCCAGGAGCAAGTTTTCCAAATGCTTCACCTATGCAATTTCCCCAAGGTCCCGGCGGAGAAGGGGGTTTCTTCGGCATGCCTAATCCTTCATCTGATTACAATCCTTCATATCACAATTCCTCGTATTCTCAGCCTTCTTCACCTCCTGTTCATGGTGGGAGCCCTTGGATGCCCGGACAATCGGGGCCGCCTCCTATACCCCCGCGTACGTGCTATCTCAATGCCATCTATCCCTCCTTATGCTAATTATGTACTTCAACCAATCACAGGTCCATCAAATTATGCTCCGTATGCACAGCCAGGACCAAATTATGCTTCGACGTCCTCCTCGGGATCCAGTGCGTTTGATTTTGCTTTAAGCGCAGTGGATAAGGTCGCCGGTCGTAAGGCGAGAGACCAACTTGAAACCGGCGTGGGTAGTGTTTTCCAATGTGAGTGTTTTCGTCCGATCACCGATCGCCTCATTACTTCTCTTAACGCTCGTGTGACAGCCGGTAACAAACTCTTCAACAAGTTGGCCAAATAACGACGTCAGGCCCTTTCTATCGCTTTTTTGTTGCATACGCCTGCCTCGAACAATTCGCGATGTTGTAATTATAATTGATAAATGATTTCCGTGACGGAAAACCGAATGACCCAAACTTTCTGGGGTTTTAATGTGCCTGTGTTGGCTGAAGATCGACAGAGGTAAAGAACATGGAAAATTCGAGCGCCAATGTCCTATTCATTTGGCAGATGTATCACGATAGATCTCTCCTCGCTGATCGACATCTAATCTCCTCCAGCAAGGTCGCCGTCAACCCTTTGACAAGAATATAACAGGGGTTACATTTTGTTGATAATAAACGGATATGACGGACAAAGTTACTCTGGGATTTTGCTACGAAGTTTCAAATAAGTAGTGTTCAATGGGAATTATAAACCTGTGCACTGATCGATTCAACAAGACTTTTACGTTAAACTACCGAAATAAAACCCACCGTCCAAGAGATGTTTTTTTTTTTGCCCAGCGAGAGTAATAAGGCCGTTAAAAAAAGGGCGAGAAACGTTCGTAAGTACTCTAATCGGGCTGTGGACGTCAACTGGTCAATCGCAGATACCACTTCTCTTCGACCGCTTGGAGAATAAAAGCACCTGGAAACTGGTTCCGAATCAATCAAGATAATGAGCTGTCCAGCATCAGGAACATCAACATGCGTCGAAACATGAGGTAGACAAAAGGAGGGAAGCATCTGGGACTGCCAGAACACATTATCAGAAGAAAAATCGGGAAAGACGACCGGCCGTTCGAAGAAGCTGCGAGTAAGTTAAAAGGAAAATAGTGCTCCAAGGCAACGAGATAATGGCAACCCATGGTCCTGTAGCGGTTGAGGAAGATAGCCTGGCAACTAAAGCAGCGGAGTGGCATTGAGATTAGATGGGAGATCAGTAAATGATAAATAAGGAGTTGAATCTGGATGGGTTGAAAGAATAAGCTTTCCTTCGATGTGATTTGGACACGAAAGAGAAGAGAGCAAGGTTCGGCTTTAGCTCCGCGTCGTCACGTAAATCTCCGCGAAGGACTCGAGGTCAGTGGCAGGTGGCCTCTACTTGGAAAATTCTCACCGCGTTCGCGTTCTCAAGGGCAAGACGTATTAGATCGAACGAATAGAAAAAAAATATATAACATCAGTGAAGGACAAGTGCGCACCCGCTTTTCCCATTGTCCATCAACGATGCAGACGCAGTACTATGGTGTCCCTCCAGGTCCCTTCCATTCCGATCCTTACAACCAGTGTGTTCAAGGTGTCCTACAGCCTGCATTTCCCAATCAATACGGCACGATACTAGGCGGAGGGGGTTTCATAGGCGACTTCTCAAGGGGATCCCCATTTGCTTACCCACATCCAGAGTATGCTTACTTTCCAGACCGCGGAGGACCATCGACCACCATCCCCTCGACGAGCCTTGCGGTCAGCAGCCTCGACGCCACCGGTTTAGGATTCACCGGGAACCCATCTGGCACCGACCTCTTTCTTCAACCCGAGGATATAGCGGAGTACGCGCAGGAGTCGTGGCAATGGACGGGGCAACCATGCCACGGACTTGGACCGCTCGCGACTCCAGCGCATATCGCTCATGTGCATCCAGAACCTGACTTTTTCGAGGTCGATAAAAGCTCGGGCAGTTTGGTTGAATCGGGAGTTTGCTCCCCCACTGCACAGCTTCCCACTCCTGCTGCGATGGCTGTTTTACTCAACCACAAAGCGCGACCTGAGAGAAGGCACGAGGAAGGGTCGTCTTCGACTGCTGTTGCTCCTCCTCCTCCACTTCCTGTCGTCGATACGACGCCTCATGCACACCAGAATGAGACGGTGGCAATTTCTCCGCCAAGACCTGTTCCTGATAGATCGGATATCCTTTCGCGGGAGAAGAAACATGCTTGCACCATGTGCTACAAACGGTCAGTTTTAATTAGTTGAATTTTCACGGAAAGTGACTCACCGATCAATTTCAATGTTGTAGATTTGATCGACCAAGTACCCTTAGAAAGGTAAGCGCGTGAAATGCTACCTGAGACCAGGAGGCTCATCTCCATCGATTGTAGCACCTACTCGTGCATACGGGTGAGAAAGGTACGTCAGGTGGAGTCAATATATTTTCCAGGAACTAACCTCATGTTTAGCATTCGTCTGCGAGACGTGCGGTCGTCGTTTTGGAGTCGCGTCCAACCTCAATAGACATGTCCGCCGATGTAAATCAAAGCCCGTCCATATGATATCTTCGGGATCCGGTAAATCATCTTCTGAGTCGCCATCCGCTGCTTCACCCGACACTTTGTTGAGCGGCTCTCCTGGATCCAGCTCAGCTGGCGGGGCGTCGTCTTTACACACCATGCAATCCATGGCCTCCGCTAGTCCAGCCGTCGCATCTCCACCAGACCCGCAGCGGAAGAAAAAAAGAACGAGGCCTGCGTCACCATCGCGGTCTACCCCAGTATCATGCTCCACACCTCAGTCGCCTTCTCAACGAACAGAGGCGTTGAAAGAAGCCAAGGCTCCCAACGCGCCGAAGCGACGTCGACGCGCACCTTCCCCATCTTTATGGGTCCCGTTCTCCTTGCGCACATTCAACCTCGTTTCAGAGGAACTCAAGAAGGCGGCTCCCGTGCCCTTGCCTCCAGTCTGCTTCAATCCGCCAGCGGAGGAGAGGAATTCATGGGATGAGAATGTTGGGCCTACCCCTTATCATCCTTGTGGCTGGAGAGGCGTATTACCTGGACCAGGCCTGAAACAGGGAATGGGCACGCGAGGGAAGGACGTGAAAAACATGAGTGGCAGTGGAGGGTTTGGCATGCTCGGACGAATGGTAGTCATTTAACTGATTCTGTGGCTGTCGCGGCGGCCAGCATACGCTTGAAGACGATTCCTTGATGAAAATAGATACGAATACGGTGACGAACGGACGACCCCTTTTTGCTTGTATTATTGGAAGGAACGGTAGGAGAACGGCCCATGACGGGTTCATAACGATTCCGTATTGATGAAGCGGGACTAGAGGCAATGTAAGTAGCGGTTAGGTATGCTACCACTCTTGGGATAAATAGGTTATGGCTTTCTTGATTCTTGCCCTAACGATGGTCCACTGAATTCAATGTAGTAAACGAACGGATTAGGTGTAGATTGACTGACGACAAGCGATTAGAACTTACAAAATGTGCGAGTGTATTTCACGTTTTCTAGATTTGTGTGGTAGTAATACCCTCTGAGCTTTTTCATGGATTGTGGTGATGTTGGAACTAGGAAGTCGAAATGCATCCTGTTCTAATTCTGGAGAAAAACATGAGAAGGGAAGGCGCAGCCAAACACACGTAAATACCGCGTCGCTGCAATCTACGCTCACGACAGAAGCACTTTATCCTCCCCCTTTTGCGACGCTGTCCGCCTCAACGACGGCGGGCTTATTTCAACGTGAGCGTATTGGATACGCGAACATCACGTAGTCAGTCTAACCAACTCATGCAGAAAGTTACTCCAGCGTGCAAATTTCGAGATAGCCTTGTGTTGAAGGCTTAATTCGTGACAGCCCAACCTCATATTTTTTGCGAGTGCAGGTTCAGAGTGACAGCAAGCTGATTGTGGAGGACAATGCCAATTACGTCCGATCAAAAGACGGCAATGGACCAGGTCCTCGCTGCCATTTTGGCTGCGACTGCAACTAGAGGGAAGCGGCAATTGTCTGCGATGTTCATGGAGTTGGTCGACCGAGAAGAATGGCCGCAATATTACGAAGTGCGTCTTTCGCCGAAATATAAATTCTGATGTCTCATTTTTTTCAGGTTATCCCTGAACCACGTTGTTTGAATAATGTCAAGGCGGGGTTGGATAAAGGTCGCTATAAAGAGGCAACAGATGTTTATACCGACATATCACTTGTCTTTTGGAACGCACTGTACTACAACGAACCTGGAAGTGGGATTGCGACAGACGCTGAAACGCTAAAGGTAACTTTCTTGTTGGTGTTTCGTAACCAAGCTTTGATGCCGTACAATAGACCCTGCTAGAAACTGAGTGGAAGAAACGCTCAGTCCTTCCCATCCCTCGTACCTCTCCACCCCCTCCTTCTGCCCAAAAGGTTTATAAAGGCAAGGGCATCGCAGAGGAAGACAAAGAAGAACTTCAAAAGCCAGCTCAAGTCATTCCAGCAGCTCCATCTCCAGCCCCGGTAGCCATAGCAGCTCCAACACCCAAGCCCGCAACACGTGTCGTCACACAGGCTCCGGCGCACAACCTCGCACCAACGGCAAGCACAAGCACCGCAAATTACTCATACGCAAAACCTACATCTACTCGAACCAGGTCAACTCAGCACCAAGACACCGCAGACATGGATGTTGACGTCGTCTCGCCAGACGTCGAGGTACACGGTGATGAAGGAGCGGGGGTGGGGATAGAGCGAGATCCACAGAGTGAAGAAATTGTGAAGCAGCTGGAGAGGGGCCTTCCAGGGTGGCCTGGATTTGCGGATGTGGGTTGGGCGGAAGGTACTCAGGTGAGTCATCTATGTCGTAGAGCTTAAGTATATTGGTCCTGATTTAGGCCAGGAACGCATATTGGAGATCGCTCATGCCATTAAGAGTCACAAAGACGTGATGTATGCTATGGCTTTCTTTCTCATTTTCGATTGTCTGCTGAATGAGAACATGTAGTGGAAATCGGCTCGCCGCTGCTTTGGAATCAGTACCGGAAGAAACATCGTCGCCACATCTCCCTTTTACTGCTCCCCTTTCTCTGAAATCAATTGAGGTAGGTCAGCTCAACGGAATGTGGCAGATGTCTGACCGACATCCCACTAGTCTCGTGCCCGCTCAAAAAGCTACGCCAATGCGAAGGAATTCGATATCGACATGGCACGTCTCTTCTTAAAAGCACGTCGATGGCACAAACCATGTACAGAACCATATGGTCAAGTCTTACTTCTTCAAGTATAGTTACTACCTTTCGCTTCGCCATCATTGCACTTAAACTTTGATTCATAGAGACTCTATCAAGCTTTGACTTCCCCCAATACACCACCACAAGGCACTGTGCTTTCTTCATCAACGAACTTTACGTCTCTACGCGCAGGACCAGGCAACGTCAAGCCCGTACATGGAGCGTCAGATAGCGATACTGCTCCCAGCGTTACCAGCTACAGGGTGCCTACAAAAGATCGAGTCTTTGTTGATGAGGTGACGTATAAGGGCTGGAGCGTGAAGCTTGCGGATTGGCTCCACTTGGCCAATCCTGATGATCCCAGTCGGCCTATTATTGGGCAAGTGTTTCGGTGTTGGGTGGCCGATGACTCGTGAGTGTTTTCCGTTCCACGAGCAAGGGGTATCGATTGAACTTCTTGATAGCTCGAAAAAGGGACAGCCTGGAGTAACTGTGTCGTGGTATTACCGGCCTGAGCAGGTGAGGCTATCGTTGCTGCAGTCGACGTTCTTTGCTTGACGAGTGTGGATAGACATTTCATTCGCCAACTCGACAGTTTTGGGAGGGAGAGGTTTTCAAAACTAGTCACTTTGCTGACCATCAAGTGGAAGACATCATCGAAAAAATTGCTTGCCAGTTCACCGCACGACACATCCGAGGACGGCCGCGGCCGCCTTACTGGTACCCTGGCTTTCCACTGTACGTCTGCGACTCGCGATACAACGACCGCGACCGTGCATTCGTGAAGATTAAAAACTGGAACTCATGCGTTCCAGAAGAAGTGAGGAAGAGCACCGAGTTCATGCCCATTTACCCATTTGAGAAGACGGTGTATCCTGTGGTCTTGGCGAGCCCTTTTCTAGCCCAAGGTGTTGCGGGGAAGAGCGTGTCCAAATGTCCGGGCGGGATCGTGAGGGCAGAATCACAAGCTGCGGCCGTCAACGGCAACGATCCAGAAGTGCGGACGACGAGGAGTATGCAAGCCAGTCAATCTTCTCATGTTCAGCAACAGCAAGCGCCTGGGTACGTACAACCGCAGCAAGTGCAGCGTCCTTCTGGTCCAGACAGATCAGTAATAACGGCAGCTGGGGGACTCGCAGCTCTTGGGGGTGGGGCACATGTCGAAAAGCTCCCTCCAGAAACAGGTAAGTCTCTCACATTTACACCTTCACGTATATGTATGGCCCCTAAGAAGCCGACCGTCCAATCACCTTCCCCACTACCTCCATATCTTCGATTCTATTTCTATCTTTGTACGTCGAGCTCACGACATTTTTTAACCCCCCCCAGTCAGGCACTTCGATAGGGATCCCGAGACGGGTGAAATGTTGTGGTTCCCTGCACCTCCTTTGAATGTCGCGCGTCCAAGTGGCCCGAGATATAGCCTTACGTATTTGAATTATGTCGCGACGAAGAGAAAGCGCCAACAAGAGGGGAGTGCGGAGGATGAGGGTGCTGAAGAGGAACGGAGTCGGGTGCGGCCTACTGTGTCGGAGAACATGAGGGCGGCATTGAAAGATGTGGGATTGGCTTGATGGGGATGAGATGGTGATACGCTCAATCTTGTTATCTCTGGTTGAGTGCCTTTTCTTTTGATTTTTTTTGTATTTTTACTTCCCAGCGCAATGCAAATACAGCGGCGAATGACTGCAGGGAAAGGAGGGATATTGAAATCTAACGAAACTATCCTCTGTAGGCCCAGCCTCATGCTCAAGTTGGGTACGGTCTGCATCAACATGTGGCAAAGTCTACCCGAATTTGTATCGCCCGTCATCTGAGTCGCCAATTACCCAGTATACTGCATTCGATCAAACTAAGTTCTTGCCAGTGTGGGCATGTACCGCAACTCACTTGCCGCGCATCCGTTCACCCGACATCGCGTGGAGGAAAGCAAATGCATGAATGTTAAGAGCGCCCTAAATTTGCAATTAAGGGAGCTCTAAGTCTGCCGTCGCTGCCAAGTCGCTGCGGTGGCGCACACTTTCGTTTGCAGTCTTCTAGCTACGTCACCGACTTTGCTTCCTTCTAGCTATAGCTTTCTAGCTGGTTGCTTGGACCCCTCACGACGAGTGTCAAAGTGACCATTCACAGCACACCTGAGCCGGCAAATTCAATGACTTAAGCACAGCTTTCAGGTCGTCCTAATCTGTCTGGTCTTCTTCTGATCCTTCTAATTTCGTGTAGTCTTCTCATGTTCAGTGTACATAGGCAATGGAGGGGAATGAAGCCCGTTGATGTCAATGGGCTTTTCATTTACTAACTACTTGCCTCGCCAACTCGTTCCGCTCTGCCGTCATCCATCATTCGGCAAAAACAAAACTCAAAACTTCTCAAATTCCAAACTTCACACTCAAAGACGCTTCTTCCAAGTAGCTGATTGCAACACATTTGGGCCGAATTCTGCATTGTGGCATTATTATGGAGGTTAAAATCTATATGTTCCGTGAGTGGGCATGGGATGCACATGCCAGATCAAGCCGATCTCACCGCTTTGTTCCTGTCCAACTTTGGGCCCACTTGCCCTATCCGTAAAGCCCAGCCAGAATCTGGTTTATCAGCGTAGTTTGTTTGTCAACTACACCTCCGACAATTGCCTCCCCGCGTACTGGCCTGCACGACCTTACGGCAAGCTCCCCTCGATGCTTCTGAGCCTCCTCTTAGCTTATTCGGCGGGCGCTGCACCTGCAAGTGCACTAATTGGACGATCGCTTGAACGTCGAGGTCCACAGACGGCAGCTGTCTGCAGCACTGACTTTACATGGGCAGATAATTCGAAAGGTGTATCGCCGTGCTTGTTGGCGGCCGTGGTGCTTGGAGCTTGCCAGGGTGGAAGTAAGCCGCAAATGCTATTCCTAACGGAGCGTTGAGCTGATATGCCATTTAGATTGGAATGTCCCCGCGCTTGTAAACCCAACGGACATGTACACCAACCCGAACTCGAGCACGGCAAACGTCTGTACATGGTGTGTTTTACCGCCATCTGTACCCACTGCGGCTAATGCGAAGCCCCCGACCTTATCAGTTCATGGTTAGCTTACAATCTTTTGGGTGCTTGTGCAGACTGTCAAGGTTTCCCACAAGCGGTGCAGAAGTGCGTATGTACTCAAGGCCACGTTCATGAAACTCATATTATCTGCAGCGAGGCGCCTTATTTCCAATCATGCCAAGGTTTTACGACCACAACGAATAGGTAGGGTCTTTCCAGCATCATCTTCATGCACTATTCACCTCTGTATACAGCTACTTTCCCAGCAATTTTTCTCTTCCTGAGGGTACGCTCATCCCCTACTGGGCAACCTATGATCGTCAGTTTCAATCGGTCATTCTTCGTCATGAGTAACTTATCCGGTATTGCAGCATCAACATGGCCATCCCAACACTTTGATGCAACGACAGCCAAGAGCATTGCACAACAAGGTATTAATTTTCGAATCCTAAGTTTCACGAAATAGAGCTCAAACTTCTCTCTTAGAACACCCTGATGTCAGCAATTCCCCCACCCCGTCGTCGAAAAAGAAAACGCCAATTGGCGCTATCGTTGGTGGTGTTGTAGGAGGAGTCGTTGTGATCGCATTGGCTGTTGGTATCGGTCTTTACATATGCACACGAAGACGACGAACTCCTAAGCAACAGCCAGTTTCTCCACCCTTAACCATGGGGCAGTCCGCACACTTCCGATCACCCTCTGATATGACCATGGCATCGACTGGCTCACTGGGCTACACAACCTTATCATCATCGCCAGCCCACCCTGTAGAGCGAAGTGGGACTGTTCGCACTCACAATACCAGTGCACATTCGCTGTCGTACTTCAGTTCACCCGTCAGTACTGTTCCCCACACCACGCTACCCACCCCACGACAAACGTCACCAAACCCTTCAAATCCGGAAGATATAATCGTCCCATTCCACATTCCACCTGGCGGCCTCACAAACCCGACTCTTGGGGATAGGAAGAATCCAAATGGGTCTTACCCCGTCTATGACGCACCCACCGCTCCCCCTATCAGTATCCAAAGTCGGACAGAGCCATCAATCGGAAGCTCACGGAGGGCGCGCGTTAACCCCCCAGCTTACAGTGCTACGGATTCCCCATCCCCGCCACCTCGGGCACAACGAGGTCTACTCAGACAAGGCTCGACGGATACCCATCTCACATACGCCTCTGGTACTCAGAACAACGGCGGATATACTGGCAACGATAGCAGTATGACTAGTAGCGACATCAGGATACCCGAGACGCCGGTTGCAGCCAGTGGACGTGTTGTGGGCGGGCCCAGCAGGGACGCCAAACGTCGGCCGACAATGGATAACGACAACGTCAGCAGTGTGGACCCAAGAGATATCGCGTAACTTTTTTTCCTCTTATATCTATTGTCTCTGGGCTGGATGCTATGACCCCACACGAACAATTATGATCTCGTCGTTGATATACCTTAAAGATGTACATATTCTGCGACGGTTTGTATGTATGATTTTACACTACTAGATCGTTCTGGCATTAGTAATGGCAGTACAGTTATAATTCTGGAAAAAGGATTGGCGCCAAGTATCGTGTGAGCAGGACGTGTACAAATAAGTAGTGCACTCGTGAAAGGGTGCCACTGTACTTATGTGTGTAATGTAATGATTCCCATGCGGTGAGTCTGCCTCATGGATTCATTATGTACACCATATCAGAAGAAGAAAACGCCTGTACGGGAGCGATGGCCGGTGTCAGCTGAGGAGGATGGTCACAGGACAATGCCGCGAAGGTTTTGGGGTTCATACCTGCTCATATCCGTCCGTATTGGAATTATTTTAGGCGCCTCGGATGTTGCGGACGCAAGGCTTCAGGTCGGGGTATCCCTGGGAGAATCTTAAGGTCTCCCACTCTGGGGAGGTGGGGGCTGGTGGGGGCGACTTGGGTATGATTGGACATTTGGCGCTCGACTATTTTTGGCTGACAGCAACTTGATAATATGTCTCGGCAGTACGTGGGAGCTCTGCATGTAACCCCTTTTTTTCGTTTTCGCTTCTAAACCCCATAACCTGCAAGAACTATGCCACGACCAGGACATCAGATCTACGAAGAAGAAATGATACTGAAGGGTCATGGATTTCCTGTGTGGTATGGGGATCCATATGGAGGGGCCGAGATTGAGATAGGCGACATCGGATACATGAGGTTAGCCCCATCCTCCACCCTATGTTTCACTAATGGTGTCGCTTTTCAGAAAAGGAGCTTTTGTGCATGTCATGAAGTGCAACTTTAATTTTAACGAATTGATAACCACCCCAGTCAATTTTAATGGTCCTATTTACTCCCAAAGCCTCGAGCGACGAGAATCAGGTGCTGAGGCTGCCAGAGTATTGTAAGCCAATCTTTTCTTGATGATTCTTTTCTCTTATATTTTGACTAGGACTCCGCCAGGTGTGGGCAGTGTGAATCCGGGTCATATTTCAATGACCTCATGCCGCGATACATGTGCCATGTTGAATCTGGAGGAAGGAGTTGCAGACTACACCCATTGCTCTGATGTTGACAAGGAGGCTGTAGGAGAATTTTTTTTCCAGAATGCCAGGAAATGGATTGCCGAAGCTGTCAAAGGGCGTCGGTTTGCAAGCAACATTTCCATCGAAAGGCTCATACTCGTCACAGGCTTTTATAAATCTGCAAACTGGGAAGCAGCTGCTCTGTACTCATCCTCGTCTACAGAGAACTTGAGCTTCACAATCAAAAACGGTGGAGGAATTTCAATTAATTGGGATTCTGTCCAGCATCTCAGCCCCGACTATTCAACCGGACATCGCCACCCCGGGCCTCAAACTGACTTGAACAAACCACAAACTCTCGCGGCACGTGGTACCGGTGATATTACACATCGCACTAACCACCCCGCAGGACATCGTGTATCATTTGCAAAGTGTTGCCATCAGCACTCTGACCGAACCCAATGCATATTCTTGCGAGGGTTTCGAATTCGTGGGTGCCTGGGACGAAAAGACCAGGTCGACGAACTACTTGCATCAGAAGAGCCAAAGTTGTCATGGGGCGAACGCTTCAGGCGATTTGCAAAGACTTTTAGCAAGACTTCCAAACCCCCTATTGGTGAATCGTCTCAGAGACGCTCCTACTATCTGGAGCCCATTGAAGGGTTTTCTGATACAAATTTTTGTGTGAGTTGTCATCAAGTAGATGAGCATTGAGAACCTCATTGTAATTCAAATTGCATTTTAGGACCAGCTCTATGATGTAATTGCAGTTGAAAAGTTCATGGTGCGTTGTTTGAGTTGAAAATTAACAATATCTGATGCGTTTTTAGTCTCACTCTCAGGAGAATGACTCAGACTTTGTATTGGTTCATGATGATGAGCTGATTGAGATATTGGGAAAGGATGCAGCAGCTCTGGATTCTGGACTAGGGAGCTTGGTTGGACAACGAGCAATGTGCCAGGCCTTGTATGATTGAGTCATTCCGGTGACCTGAAGAGAAGCTTGAGATTGTGTTTTAACTCCTGAACAACACACTAAGCCAGTCACAGAGCCATTTCAAACACATAGTAGTCAGATCATGTATGTCGCATTGTCGCCTGACGGCCTGTTCATATTCTCGGACTCGGCCGACCAGACAGTTCGCATCTGGATTTGAAGATGGGGAAGCCAGTGGCATTCCGAGGACAAACCTATGACTTTAGGTTCGAAGGACACACAGGTGAAATCAGGTCTGTCGCATTCTCGCCTGACGGCAGAAGCGTAGTCACAGGTTTGGACGACCAGACAGTTGGCATATGGGATGTGGAAGTGGGAAAGCAACTGGGAGAACCATTCCGAGGGCACACAAAATGTGTCAATTCTGTCGCAGTATCGTCTGACGGCAAGCGCGTAGTCTCGGGCGCGTTGGCGGGACGTTTCGAATCTGGGATGCGAAGAGGGACGCAGGTGCGAAAGCCATTCCGAGGACACATAGCTGGGATTTCGCCTGTCGAATTCTCGCTTGATGGCAGGCGCGTAGTATCAGGCTCGTACTACAACAAGGGAATTCGGAGCTGGGACGCAGAAACAAAGTTGTAGTGGCAAGGGTGGTGTGGTCAACAGTCGGCTGTCCGAGTTGCCGTGTACCGTCTCTCCGTTCTACTCGGACTTCGTGACACTCTGCGTTCTGGAATCTGCACATCTGTTCAACAGTTCCTGAGCCCTGCAGCCACTATCATCTATGTAGAATCGTTGCTTCTTCCTCTACTTCCTTTGCGTCGCAGTAAACATAAGTCGTCAGGATCTAAGATAATTCAGTAAACTCGCACCGAATTTGCGTCACGGAGATGAGATGGCAGGCGTGTCGAGTTGGTGTTGACGTTCGTCGGCGCGACAAAGATAGGACGCGTTCTTTGGCTACGACAAAATTATCAAATAATCCGTAACTAAGCTTCCACACAGCCAAACGACGTCGCATTCAGATGAGTTGAACCACAATCCTCTGAACCCACCGTCGACGAGCAAGGGATGACCAGAAGATGGTTCTGCTGATCAAGCGCTCGAATGCGTCTCCTGATACTGCTTCAGTGCTTGGGTGATCTGAAGATTGGATGTGAAAAGTGAGTGGGATGTTAGTTGAAAGAGAATGTGGAGAACTTTGACTTACCTGAGCAAGAGTCAAGGCGGGAGGCGAGGACAACAGAGTGTTACGGCAAGCTCCCCTCGATGCTTCTGAGCCTCATCTTAGCTTATTTGGCGTGCGCTGCGCCTGCAAGTGCACTAATTGGACGATCGCTTGAACGTCAAGGTCCACAGACAGCTGCTGTCTGCAGCACTGACTTTACATTGGCGGATAATTTGAAGGGTGTATCGCCGTGCTTGTTGGTGGCCATGGTTCTTGGAGTTTGCCAGAATGGAAGTAAGTCGTTAATGCTATTCCTAACGGAGCGTTGGGCTGATATGCCATTTAGATTGGAATGTACCTGCGCTTGTAAACCCAACGGACATGTACACCAACCCGAACTCGAGCACGGCAAACATCTGCACATGGTTTTTACGGCCATGGTGCCATGTCTGGAACCAAAAAGATGCCCGATTTGGACATAATTCTCAAAGCGGTAGTGCCATCAGACCCTACTTTCCATTTCAGAATTTATGTCTATATCCGGCTTATTGTGAACGAATTAGGCATCTTTTACGTGTGACACCTTGCTTGAGTCGCACGATTACTAATACTAATTATGCATGCTCAACATGTATCTTGCCTGTTACTGCACCAATTTCCGTTGTTGAACATGCAAAGTAGCACTAAAAAATAGTTCATTGCAGAGGTACTCATATTGAGGAAGAGCACAAGGCAGGAAATGTCAGATCACAAACAAAAAATCAAATGGAAGAAACATCTGTATCCCTCCATGGTGTCAGGTTCTCACCTACTCAGGATCCTAATTTTGAAGCTATGGCTCCCTGATTATCAGGAAACAGGAAAGGCCAATTGTAAGAATAATTTCTATAAAATTCATGAGCACCTTGAATTTTTTACCATAAATTAACTAAACAAAGTGGCAGAATGAATTGATAAAAGGAGAAAAATCTAGCAGAGGATTCAACTATGCTGCAGAATTCTTGAACCATTTATACATTTATAATGAGAGCATGGGGAATCAACATCACTAACAGCCCTGGGGAAAGAAAATTTGGAGAAAAGTAAATATGTCTGCACTCTCAACAACAGGTATTGCATCAATTTCCTTGGCATCCATGTCCTCAGGCATGGTTAGATAAATTGAGTAAAACCTTCAAGTTTACACCCAGAGGAGCCTTCAGCAGAGAATTTCTCTTATTTCTTTTGGCCAAAATGCACAAGGTAGATTTTACAGTGGAAAGTACTGCTAGGATTATCCAGTTCTACTTCAAGGAAAAGCAGGTGCATGGTCTGCTTTGATTCTGCAAGAGAGGATCAGATGTAAGCATGTGCAGGAAGAGGTGGAAGGGGAAAATGTCAATTTTCATGAATTCTTTCCCAATCTACTGGTTTGAGTTACATCCATACTTTCTGGTGTTTATAAATTTCTAAGTGGTGGTGTGAGATTTTTGGTGCATAAAAATGTAAAGAGGAGAAGTGAGAGCAAATATATTTTTGAGAAAAGAAATTGCAGCCTGTGGCAATTGAACTGGAGACCTTGCCATACATTACCAATTTCAATCAAATCTTTCCGTTGAGCTAAATCACTCTTTCAAATAAGATAATTTATGGTGGACAAGTGGGTGACTTCCCGTAACATAAATCTACATAAACGAGTAAATCTGACCCTTATCGGAGTTTGAAATGAGTACCCTGGCTTGCGATTTAATCAAGCAAATAAACCGTAACGCCAACTGATTAGATTTATTGACCTGACATGAATAAACTTACTTCCCTCTCATCTGAGCTGTTTTGAGGACACACAGGCCCATGGATGGGTGTATTATAGTTGATGCTCAATCATATCAGCCAGAAAGTAGGACACATAATAAATGAAGCCGAGAAAATGTCAACTTGAGCTGAACATGCTGTGGTTCTGTGAGTTATGTGCTGAGAAGATTGTTTGTGGAAGGAAAAACAGCTTCGGAGAGGAAATTTTGGAACCAGAGGACGTTAGCACTACTAATACACTCTGTAATGGCTTCAAATTATAACGAGAGAGCAGACTGCCCTCAGCCGTAGGAGAGTAGAGAGGGATGAGGTAGAGCTGACTAAGCTAGGTGGGAAGAAAACGTACCCAGGAAGGAAAGGTATCATGATGGCAGGGTTGATTCCAGCGTTTGAAATCTATTCGAGGGGTCTGTACCCTCTGAATAGATTAAGGTTTATAACTGGGTGCCAACCAGGGCCTCCATCAAAGTCGAACCCTTACAAGACTCGGCATCCCGGCAAAAGACCCTAGATCTCGTCGATTTATTTAAATCTAGCGAATTTGTGTTACGGGAAGTCACCCAGTTATGGAGTTTTTGATTTTTGATTCTTTTTAAAATTGGTTCCAGACATGGCACCATGGCCTGTTTTACGACGGTCTGTCTTTCCCACTGCGGCTAATGTGAACCCCGATCTTATCAGTTCTTGGTTAGCTTACAATCTCCGGGTGCTTGCGCAGACCGTCAAGGTTTCCCACACGCGGTGCCGAAGTACGTGTATACTGAAAGCCACGTTCATGAGACTCATATTATCTGCAGCGAGGCGCCTTATTTCCAATCATGCCAAGGTTTTACAACCACGACGAATAGGTAGAATCTCTCCAGCATCATGCTCATGCACTATTCATCTCTGTGTCTACAGTTAGTTTCCTAGCAATTATTCTCTTCCTTGGCAGGGTACGCTCATTCCCTACTGGTCAACCTTTGATCGTCAGTTTCAGTCGGCTATTCTTCATTACGATTGACTTACTTATTTGGTATTACAGCATCAACATGGCCATCTCAACACTTTGACGCAACGACAGCCAAGAGCATTGTACAACAAGGTATCAATTTTTGAATCTTAAGTTTCACGAAGTAGAGCTTAAACTTCTCTCTTAGAACACCTTGATATTAGCAATTCCCCCACCCTGTCCTCGAAAAAGAAAACGCCAATTGGTGCTATCGTTAGTGGTGTTGTGGGAGGAGTCGTTGTCATTGTATTGGCTGTTGGTATCGGTCTTTTCATGTGCAGACGACGAGCTCCTAAGCAGCAGCCGGTTTTTCCACCTTCAACCATTGGGCAGTCCGCCCACTTCCGATCACCCTCTGATATGACCATGGCATCGACTGGCTCACTGGGCTACACAACCTTATCATCATCGCTAGCTCACCCTGTAGAGCGAAGTGGAACTGTCCGCACTCACAATACCAGTGCACATCCGCTGTCGTACTTCGGTTCGCCCGTCACTGCTGTTCCCCGCACCACGCTACCAGCCCACGACAAACGTCACCAAACCCTTCAAATCCGGAAGATATTATTGTCCCATTCCACATTCCACCTGGAGGCTGGCGCCCTCACAAACCCGCCTCTTGGGGATAGGAAGAAGCCAAATGGGTCTTACCCCGTTTATGACGCACCTACCGCTCCCCCTATCAGCATCCAAAGTCGGACAGAGCCATCAATCGGAAGCTCACGGAGGGCGCGCGTTTAACCCCCAGCTTGCAGTGCTACGGATTCCCCATCCCCGCCACTTCGGACACAACGAGGTCTAAAACCGTGTGTATGTGTGCACTTAGTGTAATGATTCCCATGCGGTTAGTCTGAACAAGGGGATCTGTCTCATGGATTCATTACACCATATCTATCAGAAGAAACGCGTTTGCGGGAATGGGGCCGATGTCAGGCTGTCAGCTGAGGAGGATGGTCACAGGACAGTATGCCGCGAAGGTCTTGGGGTTCATACCTGCTCACGTCCGTCCGCATTGGATTTTTTTAAGCGCTCGGATGTTGCGGACGCAAGGCTTCAGGTCAGGGTATTCCTGGGAGAATTTTGAGGCCTCCCACTCTGGGGAGGTGGGGGCTGGTGGGAGCGACCTGGGTATGATTGGATATTTGGGCGCTCGACTATTTTTGGTTGACAGCGGTGTCCCGGCAGCTCTGAATGTAACACCTTTCTTCGCTATTCTGAACCCTCCAACTTGCAAGAACTATGCCACGACCAGGACATCAGATCTACGAAGAAGAAATGATACTGAAGAGTCATGGATTCCCTGTGTGGTATGGGGATCCATACGGAAGGGCCGAGATTGAGATAGGCGACATCGGATACATGAGGTCAGCCAGGGCCCTTCCTCCACCCTCTGTCTCATTAACAACGTCGCTTTCCAGCGAAGGAAAATTTAAGCATGTCATGAAGTGCAACTTCGATTTCGATGAATTGGTAACCAACCCTGTCATTTTCAATGGTCCTATTTACTCCCTGAGCCTCGAGCGACGAGAAGTAGGCGCCGAGGCTGGAGTATCGTAAGCCAATCATTTCTTGATGATTGCTTTCTCTTATACTTTAACTAGGGCACCGCCAGGTGCGGGTGTGAAGAGTCGTATTTCATTGACCTCATCCCGCAATACGTGTGCCATGTTGAACGTGGAGGAGGGTGTTGCAGACGACACCTCTTGCTCCGACGTTGACAAGATGGCTGTAGGAGAAATATTTCTCCAAAATGCCAGGAAATGGATTGCCGAAGCTGTCAAAGGGCGTCGGCTTGCGGGCAACATTTCTATTGAAAGGCTTATACTTGTCACAGGATTCTATAAATCTGCGAACTGGGAAGCAGCTGCTTTGTCTTCGTCCTCGTACACAACGAACTTGAGCTTCACGATCGAAATCAGCCAAGCAGAGGGAGGAATTTCACTTGATTGGAATTCTGTCCAGCATCTCAGCCCTGACTATTCAACTGGACATCGCCACCCGTCTCAACTTCCTTCTTCCCTTCAATTTTTGCGCGGATCATCTGATATTCGACCTCATGTATCGTTTGAAAAGTGTTGCCATCAGCATGCTGACCGAACCCAATGCATATTCTTGCGGGGGTTTCGAATTCGTGAACGCCTGGGACGAAAGGACCAGGTTGTTAAACTATCTGCATCGGAAGACTCGGAGTCAAAGTTGACGTTGCGCGAACGCTTCATGCGATTTGTGAATACCGATAGCAAGACTTCCAAACCACACAGTGGCGAATCATCTCAGAGAAGCGCCTCAGCGTACAACTATCCAGCGTACAACTATCTGGAGGCCATTGAAGAATCTCCTGATAATTCTTTTTGTGTGAGTTGTCATTGAATAAATGAGAATCTCCTTGCAATTTACATTGTAATTCAGGACCAGCTCTACGACACAGTTGCTATCAAAAAGTTCATGGTGCGCTGTTTGAGTTGTTGACCAACAATATCTGATGGGTTTTTTGTCTCACTCTCAGGAGAATGACTCAGACCTCATATTGGTTCACGACGATGAACTGATTGGGATATTGAAAAGAGATGCAGCAGCTCTGGATTCTGAACCAGGCAGCTCAGATGAACGACGAGCAGTGTGCCAGACCTTGTATGATCGAGCCATTGGCGAGCTGAAGAAACCCGATCTCAAGCCTGAGAATAAGTTTCAACTCCTCAACAACACAGTAGACATCCTGGGGAACATCCTGAGGGACGGTCCCCATTTTGACCTCGATCCACATTCAAACCTCAGTCCACATTTGAACCTCAGTCCCTCAATCGAAATCCGTCCTCTCATATCAGACCTTGGACGGAGCAAAGAAAAAGGCCACCAGGAGGCAGCACAACAGTTTCTGGACCAGCTTACAGATCGTAAGTGAAAGCCACCATTCTTCTTTTGTGAATGGCTGAATCCCTTGGTCTTACCTAGCTTCCATCTTCATATTGAGTGGACACACAAGTACGGTCTGCTCTGTCACATTCTCGCCTGACAACAGGCGCATAGCCTCAGGTTCCAACGATCGAACAGTTCGCATCTGGGATGCGGAGACGGGCAAGCCAGTGGGAGAGCCATTCCAAGGACATGGTCGGATCATGTCTGTTGCATTCTCGCCTGATGGCAAGCACGTAGTCTCGGGCTCAGTTGACCAGACAGTTAACATCTGGGATGTGGGGACGGGGAAGCCAATGGGAGAGCCATTGCGAGGACACACAGATTCAGTCTGCTCTGTCGCATTCTCGCCTGACAGCACGCGCATAGCATCAGGCTCATTAGACCAAGCAATTCGCATCTGGGATGCGACGACGTGGAACCTATTGGGAGAGCCATTCCGAGGACACACAAAGGGGGTCAGGTCTCTCGCATTCTCGCCTGACGGCAGAAGCGTAGTCTCGGGTTCGGACGACCAGACAGTTCGGATCTGGGATGTGGAGACGGGAAAGCCACTTGGAGAGCCATTTCGAGGACACACAAAGAATGTCAACTCTGTAGCATTCTCGCCTGACGGCGAGCGCGTATTCTCGGGCTCGTTGGACGGGATAGTTCGGATCTGGGATCCGAAGACGGGAAAGCAACTGGGAGAGCCATTTCGAGGACACACAAAGGATGTCGACTCTATCGCATTCTCGCCTGACGGCGAGCGCGTAGTCTCGGGCTCGTTCGAAGGGACAGTTCGGATCTGGGATGCGAAGACGGGGAAGCTGGTGCGAAAGCCATTCCAAGGACACACAGATGGGATCTTGTCTGTCGCTTTCTCGCCTGACGGCAGGCGTGTAGTATCAGGCTCGTACGACCAGGCAGTTCGGATCTGGGATGCAGAAAAACAGTGGGTCCCTGAACCAACCTTGAACACCCTTGATGTCACTACTAAACCGGCCTTGGACGCTGGCAAGGGCGTTCAAGATAGTGGCAAGGGTAGTGGCCAAGGTAGTGGCAAGGGTGTCAAAGGTTGATTCAAGGACTGAATCCGACTGATTTGTGTTCAGAACTTTTGTTGCCACGCCTCATCTCTGGTCGGACGTCAAGCTTATTCTTGACTTACTCTCTGTTCTATTCAAACTTCGTGAATTCTGCACATTCTGTTTCCTCTGCGTCGCAGATGTTTTATGACTCCGAGTACTTACTTCAAACGTCAGGGTGTAATGCTTTAAATTGGTATTGTCATTGAAACATAAAAATCGTCAAATTCTAGCATAGTTCAATAAACTGTCAACAAATTTGCGTCATGGAGCTTGATTGAAAAATTCTGAAGCCAAGCTGGCAGGCGTGTCGCGACTCGAACTCGCCGACGCGTTGTTTGGGTACGACAATGTTACCAAACACGTCCATTCCTCTGAACCACCATGTCCGCCATTGGTCCTGAGCTTCCTCCCCATCTACAAAGCCAAACGACGTCGCATCCAGATAAAGACAATAACGAAGGATTTCTAGTTGGACCACAAGTTCTAACTCATCCTCTGGACCCACCCGCGACGAGCAATGGCCCCTCTGTAACTATCGGTCCCATAATACCCCCACAGTTTCTCAAAGACTCGGCGAATAGGGAGGAAGAGGAAGAAGAGGACGATTATATGCCGGAACTGCCGCCCGATCTTGTCCAGTCACGAATAGCGGGCCCATCTGCGCCGGGGCCAAGCAGACGACAAGTTGGACCGTCACTCCCGTCTTACGCACCAACATACGATCCAAGAAGCTATGCGGATAAAGAAGAAGATGACGACGATGACTTTGGACCCAAGCCTTTACCAGCTGGGATGCAGCACCGACAGACAGACGCTGTGAAGGAGTTCATGGAGAAGGAGGAAAAGAGACGAAAACATCTTGAAGTATATTGCTTCTGAGTGCTCTTTTCGAGTTATGCTGACAATGTCATTGTTTCGAAAGGAATTGTCAAAACCGAAAGAGCTGCAACGTGACGAATGGATGCTCGTCCCCCCTTCGTCGTCTGATCTTCTAGGGAGTGAGTGTAATACTTGGCCTTAAAGAGCCTCGCTCACAACATTATCCCAGAACTTGACCCAACAAAACTCAAAGGACGACAATTCTCGCGCAGCACTGCGCCAGCGTCAGGAAAACCAGACAACTCACTGTGGACGGAAACGCCCGCAGAGCGTCAACAGCGTTTGGCTGACGAGGTTTCAGGAAAGAAGAGGAGAGCTGTGGAGACCCAGCCGGTGGATGATGATCCCGACGGTTTAAAAAAGAGACGAAGACGGGACGAGGAATTGATTAGGAAGGGTGTTGAGGACCATACGGTGTGCCACACTCGCATGCGAACATCGTGCTTCCGCTCACTGATTTTACATTTGTATAGCAAAAGATGCGCGGACCGTCTCTTATTCAGCAACATTCTGCTGGGAAGACGGTCGAGGAGAAGAAGGACAGTGGCATTTGGGACCATTCGCGTGACATGGGTCTGGGTGGAAGGCTCATGGATGACGACAAGCGCAACAAATTGATCAGGGAATCCAGAGGACTTGGAGATCGGTTTGGTAGCGGCAAGAGCGGGGGTTTCTTGTAGTTCCCCTCCGCGAGGGATGTGCGTACCTTGATTCTCCAACAAAGAGACGGCTTTCCTTGTTGTGCACCCCCACGGCGATTCCTAGTCGTGGCATTCAAGTCATGCAACCAAGCTTAGCTACCTGAAGTTCCGACGGCCCCTGCACCACAATTGGCACAAAAGGCATTCTAATCCTTCTTCTATGGTCGGAATCGATTCTTCGCTACCTTTCCAAATGCGACGATCAGGAAGTTATATGCCTCCTTAACAGTGGTCGACAACTTGACGTGATTAAGATAGTAAAACAGATGTAGCTCAATCGCAAAAAGACCACCGAACAACCCCAATTGTATTCGTACAACGAAATAAACTACAGCTACAGAAATCGAAATATCGTACAAGTACAGATATGCGTAAGTAATGCTATTGTGGGGGAAAAGAGGCGCGATGATATTGAGAACGTCTAAGTGTGTGCCCAATAGAATGCAAAACTGGAAGGAGAAACGATGACTGGCCTACCTACCGTAAGAAGAAAATATATAACACAAATGCGCGCTATAGCCGAGCGAGTAAAAGTCCGAAAACGACGCAGATGATGGTGATGGGAGGGGTGAAGACGCAGTATGACCAGAAGATGGTTCTGCTAATCAAACGCTCGAACGCGTCGCCTGATACTGCCTGGGTGATCTGAAGATTGGAGGTGAAAGTGAGTGGGACGCTGGTCGAAAGAGAATGCGGAGCACGTTAACTTACCTGAGCAAGAGTCAAGGCGGGAGGCGAGGACAACAAAATGACGTTGCAGACAACGAATACAGGGCTAAAGATAACCTTCCGTCAGATGTGATATCAAGGATGAGTGAGTGATAAAACATACTCCTCAAAGACCGCGTGGAAGTCGTAGTACGTTGCCAAAATCACCAATGGGATCAGAAGGATGGGAGTGATGATCATACGCGCAGCAACAGCCAAAAACACGGTCTTCGTCTCTCCCTCTTTGGGTTGCTCTTCCCTATGAAGCGAAGTCTCCGAGGGCGAGCGACTCCCAAAGAGTTTCCTGATTTTCTGGAAGGCAGTCTTGCTTTCCTGGACGCTCTGCCCATTCTCTGTCCCGTTGACGAGATCTCCCTCGGGAGGGGGAGGGTAGAAGTATGCTCCAAGAACCACGAGCGTCAGAGGAACAGCGCACTTACCCGCAGCATTGATAGCGCCGTTCAATGGCAGCATGTGGAACTGGAGCGAGTGCTGCAAAGGCTGGACACAGGCAACGATCAACGAAAGCAGGGCAGCCCACATGGGGACAGTCATAAAGTCCCTTATTGTCGCCCAGATGCGGCCAACGCCACGTACACACCGGCCGAAGAAGGTAGTCGGGCGGCGGTGGGTGTGCGTGTGCTCAAGTAGGGGAGTGTGCATAGGAAGAATTTCTGCATTTTCGAGGTCGCTCTCCACCTCTGTATCAGAGTTGTTCGCGGAAGAACCGGACGGGGAAGAATCGTAAGCGGCGAGGTTAGTACGAGAGTCGTTGGGAGAATTGGGGAACGAGTTGTAAAATGTTGTGCGTCGGCGCTGAACTGCGGGACGCACAATGCGCACGGGAGTACCGAGAACATGTTCGTTATCTGTGACTTTAGGGGTTGAGAAAATATTGGCGAGATCCACCATTGTTTCTGTCGAAGGGTGGGACTCCATCGCCTCGGGAGATTCGGGGACGAGGTCAACCTGAACGAGCAGTGGAGTTCTCTCGTTGGGTTCTTCAATCGTCAGGATGACGTCGGCAGACTCAGGATCTGCTTTGGAAAGAAGTTTGATCCCATAGCTATAACGAAGCTACCAAAAACGAAAAAGATGCTAAGTATTTCAGGGGACGCTTCGTAGAAGTGTTTGACGTACCACCATGCCAAGCGTACTGTACATCGTGAGGTAAGTGAGCGCCCGGCCAAGCATCCCATTCTTATTATCCTCCGGGCCCCAAGCAAGATCTGGAACCGCAACGACAAGGCTCTGCATGAGTGCAATCGGAAGCGTGTTGGAATTCATGAACATGGCTGCAGCCATGACAAAGTTCCTAGAATGAGATTTAAAACGGGGGATACCATTATAGAAAAGAAAAACACACCTCTGGCTTCGTTTCAAACCGAACATCCATCCCAAGATTGCTCCGACCGTCATAGAAAGACATGTCACGATTGCAAAGAAAATTGGGATAACCCATAGCTCTTTGAGCTTCTCTAGATACCGCCATTCGTCAGCGATAAAAAAAGGTCGTCAAACAATGGTGACTTACCAGGTGTAAGAAAGAAAGCAACTTTTGAGAACAAAAGAGCAGGGGTGAACAGCGACACATTAAGGCGGTTCAATTGCTGACGAGAGCAAGATAAAGGTAAGAACAGAATGAAAGTAGCCGAAACTCACCTTTTGAGTCCTCTTGTCAAGAATACCACGACTTGCGAGAATATATCCCGCAGAACATAGCAAAAATACCTCGAGAATCGACTATTTTGCATGTGAGAAAAGAGTGAACACGTTGAAGTCGTGCGCAACGGCGCGCTCAACGAACTTACATTGAATACAGCAACCAAAAGCGCAGCAAATGGAGTTCCAGAGTTGTCCTCAGCGTATTTTCCGTAGCCCATGCGGAAATTTGAGGACGGTGGGTGGGAAATGTAAAATTGAGGTGGTGGGAGGTCAACTCAATGTTCAAAAGCGTCACCGCATCCCAATCCGTAGTCATTCTACATAGCCACCGATCACGCACGTTCTCAGTAGATAACGTCTAACGTTATCTAATAACGCTATCTAACGACAGCATTCATTGAACATTGAAAGATGGCTCGTTCCCACAGACGAGTACATACTTGAAGAATGGAAGGAAAGGCGCTCTCAAGGTATCATCGTTTGTATCAAATTTTCACCCCCATAACTGGTCGTATAGGCGAGAAAAGCTGTTGACGCAATTATGGATGCACAGCCTACGGCAGCTTGGCGCGCGTATGGGAAGAACCTAGACCTGTCTCCTCGGCCGTCTCTTCCGAACAGAATTCGAGGCTCGGGGATCCTGGTTCCAGCGAAACCCAGGATGTTGCCGAATAGCAAATGCCAACTAGGACCCGCGATTTTCGTCCGAACCGAATTTCTCCAGAGGACCAGGTATAGGTTTTGTAGGCCTAGTGAGTACTGACCGGGGAGTTCTACGTGATTGAATGCGAGCTCTGTAAACGTTAACATTTTAGTTCCTTTGCTAAATTCCCAATTACAGAAACGTGAACATACGAATTGCAAATGAAGATCTTTGTGCCGACTGTAATCTTGTTCGTTAATGACGTAAGTAGCCTGGAACTTCCCAGTCACGTCAGCGGTCATCAACGTGACGTGATTGGACGCGATGACGTCCAAACAAGCCAAAGCATCAAAACAACATTCCCGCCCAGCCTTCCTCTTCAATACTCCCCTCCGCCGCATCAACGCGGTATTGACACGATGGACGTAAAAGTGCCCAGACACGAGAAACGCGACAAACGACAACATGCTCAAATGGCCATTCTTTGTGACGGCTGAGTGCTCCGAGATTGACTTGTCAGTATCCTCCTCACGATCAGTATGATATACGGACACGGGACCCGAGCAATATACTGAAGTTGAATGTGTATCACTTGCTACCGACCGTTTGGCTGCTGTCTGTGAGGTGAGTTATCCTAGGGATAGACCCCACATGACAGGTCCAGTATGTGGGTGACAGGCGATCCCCATCCTTATAAAAGTAGGAGTTTTCTTCACTGGTATCAACCCATAATCTCCTTGTCCTTCGCCATCATCCTCTAGAAAAACATCGAAATCTCTGCACAATCAAGCAGTGCTATGACGTCTAGCCAACGTCTAGCCGTCACGGCGAACTGACCGCGTTTACGCGTTATGGTGCATGGACTCCAAGCGATGAGGGAGTACATCGCGGCTTCCATGATACGATGTGCACCCTGCAAGATGACCAATCGTCTTGCCGGCTTTGCTCGTGAAATTCAGCCGTCATAATCCCGCCGTTAGGCATTCGCAGATGCTATCAACAAACTCGGGCCTGGAGACGAGAAATCGCTGATTTGCGCTTCAAGCTTGTTTGGATTATCCTTCAAGCTGCAAAACGGTACAACGTAAGTTCCGCTCTTCAACCACGTCGAATTCAGCGCTGATGTTTCGTATACTATGCCCTACCAGCACCTCGGCGCACCCTACGAGTCGGCAGTCACTGATTGTCACAAGATTTTGCTGGACAAGCGTGATGTTGCGTGACAACTTGAAAATTGGGAGTCACGCTTGTCCAGCCAAAATTTGTGACGATCAGTGACCGCCGACTCGTAGGGTGCGCCGAGGTGCTGGTAGGGCATAGTAGATCACAAACTTCAACGAATTGCTTTTGCAGCGTAGCCACTTGTGATCTTAACGCGTGTTAGCTCCGAGAGCTGTCCATCTGTGGTGTGGTCGTGAAGCCTGCCAACCTCTGGCACCTTCTGGCACCTAAAGCTTTTCAGGTTTCCGGAATGTTGGTCTATTTTTAGCAGGAAATGTCCCTGCAGAAGCCCCGCACCTCCCGCACTCGCGATCACTCGGCGCTGTTGTAGGCTGACTTCTAAGTTCCCATGTCAAGCTGAAAGTGCCTATAAAATGGCAGCCTCAGCGTCAACAAACCCCCAGCTGGTCTCACCTCCCCCGTACACACAGTCATCAATCACAACCCTTTCCCCTCCAAACTTTTCTTGTAATAAACCAACTCCATATAGTTAAAATGGTTAAATTCATCATCCCAGCTGCCATCCTCATCGCGGTACCCCTGATTGCGCTCGCCGCCGAGCAAAAGTTCACGTGTGTTTTCATGTCCACTTTGACTCGCAGGATTTGACGTTAAATACTTATACACAGACGAGAAGTCGCAGAAGTGGACGTCTACGCCCGAGATATCTTTGAAGACGCCAATGACCTTACTGTGAGAGACTATGAGCTCGCGGAGCGATCCCCATTCTTTGGAGCACTTATCGGCGGGATCATGTGAGCAACTCCCTCTTTCCCATTTGATCTATCAGTTGAAAAAGAGCTAGGCGAGGCGTTAAAGCTGCCAAGGGGCTCTCCAAGGTTGGAAAGATAGGTAAAAAAGCAAATAGCGCTAACAACCACTACCAAAACAACAAGAACAACAGAAAAGGTGGTAGGAGGGGCCGACGCGATCTCGAGGACCTCTACGAGCGCGACTTTGATGATGCCGACCTTTTTGAGCGTGACTTGCCGCAGGACGTTCTTGATTTCGTGGAACGTGACTTTGATGAGGACCTTTTGGAGCGCGAGCCTGACGAAGACTTAATGGAGCGGGAAATTGACAAGGAGATTCTCGAGCGCGAACTTGACGAAGACCTCATGGAGCGAGACATTGAGGAGGATGTCTTTGAGCGCGACTTTGCCGAGGAATTAGCGGAGCGAGAATTTGACGATCTTGAGGAGCGTGAGCTCGATATGGATGAGCTGGATTAGTGGACGTTCGTGTTGCTCAACGGATGGATGGGGATCCAGTAACGAAGTATGCCGAGCATAAATTGTACAGTTGGAATGACATTTGCATCCTGCATTGAATGATGTTCAACGTGCGACCGTTCAAGCTTACTGGCAACGTTTTCTGATAAACTTTGCTATCTGGTAGTTATAAATTGAGCTCTCGAACATTTTTTGGAATAGGCGAGTGCAGCTTGCAACGATTGGAGTATGATGCAACATTTGGTGAGCCTACTCCGGGGGAGCTGGGAATATCTGTGAGAAACCGCTTGCGGCTTAGACCTGGACAAATCACCATCCCCAGAAATTGACAGCTCAGATCAGATTTTTGCCGCTTTCCAGAACCTTTTTCGTTCTAGCTGGAGCCTGGAGGGGTTCAGAAGAGTTAATTCTGGGTTGGATTGTCCTCTCAAAACTTACAACGAGAGGTGGTTAACGTGACTAGATTCGTCACAGACTTGATGGCTCCATCTTCTATACCGCAGTGTCGAGATCTAATGACTGTCCACTGGCAGGTGACGGATTGAAACAATCACCAGCGTAGTTTTCGTCGCTGACATCGCCTCTGCAGGTCGAAGAAACCGTCTGAAACCGTGCGTCATAGACAGCCAGTGCTAGCTACTGGCATAGCCATCTCTGATCCGTAGGTCCGTGAAGCCCGTTGGGCGCCATGATGAGAACTGGCTGTGAACTTTTGAGCACCGGGTCCAAGGGCTTTTCCAGGTTTTCGAGTTCATAGAGTACGCCAAATGCAGAGGGATGGGGAAGCCTCAGACTCCAGACGAGGCAGCCTGTATCATTGTCAGGAAAGTTCAGGAAATTTCGTCAACCAGATGTGTAGCAACAGTTACAAGTGACTTGCAAGTGACAGCAAAGTGACAGCCTCCTGCTGCCATCAAACTGACAGACGTATGTAACAAACGGAAGCTGAAGGGCCCGGTTATCATGGTTGTGGGAGTATAAAAGGAAAGAGAGAAAAATTCCCAAAAAGGAAAGAGAAAAAGAGAAAAAGGAGGGATTTCCTGACTTCTTTCTCTTGGTAAAAAATCCAGAAAATTACCACAAAATACATACTTACAGTGGCCACCAACATGTGAGCATGACATTAATTGTTATACCACTTTTTCATGATACTTCTGATGGCGAAGAATCAAAGTATGTACATAGATTTGGTAGCATTCTCAACCCTCAAAAGAAATTCACAAGAATAAAAGGGGTGTCTGCTATCCTTTCCTTCATATTGTTTTGAACCACATGAACCACAGGAATTTGTGCACTGATCCTTGTTAATTCAACCTCCACATCCTTTTTTTTCACACTTCCAACATTTCCTTGCTGCATGTTTTATACTATGGACTGTCACAGAGGATTCAGAGATAAATTTTGAAATTAGAATTTCTCAATAGGTTGACCTTCATCTGGTTTGATTTCAAAGAACTTAAATTGATATATACAATTTATCTGTGGATTGTAATAGTTTTATATCTGTGACACTTTAGCTCAAATTTCCCACTCATTTTTAAAGATGATATTAGTACACTTGTAACACATTACACTCTAGAGAAATGTAACATCTCTGGTATACCATAAAAAAAAGATCTCATCTGAAGGCACATGATTGCTTTCAAAATTTTGATTTTGGCAAGTGGATCAGGTGTTATTAATCCTGTGTAGATTTTTTATTTTTCTGTTGGGTATCCAGCATGTGTGTCTACCCTGAGTTATTATTCTCACCAGGCAATACACTTGGTCCTGCAACTGAAATATTTTCAGGTGGAAAAGGCATATTATAGAGCATTGCTTGGTTTTGATCAGTGTAATGGCTGGTAATTAGTTGCTTTCCTGATGATGAGGGCTGGGCCACTGGTAGAGTTTATTGCAATATGTTTGTGAAGCTCAGGGTTTGAATTTGAGAGCTTTAACTCCTTTGCATTGAGATCTAGTCTCTGCCAGATTACATGTGTGCAGTTACTTTAGATGTTCCCCAAGCTGAAATTACAGTTGATAAATGATATTTTTGATTATCACAGGAAATGATGCTGCACGCAATGTTGTGGTAGGGGAAGATGTTAAAAATGTCGAAAATTCAAAGTGCAGGACAAGACAGGGTCGTGGGAACTATATACCATACATGGCAGCATCCGAATACAGAAATCATAGCAGCTGCTAATGTTTCCATTCTCGGAATTATTTTGGTAGCAGCTGCTAATGTTTCCGAATATGGAAACATTAGCAGCTGCTACTACCCACAGCCATGGGAACTCCGCCAGCTGAAGCTTTGAAGATCCATCATCCCGTTCTAAATTTATATTGAATTCCCCCGTCAAGTCCTTTAAAATGGCAACCTCAGCGCCAACAATCCCCAGCTGGTCTCACCTCCCCCTTGTGCACACAAAGTTATCAATCAAATCGCTCTCCCCTCTCAACTTCTTGTAACCCAGCTTTTTCTATATCAAAATGGTCAAATTTATCGCCCCAGTCGCCATCCTCATCGCCGCGCCCCTTATCGCGTTCGCTGCTGAGCAAGAGTTCACGTATGTTTCTGGTATCCTCCTCAGCTTGTAGAATCTGACGTTCAATAAACGTAGGCGAGAACTCGCAGAAGTGGACGTCTACACCCGAGATAACTTTGAAGACACCGCTGACCTTGCTGCGAGAGACCTCGAATCTATCGAGTATGACATTGCCGAGCGAGGCTTTCCATTTGGAGCCATTAGCGGGATCGCGTAAGTATCTCTCTTTTTCATTCGTTTTATCGGTTGACAAGAGCCATTTCCCCTCTAGAAAAGGCCTCAGTCGCTCCAAAGGGGTGTCGAAAGGATTTTCGTCGGCCGTAAAGATAGGCAAGAAAGCAAACAGCGCTAACAACCACTACCAAAACGCTCAAGCAAACTACCAAAATGGCAAAAGCACTTTCCAAAGCATCAAAGGCAAATTCAGTGGCAGAAGGGGCAGACGCGATCTTGAAGCCCTCTATGAGCGCGATTTTGATGAGGAATTTGCCGAGCGTGACTTGCCGGAGGATGTTCTCGAGTTCGTGGAACGTGGTTTCGATGAGGACCTTTTGGAGCGCGAGTTCGATGACGAACTGTTGGAGCGTGAGGTCGATGAAGACGTTTTCGAGCGGGACGTCGAGGAGGACATTCTTGAGCGGGAGCTTGATGAAGACCTAATGGAGCGGGAACTTGATGAGGATATTCTTGAACGCGAGTTTGACGAAGACCTCGTGGTGCGAGATGTTGAGGACGCTGTCCTTGAGCGCGACTTTGACGAAGAACTAATGGAGCGCGACGACCTTGAGGAACGCGAAGTCGATATCGATGAGCTGGATTAGAGGTGGTTTTCGCAACGTCCGTGTTGCTTAAGTATGTTGAACATCTGATGTAAACTTGGGAAATGGCATTGCATTTGTAGATGCAGGCCCATCTAGGCTACCATCTGTCTGATATCAACCACGAAAGCAGGCGTGATGAATGCTGTTCAATGTGCGACCGTTTACAGGAAACGTTCTTCTCAGTGCTACATTATCATGCATAGGTTCGCTTCTCTGATCCATGATGGATATGAGTCAGTGCAATACACGGACCACGGTGCACCGCAATTCGCAGGGAAGCAATAATCCGACTTCGTTCCTTTCACTTGATGACCAACGGACAGGGGGGTCGAACACTCACAACAACTGGAGTCTACAACTTGAACCCTCTGCCGCATAGACGTCAAGTTACAGCTCTACCTCACGGGCCCAATATCGACGCCTACCTTAATCACTACCATGCAGATTATAATCACAAGATGGGCGTTGACTCTTATCTCCACAGAAGCGCCGTCTGACCTCACGGGCCCAATATTGACGCTTACTTTCATCACTACCTTGCAGATTCTAATCACAAGATGGACGTCGACACGTATTTCCCCTGAAGCGCAGGGCGGCGGTGCATCATGGTATCAGGAAGCTTCTCGCGACCTGTACGGATGACGACCAATTCAAGTTCGAGCATCTAATATCTATAAAACCGTGGCGTCCATTTTGAAATTCTTCAGCTGGTCTCACCTCGTTTTTTTTACAACCTTTCGCTTCAAACACCTCTCTTTCCCTCCAAAGACACCTCCATCGTCGTCATGGTTAAATTTTCTGCTGCTCTTTTTATTGCCATCGCCATCTCAGCGCCCGCCCTTGCCATACCCACCGAAAAGGAACATGTTGCGTGAGCCCATCCTTTACTGACATAATTAATCATGGGCCTTACAAATTTTCAAAGACGAGAACTTTCAGAGAACGTCTATGAACGTGGACTCGATGCTGAAGATTTAAATCTTAGTGTTAGAGACTTTTATGAAGGCGATCTTTCTATGCGGGAAGTGAACGATCTCGTTGAGCGAGAGCCATTTTTCGGTGCTATATTGTTCGTCTCTGCTCTTCCTTTACCTAGGTCAAAAAAAAAGAGCTAATTCTCTTCCTAAATAGCTCTGCGGTCAAGGCGGCAGTCAAAATCGGAAAAGGAGCGAAAAAAATTCATGACGCCAAAAACCGTCATCGTAGAAAGCGTGATCTCGAGGACTCCGAGGTTTACCAGAGATCTCTTGACGGGGAAGTGATGGAACGGGACTTCGAGGAAGACTTTCAAGCTCGTGAAGTCGACCACTTTCATGCCAGGGACTTTCCTGATGTGGACCTCTTTGGGCGGGAACTTGACGAGTTCTATGAACGCGAAATTGAGGATTTGGACTAGAATGTCATCAACGTAAATACGATGGTAGTTATGGAACAAGTTGACTTTTGTTTCCGAGTCCTTCGCCAAAATTTGGACACGGCCTCCGCTCATACAAGACTTATCAACACTTGAATGGTTTGGACTCACGACCAAGTGAAGAACTGTCTAATGCTGGTCTAATGGTATTTCTTACATTTTCATTCGCCTACGTATACACTACCAAGCAGAAGGATATCATGCCGGATATCTATATTGAAAATGATATTCCAAGAACATGTGGCAATAGATGTACATTAAATAAAGCGCACGAGCATTAAATACCAGCACCACCAGTGACCTCTAATGTGTGTCCGGAGACATATGAGGCCAGAGGAGACGCGAGGCTATAAAATCAATCCGCGTCAGCCTGGAGACCATTGGCTCATAACCAAAACGAAACGTACAAGAGGACTGAACCAGCAGCGTCATCGGCTGTACCCCCGCGGCGTAGAGGAATTTGGGGGTATGATTCTGGATCTTGGGTAGTGGTGACGGGACGTTGTGCACCTGGAACACCGAGGGCAACCTTCTTGCCATCTATCTCGATCGACGCACCAGCTTCCTTGGACGCCGTCAATCTGTAACAATGAATAGCCAATGCATGAGAACGGATATCAAGGAACAAGCAAAGCAGTTACCGCGTATGGATCAGACCAAACGCAACAGTGTTAGCGCGGACGCCGAATGGTCCCCATTCCTTCGCGATGGTCTTGGTAAGACCGAGGACGGCGGCTTTGGCCGCGGCGTAGTTGGCTTGACCGACGTTGCCATGAAGACCAGAGGTGGAAGATACATTGATGATGGAGCGGTTCTCTCGTTGATCCGGCTGAGCCTAGGTTAGACAACAGAAGCAAATTTTGGCTCGACAGCATACCTTGAGACGGAAATAGGGAGCGGCTTGACGGACAAGACGGAATGGAGCGCGGACATGGATCTTCATGATAATGTCAAACGCATCGTCTGGTGTCGTATGTAGCATCTTATCAAACGTGAAGCCAGCTGCGGGGATGTACGTCAGCGACGAAGATTGAGGAAGGGTATTGGGAACCGACCATTGTTTACAATGTGGTTGATTTTTCCGTATTTGCTAAAGCCCTCAGTTAGTCCAATGGTTAGAGGTATCGGATAATCCACACACCTGACGGTAGCGTCCACGATCTTTTTTGGGAAGTCGTCAGCACCGACGTCGCCAGCGACCGACAAGGCGTCGCCTCCGGCAGCCTTGATCTCGGCCTCAACAGTCTCCAAACGCTTCGCGTCAATACTTGTTTCGTTAGTCTCCTGAGTTGTCGTACTCTAAAAGGTGGGACGTACTCGCTGATGACCACCTTAGCGCCTTCCTTTGCGAAGAGGAGGGCTACACTTCGGCCAATGCCCTGGTGGGCAAACGTCATTTCGAAGCTCGGCTACGTGCACAACGTAACAACATACCTGGCCAGCACCTAGTATCGCACAAGATGCGGCAATGTCAGTGGCTTAGTGAAGTGCTGAGTCTCGAGATACTCACCAGTGACGATGGCAACCTCTCCAGCAAGCAAGCCGCGTCCGTGCGTGTTTGAGAGGTGTCCAGAGACTTGTTGAAGACGGTTAGACATGATAGGGAATCGAGAGGGTTGCAGAAGAGATGTTGGCCCGCTTATTTGAGGTTCAGACGCGCCGGTGCTTCGGATACTGAGAAGCCGGTACCTGCCCAGTATCATACCTGACGCGTTGTAGCTTGTTGCTCACCTAAAACTTTTTACTAAAATCCCGAGTGCGCACGGGGCTCACTTCTGCGCTCGATAGTTTGAGAAGGGAGGCGAAACGGGAATACGCTGAAAACTGGACGCCTTTTGGCTGGGTAAATATTCTTTTTTTTACAAAACTTTTGGTGCTCAAATGAGTACTACCAGGTGCAAGCTCTCTGATCGTACTCATGGGGCATATCGATCAAGGTCTTTTCAATGACCTGTTTGGACTTATCTTCCGATGATTGGAAGCGCTCAGTTCCTGTGAGTAGAAGAAATGTCTGTAAATTTGATTCAGACGGAGACCGTTAGAAATAGAGGTGACCTTCAGACCCTTGAAGCGTCCAAATATCATCCTTTACACCGACATTGCCGCCAAATAGCATAGGGAAACCATCCACGAAAGCAGCGAGTGATGATGCTGTTCAACCTGCGGCGCTTCTCCGTGGGCATCTCTGATCCATGATCAGTGGCGAATACACAGTATGTAACTTCCAAGTAACTTTTGATGAAACATGCTCCTCTCATTCAATAACCAATGAACAGCGGGGTCGAACTCACGACAACGGGAATGGCTGGAGGTCATCAGAGCACATATATGATTGTTCTGCATAGGCGTCAACTTACAGCCTCTCTCATACGACCTCGCCCAATATCAGGCTTGATCACTACAGTTTGCAGATTCTAATCACAAGATGGACTCCCTGGAAGCGCAGGGCGGTGCATGTATCAGGAAGCATCTCGCGACCTGCACGGATGACCACCAATTTCGAGCAACTATAAAACCGTAACATCTATCTCAAAATTCTCCAGCTGGTCTCACCCCGTCTTTTTCTACAACCTTTCGCTTCGAATACCTTTCCCTTCGACGACACTCTTCATCGTCATCATGGTTAAATTTTATGCCGCTCTTTTTATTGCCGTCGCCATCGCTGCACTCGCCCTTGCCATACCCATCGAGAAGGAGCATGCGTGAGCCCATCCTTTACCGTCATGATCAATCACGCGCCTTACATTTTTCAAGACGAGAACTTCAAGCTGAAAGCATGTATCAACGTGGACTCGATGCTGAAGATTTAAGTCTTAGTGTTAGGGACTTCCATGAAGGCGATCTTTCTAGGCGGGAAGTGAATCATGATCTCGTCGAGCGAGACCCAAAGTTCAACCCAAAGTTCAGATTCAGTTTCGGTAATATATTGTTCGTCTCCGATCTTCCGTTACCTAGGTCAAAATAATCTGATCTTCTTCTTAAATAGCAAGGGGGTGGGCAAGGCGTTCTCCAGATTCGGAAAAAGTTCTCGGACTGAAGCAGTTGCCGGCATGACCCCCTGGCAGTAGGGTGATCTGAGTTGATGTCCTGTCAAATCACGATAGCCATGCAACCCTCTATTTGTCAACTGAGTGACTCCCCCCAGAACCTAGGGGACTAGGCGAAGGTTTTTCTCTTGGGCTGTCTTCGTAGAAATGGTCTACAAGAATAGACAATTTGGAGAAACTTGAACTCTGTGATATCTAGTATGAACTTGCAATTTGATAACCCCTATATCTTCGGAGTCAGATCCTCATTGGTGGCAAACCAAGTTGAAGATTGGGGTCCCCAACCAAGTTTATGAATGATCGTCCAACAACCATCGTGGGGTCAGGATCAATGGAGGCTAATGGAGGAATCAAGCTGTTCCCGAGTAAAACTAAGTATCAGTTCGAGCAAAGCTGGGCTGACGGTTCACAAAGGTTGGATAAATAGAACCTTGTAGAAACCATGATGAGCAAAGCTGATACCGCCAAGACTGTGGGCGAGGAGTTCGCCTTGGAGTCAAAACGACAAACGATAAACCTGTTTGCACGATCATTGAGACCCTTTCCCACGATTACCCAGAGTCATGAACCCTTCTCATTACTCTTTCGCTATTCTGGCGCCTGGTGTCATTCTGCGATGCTGACTGTCTTTCGGTGGGTGCTCTGTCATAAGCCCAGAATTCTCCATGGCTCGGTACTTGCGCTTGGGATTCGGATCTCCCCATGCCAGTGGGCGCGATTTTTAATCCAAATGTCGATGACGAGAGGATTGCCGATGTCTTCTGCCTTGTTTTCTCGAACGTGATTGACGTATCTCCTGAAAATGTCTATCTACCTCTGGTGTCGAGGGACTGCCACTCAGTGGGCCCAAATTTATCGACCGACAATTTACCGCTTAAGGCCCTCAGGAGCCGACACCGAGCAGACGTGAGTGGGGACAGCCTACAGGCTATCATGATTGACCGCAGTGCACCATCTGTACCCGTGCTGACCTCTTCTGAGGCAGTTATATTCATGATCCCCAGGAGCCTCTGTAAGTTGCCTGTAAGTGGAGCTTGTCGACGCTACAGCTACCCCATGCAGCAAGCAGTGCCCGTTTAGCGTGACGGGTGTTTATTTTTACCCGAGTAAGTCCATCGTACGACAATTTTTTGTTCGACGTTTTGACGTGGAGATTGTGTAGGTCCGAGAGCGCAGCTATGCTGGTGTTTCCCAAGTGTTTCCTCTTTTTTTCTTGATGTTCATTTTACTTGCTGTTTCGTTTGATACATATACAACACTTCGGCTGTAAAATATCAAATGCTGCAGTCTGGTTGCGCAACTTACGTTTATATATATAGAGAAGCATTAGCCAATGAGGAGTGAGAAATAATTCAGGGCCGTTAGACTCACCTGACCGTTAGCAGAACTTGAAGAAGCAGGTGACCCTGGACCTTGTGCTTCCAGCAACACCACAAACTGTCGGACCATTCTCTGGCCTCCACTTCCTCCGTCCATCCTTAACCACCAACGATGGCGACCGCAACAACGGTGACAATAATCAGCTCACCATCTTCCCCGTTCATGTTGCCAGGAATGAGCTCTGCAGACTCGTCTCGTGTGGTCAGGTTCAGTGATGAATGTGTCCTGATACCAGAGTCCCCTCGGGCCAAGCGTAGGATGCTCACAAAGTCCTATTCTTTACCCCTGTGGAAGAGGAAGCCCACCCAATTTTCCGACTCTGAGGCAGACGAGTCGCCTTCGACTTTCAACAACGTTGAAGAGACCCGTGTTGTCCTCAAAGTTCCACTACCAACGTGAATTCTTATCTCTCCTATTCTACGTTGAACAACGAGCTAATAAGGGCGCGGCAGGTTCAGGGCAAAGTCTCCTCACAGGGGTCGATCCGTCTCCTCATCGCCTCCAACGGCTAAGCCCCTCTCCCCATGTCTAGTCCACAGGTCTCCATCTTCAGCGTCGACTTCTCATACCAGTCCCACTCTATCACCCGTTAGGAGACCGTCTCTGCCCATATACCATAAAAACAGAGACGACTCGGCACTTACGATACCCCTACGGGCATGTTGCCAGGGTTGCGAACGCGTCATAGAGGAGAGTCTCCGACGAGGTGATACCTGGACGGAAAATTTTACTAGGGGAGCTAGGAGGCGGAGGGCCGCAAGCCTCGACACCGGCTCCTCTTCCTCAGCCTTCGGGAGTGTGAAGCTTTCGTCGTCGCTTCCAGATGCCTCTCCCATTGCCAGTGGCTTGCAGACCTCCACCTTCGCCATAACGGTCGACGAAGTCGACAGACGGCACCGATCCCAGAATCACACTGGGAGAAGTGCATCATTCTCCGAGTCCTCTTCCCCGGTCTCGCCTTCTGGACCGCGGTACCCTCACGACCGGTCCCACGAGCGAGACACCTCCTACGAATCGGTTTCTTCTTCAAACTCGGAGGACCTGACACCGGAGACCATTGACAGTCGGAGGAGGCTGAGGTCATCACCTATCGAAGAAGAAGATGAAACTCAACTATTTCCTCTCCCCTCTCCTCGTCGTTCTCCCAGCGGCAGCGGCGCATCGTCACCAGCCGCCTCGCCCAAGCCAACCCCGGTTCCTAGCCCCAATGCGTCGACCTCTTGTCTCGACAAACCTGCGTCATCTTCCAAGGAGAGCATCAACTCGGCGACGGGAAGTTCAGAAGATGGGGTCCTGAAACACTCGCTGTCAAGGAAAACGCCAGATGGATTGCTCTCCCCATCTCTATCCTCCACCATCACCGTTGACGCTCCTCGCCCACCGCGTCCCACACTCCCTCGCACACATGAAAGGAAGGTATCCCTACCCACCCCTGTCTCTCCCAAAGGGCCGAGACCCCCACTCTCCTTGTCCCTGCCTATGCCCACCAAGCAACCCAATACACCTTCATCCGCGCGTGATACTCCACTTACACCACCACCCAGTTCACTCGCTCATACCCCCAAGCGTCCTGAAGAACCGGAACAAACACGTCACGAGCGCCGGGGAAGCGATGCCGGACGGACAGCTGAAAGACGCCAGTGGGACGTCTGGGGGTCTTTGCTTACCCTCTCTTCCGGAGTTGTTCGGATTTGATTGGAAGGAAGCTTCTTCTCTTGGTGCTGCTACTTGAATATACCGTAATATTTCAACCAACCAAACAACCAACTCGACAAAATAACCATCGAATGGGTATACCCGACCGCTCGCTCGTGCAGCCCCATTGCTACCGACACGCTATTGTTATGACTGTTGTTACGATAACCCGTTTTACGACTTAACGACTCCGTGCACACTCCCCCCTTTGACCAACTTACCTTGCGCACGCACGCGATACTCATCCATCCGCCACCTTGCATCTTGCTATTTTTGGAATCGCGTTACGTCTTGTTCTTGGGTTTTCCTTCTATTAGTTTCTGCTTACTTACCGAGCGTTACTTTTTTTTCTTGTTCTTTCCTGGTTCTGTACCTTGGTGTACATATGTACATACTCTAGCGTAATGGTATTTTTTAATTGTTATCTTTCGGTTTCTGTCTCGATGTTCGGTCTGCGTAGTTGTAATAATGTAACATACCGTAAAGGCTATGTAGGGCTGGATCCAAGGGGCTCCCAGCCGAAGATTCCGTGACATCCACTCCCAGCACTTCAAGACATCACTGTTCCCCGGGGTCCATCAAGACCCCAGCCAAATTTGGCGGTCCCACCTATATTTAGTACTAGTAGTACGGAGGGCGTGCTATGAAATGATGGTGCAAGCCATAGTATGCACAAATCACATCAGTCCAGGACCTAATATAGCTCATTTGAACCGAATTTTTAATGTGTAGGGCACCATATAAATTATATAAAGGTAGGACCAAATTTACTAACACAATCACATGAATGCTGTCTGTTGCAGCAGAACAGGACCTGCTCCTTGTCAAGGTGATGGATTCTTCAAAAATGTGAGATATGCATGCTTGGTATATTTAAGAAGAGCTTTGCTGATTCTGGCTACTGCTGAGCCTGGACTTTCGAAGTACTATGACCTACCAGCACCTCGGCGCACCCTACGAGTCGGCGGTCACTGATCGTCACGAATTTTGGCTGGACAAGTTGTTGCGTGACAACTTGGAAAACGAGAGTCATGCTTGTCCAGCCAAAATATGTGACAATCAGTGACTGCTGACTCGTAGGGTGCGCTGAGGTGCTGGTAGGTCATAGTAATGATGAAGTTAGCAATGGACAGCATTCACGCGATTGTGTCAGTAAATCTGGTCCTATTTTATATAATTTATATAGTGCCCTATGCATTAGAAACTCGGTTCGAATGAGCTATATTATGTCCTGGACGGACATGATTTGCACATACTATGGCTTGCACCGTCATTTCATAGCATGCCCTCCGTACTACTAAATATAGGTGGGACTGCCAAATTTGGCTGGGGTCTTGATGGACCCCGGGGAACAGTGATGTCTTGAAGTGCTGGGAGTGGATGTCACGGAATCTTTGGCTGGGAGCCCCTTGGCTGGATCTGTCCTATTCTATACATAACTTGAAAGGGAATGCCTGAGGGCAAATTTTCACACCATGTAGGAAGATGGTGGGACAATACATTGCAGAAAGGGATCAACAATTTTAAGTACAAGACAACCTGATCACAAGCGTATAATTGAAATCATCTTGGATTTAAGTTGTAATCAGAGTCACAAGTCGGTGCAGATGGATTGCTCGAAACAACATACTCAGACATCCAAGCAGTATGATTGGATGAAGCTCCCAATCTCTCGAAAGGCCGCATGTACTGCATTGTGCGGTCTTGATCACTGGGCGCTGGCATAGTAATCTTTAGTAAAGTGGCAAACTCCTTCACAATACCTGCTTTGCGTAAGATGCTGTATACATCCGGGGAGGCGCCACAGATAGATATCGCATATCTATTGCAAGAGTCCATCGCTAGCTGCGTTTCTTTGACAGCAAGTTTCAGCTTTTCAGTAGTCGCTTTCTTTTTCTTTTCCTGTGGTTGTTTGTTATATGTTTCAAGACGTTCTTCAGCCACAAGCCATGTACCAGTCAACTCCTCGAATTCTCCATCGGTAACAGGTTTGGGGGCCGTCGATTTTAATTTTGAATGATTCCCTTGATGATTGGACTCATTACCAAGCTCCATGAGGATCACAAGATAGGGAAGAGGTTGGCTAAGATCACTGGGGATACCAATTGGTCGTATTGCGGCTTCTGTGTTCTTGTCTCCGGCAACTTTAAATTTGACCTGGCCAACAGCGACAGAGAGGCATGAGGGGTCGAAGGCAGCATCTGGGGTGACTGTTGAGGATTAGAACCCTACGCTACGTACACTCTTTATCTCTATTTACCAACTCCTTCGTTTACTTCCGTACTTACAATTTTCTCGCTACTTCCGTACCTCGCACCTCAGTCGTTTACCACTACGTGTAACCGTCTGAGGTGTGTATTCTTTTACTTATATATCTTCCGATACTTTACTTACTATCTCTACCTTAGCTACCACTAACAGTCTTATCCTAACAGGTAGAGATTGACAATACAGTCATTTACCACTACATGTAACCGTCTGAGCTACCACTAACGGTCTTATCCTAACAGGTTATGGGCCCCGCACGCTCCTAAATTATCAGAAGATTATCGGTTACACACATATCCCCTCGACTCAATAAAAAAGACTTATTACCATGTCTGGAAGTCACAATATTTCGATTCCTTTCTCCTTGCCCGAGGATCAGCGCTGCGGTGGATATGAAAACTTCGCAAGCTGGAAAACACTTATGATCGCTCATGGGAAACCCCGAGGATACCTAAAATACTGGGAGAACAAAATTGTCGTCCCCCAGGAGATACTGGACGCAGAAAATACGTCTACTGATCCAAAGACATCACCCTCCGGCTCTACGACCGATAAACCACCAGGTCCTACTCCAGCCCACTCCATAACTCCATCAGAACTCGAATACGAACTCCGCGAGAGTGCCTCGATGTTGTCGATCTTGATCAATCTGGTAGATATTGCTGGATCCGGCGTTGACTCAAACGGGAAGTCGCATGAGGCCTGGACCCTACTAGCCAAGCAGTATGGTGGCGCAAGCGATAGGGCTAGGAATATGCGGGAGAGAGCGTTAGCAAACTGCAAGTTTGAAGAGGGAATGAAAGTTGCAGGAGAGAACGGACATATCGAGAAAATGCGCGCACTACGCAAGGCCGCTAATGACGCCGGTGCTGAAATCACCGACATACGCTTCATCACGAAACTCCTCGACTCCTTCCCCGAGTCTTGGGACCCTATCATATCAAATCTTTACGATAAAGAGGATTTGAGTGAAGTCATCATGAAACTCACCTCACACGGGGAACGTCTCGCCAATCGCGCATCCGAAACCACCAAAACAACTAACAACATGTTCGATTCCGTCAAAGCCCTGGAAGCAACTGTTCATGCACTCCAGGCTGAGGTGAAAACCCTCCGAACGAGGCCCGGAGGATCATCGAACCCAAATAAGTCTCACCTCGTATGCACCAACCCTTCATGTGGAAAGACTGGACACTTGATCCCCGACTGTTTCCAAATGGGAGGTGGGAAGCAAGGACAATACCCCCCGTGGTGGAAAGGGAAGCGAACCATTTCTCCTATCGCAAACTTAGCATCCTCGTCCTCGACAATTGATGGTACAATTAATACTGGTGGACACTTTGCCTTATTGGCTATGTTCAATGACGATGTCGCTAAACTCCTGGAGGAAAATGAATCAGTCCTTCAGAAGGTCGCCTTAGCCGCTAGCCAAGTCTTACCTTCCATTTCCTCGTGTTCATTTGCGGATTCAGGGTGTACTACACACTTCTTCAAAAGTCGAGACATATTCTCAACGTATAAACCTTTGGAGAGGATGGCCGGACAGTCCTCTAAGGAAGGCACGAGTTTCTCGATACTGGGGGGAGGCGACGTTGAGATCAAGGTGGTGTTCAATAATGTGGAACATACCTTAACCTTTCGTGATGCTCTTCATGCACCCGACATCACCGCCAATCTCTTGTCAATTAGCAAAATGGACATTGCTGGGTGGCATGCTGTGTTCGGAGACCAGAGAGTTCGTTTCTACAAAGGAAAATCAGAGATCTTTGATGGAATCCTGAAGAATGGACTGTACCTTGTCAACGGATCCTTCTCACTGGCTATACCGACTGCCCTCACAGCCCAATCCCTTCAGAGTCCTACTGACCTCGCTACCTGGCATCGCCGATTCGCTCATTTCGGAGTCACTCGCGTGAAACAAGCATTAAAGCTTGTCGACGGCCTCGAAGTTACTTCTGAGGACGCTATTGGACAATGTGAAGACTGTATCTTGGGGAGGATCAGAAACGTCGACCATATGACGACGATGTCCAAATCGAAAATAGGATCTTAAGACTCACCAACATCGACATCTGGGGGCCATCTCGTGTCAAATCTCATGGTGGATCGTTATATGGAATGAAATTCCATGATAGTGGATCCGCTCACCGTAAAACATTCTTCCTCGCCAACCGCCAAGACGAGACAACCTTAACTGCCTTGAAAACCTATCGAAGCGAAAGTGAAAAGGTCACTGAAAAGCTAATGGTTTTCATCAGAGTCGATAACGCACCGGAATTCAAAGGCAAGCTATGGGCCGAATACTTTCGTGAGACTGGACTCATCATGCTACCAACCCCCCCCTATTCCTCCTCGAATGGTACTGCAGAACGCTCTATTGGAGTGACGACTGGCGCCGTACGAATCATGCTCTTGGACGCTGGATTGTCGGCAAAATGGTGGGCCGAGGCATGGGCATTCGCGGATTATGTGGAGAATAGGTTGCCGTCCAGTCGACACCCAGGTGTGATCCCTGAAGAGGGATGGACAGGAAAGAGACAAGATGTGGGACACATAAGGGTCTGGGGTTGTATCGCATATGTGCACATCCCCTTTGAGAAGGGCGGAAGCAAATTAGCCGCACAGGGGCAAAAGGGCAGATTGATCGGAATTGAGGGCCGAGGCGTTTACAGGATCTTGATCCCGGAGACCGGCCAAATCATCTGTTCCCAAAACGTCAAATTTGAGGAAGGTCTTGGACACCGTACCCTCACGACTGAGGGGGAGTACTTCCACCAGGACAACGGCGATACTGACTACGACTTCCTTGTAGAACCCATAGTCACTGAAAAACCTATCACAGTCCCCGCTGTTCCTGGCAACCCAATCATTCCAGATACTCTCAACCATCCTCAAACACGTCCCAGAATTGTCTATCCCCCTGCATCACGTCAATCAGCAAGAATTGCTGCGAAAAATAACCCTCCACCAGCTGAAACTGACGATGACGCTTCAATTCCAATTTTGGAAGATCCTGATGAAGATGACGACTCCACACACACCGCGCTAAACGCCGAATTCCCCCCGGAACCACAAAATCGATTCGTCCCGGTGACATTTGACGACACGTTCAATTTTTCCCGACGTCATCTATGGTTCCCAGCCATGGAGAGAGAAATTGCTCGATGGGATGAGCGTGGCAT